ACTGACCTTGAACTTGAAGTCGATGACCCCTCAATTGATTACTTATTGAAGAGAGAAATAAGTGAGATGGTTTTGGACGCAAGATTTTATTTGAGATGAAGGGAAGATAAAGAGTTGGGATTTCACACCAGTATCATAGTACAAGTAAAATTAACCTTGTCAGGAAAATCCTCCTGACTTTGTGAAATGACGTCTAATGACCTGGGTCGCACTAAGGCTTTTGTCATGAACTGGTATCGATGATAAAGAAGACAAAACAGAAGTGCATTTATGTAGAGGGCAAACATTAAGTGTATCACCATGTTAATCTTGGTGACCACCACAGAAATCCAGGACGCACTTTTCGTTTCATCCCGGACTCACCAGCTGGATGTGCCTGCATCCCGGTAGGTGAGTTGTTCCCACGGGCGCTCAAACCCAGTACCCTTCACTCTAAATGCCAGAGCGTTACCCATTAGGCCACTACTGCACGACAATAACCTCTTGTGCAATGGTTATTAGTTGTTGTTATGATAATACTAATTTCCAGTTGCTATGGACGGTAGAATAGGACGAAACGTGCCTCCTAAATTATCCTACTAGTCACCAAAATCAATATAACATCATGAATATAGAGCAGTATCGAGGCCTCCGCATAGGAGCTCATTCACCAAAAGAGGTCAAGCAATTCGACCCTGTATAGCAATTGTACTGTCTAGAAGCATAGTTTTGGAAGGTACTAGACGATAAAATGATCTTCAGAATGTCATTTTCGTTGACGAATTTTGTGAAGTTATTTATGTAGACATAACCAAATAATTTGTGGACTCGAATTTTAGATTTTGCAAAAGTCATCCATAAATGTTTTCAAAACATCTCTCCTCATAGTAATCTATCTCTAAAAAGAGGCATTTTACACTGACTGAAGTGTACTATTTTGAACATTCTGAAACCACATTTATCAGTCGGTCCCCTTATAAATCAACTGAAGATCTTCTTATTCGGACAGAAAAAACAACAAGTGTACTAGTTCAAGTTGACACACTTCACAGTAGTATACAAAAAACAAGTGAGTAGGAAAGGCTGACACCAAAGTAGACGAAGGTGTATAGAAGGAGAGAGAATTTAAAAATTACGCTAAGCTTCAAAATGGCACCAAAGACTGAATATATGTGCACCATTGTGACCAATATTTTGCCAATTTTACCACGAGTCATCAACTATAGATCTCTGTAGTCTCGGGTTTCCCAGTCAGGCAGTTTACTCCTCTCTACATGGCTTAGACTAACAGTCATCAACTTCATGAACTGGTGTTAGAGTATAGAGTATATCATCTGACATCATAGTTTGCATTCAGGGTCGCTGGGTAAGAAAATGTCACTTGAAGAATAGAAAGATATAATTTAATTTTGCTTCATTCTAGCACAAATCATATACGCTTTCTCATTATAACTTTATGACAGCAAAGTAACGAAATGGTTGAAAGTTCAATCACGAGTTGACTTCGTTAAATATTTTAAACGCATCAAAATGGTAATCGCTTTTTAAAGGAATGTTGTTCAATGCAACATTATTATTATTATTATTATTATTATTATTAGTCCCTTGGGTTCCTAACGGAACATAGGGCTTCAGTAGCACGTCTCCAGTGACCTCTGTTCTCTGAGATCTTTTGAACCTGGTTCCACGACAGCCCACAACCTCTCATTTCCTCCTCGCACGATCTCCTCCATGTCACCCCTGGACGTCCAACTCGTTACTTCCCACGGGGATTCCACTCGAGGGCCTGACACGTGATGTCCTCAGTCGGCCTTCTCATTGCATGCCCAATCCATCTCCACTTCTTCCTGCATATTTGTTGCGTGACAGGTTCTTGGTTGGTTCGTTCCCAGAGTTCCTTGTTGCTTATTCTCATTGTTCTGGCCATCTGATCTTCAGTAGCGAGCGTAAGTGGCAGTTGTTGATGAATGTCTGTAGTTTATTGGAAATGCCTTTCGTGACGCGCCAAGTCTCTGAGCCATACAGAAGCACTGACTTGACGTTGGTGTTGAAAATCCGTATCTTGTTCCGCATGCTGAGTGCAGTGCAGAAGATCTCCACACTGGTTTCAGGCTAATGAACGCCTGTCTTGCTTTTCCGATTCTGACTTTGACATCCTCGTCTGTCCTGCCTGTACTTGAAACAGTGCTTCCTAGATAGGTGAAGGAGGTTACTTCCTTTAAGTTTCTCCCGTTGATGGTGACTGGAGTTTGTTGGTGGTGGTGGTGGTGGTGCGGTTTCTTCATCACCTCTGTCTTCTCTATATTCACCTGAAGTCCCGTCTTCGCTGCCTCTTCTGTCAACTTGTTAGTTTTTGCCTGCAGATCTTCAAGTTTATGTGACATCAGGCACAAGTGATCGGTGAAATCCAAGTCTTCTAGGTTCTTTTCTGTAGTCCAGCCGGCATATCCCCTCTTCTCACAGCCCCCCACTGTTTGCTGCATGATCCAGTCCACCACAATCAGGAATATCTTGGACGGATAGTATGCGGCAGCCTTGTTTTACTCCTTCTTGTCTTCACTTCAAAAGCATCACTGAGCTTCCCATTGTGGATTACTTGGCATGTGGCATCTTCATATAGTTGTTGAATGAGGCGGATAAAGGTTTGCGGTACTCCGTAGTATTGAAGCAGTTTCCAAATTACTTCTCGGTCGACGCTGTCAAAGGCCTTCTCAAGTCGATGAAGTTGAGGTAGGGAGCTGATTGCCATTCTATGCTCTGTTCTATGATGATGCGAAGCGTTGCAATTTGGTCTGCACATGATTTGTACTTCCTGAAGCCTGCCTGTTCCGGTCGCAGTTTTGAATCCAGTGCATCCTTGAGCCTCTCCAAGATGATGCGGCTTAATATTTTGCTTGCTCTGGGTGGACAGGAGAGTGATTCCGCGCCAGTTCTTGCAAACACTGAGGTCTCCCTTCTTCGGCAGTTTGACAAGGTAACCCTTCTTCCAATCAATAGGCAGGTACCTTCTCTTCCCTCCACACCTTCTGCAATAGTGGTGTGAGCATGTCCGCTGTTGTCTCTGCATCTGTTCTCAGTGCTTCTGGCGGGATCCCATCTGGTCCTGTTGCTTTCCTACATTTCAGTAGCTTTATGGCGTTCAGGACTTCCATTTTCGTTGGAGGATTTATGTTCACTTGTAGTTCTGTGGCTGTAGATGGTATTTCTGGACGAAGTGCAGGTGGTCGTGGTGGTCGATTCAAGAGCTTCTTGAAGTGGTCGGCCCATTGTTTCCTTTGTTTCTCTTCTTTCGTAATTAAATTTCCTTCTTCATCTTTTATTGGTTTCATCTGTGTTGGTCTCTTCCCTGATAGCAACCTGGTTATTTGATACAATGTCGTCAGGTCTCTCTTACCTGCAGCCTGTTCTGCTTCACTTGCCAGTGTTTCGTAGAAGTGTCTTTTGTCTTTCCGTGCACTCTTCTTCACTTCTTTGTCCAGTGCTTTATACATTGTGCTCAGTTCCTCTTGTCGTTGAGCATCCTTGCACTGGTTTATCTTCTGCTTCACCATCCTCCTCTCCTCTATCAGCTTCCATGTATCCGTCGAGATCCATTCCTTGTCCTGTCTTCTTTCTTCTTCCTTCCTAATACTGTTGTGCAGGTTTCTTTCCACATAGCTTTCAAAGACTTCCAGTGTTCTTCCACACAGGTTTCTTCAAGGATGTTCCTCGATATCTCCCATTTTGTCTTGATGGCTGGCTGACGTGAAGATCTCCTTTGTAGTTTCATCCTTCAGTTTCCGAGTGTTGTACTTGAATTGAAATCTATCACCAGCTTCCTTGAAGTCTTTCAACTTGATTTGGAAGGTTCCTTGCACTAGATAGTGAGTGGTCTGAACCTACATCTGCTCCTATTCTTGACCTTGTGTCAAGTAGACTGCGTCTCTATTTTCTTGAGATTGAGATAAAGTCGATTTGATTTTTAGTATGTCCTGGTGTCTGGTGAAATCCATGTCGCTTTGTGGATATCCTTGTGCTTTAACACACTACCTCGCCTCCAATCACCAAATCGTTGAATGCACAGAATTCTGCAAACAATTCTCCATTCTCGTTCATCATTTCACCTAGTGCTTCTCGACCCATGGTTAGGTAGTTCTCTTCTTGTGTTGTCTCCTCCCAGTTTGGCATTCATGTCGCCCATCAGAATTTTGATATCGCCAACTGACGTCTTGTGCAATGTTGATGGAAGTTGTCTATAGAATTCCTCCTTTTTCTCTTGCTCTGCATTATTTGTAGGTGCATAGCATTGTATGATTGTGACCTTCCTTCCTTTCGAGTTGAATCCATCTGGCTGTCATGATCCTGATCATGGAGGAGATTGGTTCCCACTGCATGAGAGCCTTTGATGCTCTTCGGGGGGACATCATGATAGCCACTCCATAACTCAGTGTGCTCGTGGTTGTCGTCTGGGTGACAATGTCGGAGTAGATTATTGATTCTCCAGTTGACAGTTTGGAGAGTCCACTCCCATTCCATCTGCTTTCGCAAATCCCAAGCACTTCGATGTGATACCTTCCCATCTCCTTTGCAATCTGGGCTGCCTCACCGGGTTCAAACATCGTACGGACATTCCATGTCCCCACGTTTACTTTCGCTTTCATCGATAGAGAGAAGACACATCGGCCAATTGGCTTCCCGAAGGCAGGCTTTCACCGAGTGGCGTCATTTCGCCTCTCCGATTCCAGCGAGGAATAATTTTGTTTTCACTTTTTATATTTTGTTTGTGGTTTGAAGTTTGTTTAGCGGTTAGATTTGTTTTACGGGGTAGGGTTGCTAGCCCTATGCCCAACCTTCCCTCTTTACCCGGGCTTAGGACCGGCTAGTAACTAGTGAACTAGTTAACCAGGCGAGGTTCAATGCAACATACTGAAAGTTTTGTCATTAAATGATCAACGGTATACTTACACATGCTTGTTTATTTCTCATCTTACTTACATAACACAATATATATCATAAGTGAATATTTTCTTCACACTTTTCAGGTAATACCAAAAGATGTCAGATAATTCTGGAGTTGTATCCGATCAAAAACCTGAAGATTCATTTATTCCTTGGGGTTTTCCAAATGAATTAAATCTATGTGAAGCAACTCGTCAAGGTGATATTAAAGCGATAAGTAAATCTATTGCCAATGGAGTGAATATTAACTTTTTTGATGGTTTTGGAAAAACAGCCTTACACTATGCAGCTAGAAGTAAGTAGGATAATAAGTATAGACAATGTTTATTCAATAAAAATGAATAGATGGAAATTTTGAATCAGTGAAACTTCTTGTAGCTAATAAAGCCATAGTGAATATATCAGATTCAAATGGTACAACACCATTACATTTAGCCGCTAAAGGTAATTAAATTTCTGATGTTTATTTTATTTTGAATAACTTCATAGGAAATCATGTAAGAGTTGTCAAGTTTTTATTAATGTCTGGAGCTGACGTTAGTCGTGAATGTTTAAGTGGTGTTAAACCAATTGACTTGTCAATGTATAATTCAGAGACATGGAATGTAAGTTGCTTTCAAGACTATTTCGTTTGTATTGCATCTTTTCCGTTTGATTTCTGTCTTCTTTTTTTCTTTACAGGGAAGTATATTTTTAGGGTAGGTTGACTCATTTCTTTCACCAAGAGCAAAGTGTTAAATTCATGAGTCATAATGAGTTACATCTGTTATCCTTTTAAAAATTGTCTATTTATTCTATTAGTTCCTTTCAGCATAAACGATGAGTTTGTCAGTATACATGTCTCTAATTTGAAAGATATTTGTGATAGTATCAAACAGTAATCATCTAGCAAATTTTGATTCGTCACACAGAATAACTTTCTTCCAGTATAATGAGCTAACATCAATCCATTGATGTTTACTTCTTAATCATATTTCGCGCTGAAAATCAACCTTGTGAAGTTCAAATTTCAATATTGAATGTATAAAATCTGTTACAGTCTGTTAATTATTTAGTAAAACAAACAATGTGAGCAAAGAAATATTTCTTTTCAATTAGTTCCTCATCAATGGCTCTACACTAATATAGCATTTTCAAACGTAAAATTACATACCAATCTAATGGTGAGAGTTGTTCAGTGAAAGGTTATCAATCTCAAAGTTTCAAGAAGGTGATAATTGGTCAGGTAATTAAGACAGTTAACTGAAGCAAAGATTAATTATCGTAGAAAGATTTTGCGAACAGGTTCTTACATAACTGATATTTTATATAATGATAACTAAAGAGCAAAAATGAACTGTTACGTAAAATGGTAAATTGTTGACGGTAATTAGAGACAGTAGGGGGAGAGAAAGATGATTAAGTCTGTAATAATAATAATAATAATAATAATAATAATGGAGCTATTGAAATACTAGTTATAGTGAATTGTGTGGTGGATGAAACGAAGAGTCTTGTTGTAATAAATGAGCTATACAGATGGCCAAGGCAAAGAATACTTGTCATGAATACTTGTTCATAACTGATACACAGCACTTACAAATCTAATATAGTTTAAAGAAAATGAATGGTGAAGGTATAGCATTTTCAACGTTTGAGTCAATGACGAAAACACTTTGGAATATATACGTATACAGTGAATCCTGATCTTATCAACGAATGGGAAAATAGATCTATTCGAAGTAGTAGTCTCGAAGACTGTAGGGAAGACAGATCTACTAATTCCGGCGTAGGAAAAGGGGTAAAAAGGATAAATTCTAATTTACACAGTTGAAACTTCGACAGGGTGGTAATCGGATATTTTATCAAAATTCAATAAGTGAAGTATTTAGATAATTAATCTGGATTACTTATTTCATAAAGGTTGAAAGTGGAGATTTTAGTTTCTTTGGTAATATCTACTTAAAATACTCTAGTAATAGTATTGTAGAGTGGTGAATTCTATCTAGAAAACCCATGAAGACTACTCATTAATGAATAGCTTAGTAATGTATCTCGATAATACTATCAGGCGATTCATTCATATAGGTCAAGTACTATTAGCTAACTTGAACAATATGTCTAAAGTATGCAAGTTCAGATTTGTGGTTGACTGGAATTTCTTAAAATATTTATCCCATTTTAGAAAACTAGATTGTAGTTTATAGAGTTTGAACCAAGCCAAGTAATTTTCTTAATCAATGTTCTGCCTACTGGATATGACAAGGTAGTAGAATACGATTTTCGTGTTAAGCTGTGAGTTCAGCAGCTATTCAGTAACGATTTGATCGACAGCATCGTTTATGTGGCATGTAACACTTTAGGAACGTTTCTTGTCATCAGTATAATTGCTTGTATTATACCGTCGTTGATTGGGACGAATTGATCGGTCTCTATTGGCATATAGGCCCCTATGCGGATACCTTGATATTACCTGTGTTCCAATTATAGTAATGATGGATAGTGGCTAGCAGTGAAATCCGACCAGGGGTCGAATTCGGGACCTTCAGGTTTCACGGCTAGCTCTCTAACCATTCAGCCAGTGAATGAAAAGTCAACTCATGATATAGCGTGGCCATCAGTTGGCATTTGCTCCCATTCTAACTACTTGACTCCACAGGTTACGAATTCTCATTAAAACTTTATGATATCCATCCGGAAGTATACCACTAATGAGTATTATTCAGCTATCTATATAGAGGTTAGTAGGGATTTCATTTTTAAGGTAGTAGTCACTACTGACTGACGCCAGGTGATAGTCATGCTATATAGTGAACTGATAGAAGTTGAAAACAATGAACCTAGTGACTGAATGGTGAATACGTTCGCCATGAAACTTGAAGATCCTGGGTTCGGTCCCTAGCCAAGTCGTGGATGCGTTCCGCTGAGAAGTTCCATACTAGGATGAAACAGCTGTCCAGTGATCCCAGGTTTCCAATGGTTCTCCAACTGATGTTAGTCTGTGATGAATACTGCTTTGAAAAGTTTATGTTAATTCTTCAATCTGTGGATCAATTCAGTTAAAAGTAGTTTTTTCCAGTTGTAACTCTTAGAATCCATTTGTTTCTATCACATTGTTAAGAAATGTTTAAAGAGCAGGTTATACTTCCTTTCATATACTTGACTGATGACTATCTCCTAAGATATATGCCTACGAGAGTATTACAGTAGATATTTTCGATAATAATCAAAGTAAAAAAAGTGTTCATTATTTAAATATTTCACTTCATTCAATTCATTGGACAAAATTTTTAAGTCACTAAATCTTATCTTGTCATTATACAGGTTTTACTAAACGCTGAAATGGGTGATCTACCTAAAGTTGACCACCTAGTACAAACGCGTACAGTACCATTGATTCCACAGTTTGCAATCCAAAGAGAAATTGATAAACAAGCCAAAGCAAATGAGAAGAAAAGTGCTAAGAAAGGTGGAAAGAAAAGTGGAAAAAGTAAAGGAGGCAAAAAGAGTGGAAAAGGCAAAAAGAAAAAATAGAATTTAGCAGTTATTTAAAGTAAATTAAAATAGGAAGATAAATGTCAATCTGTATACAATCAAAGGATATCCTTTATACAATTATGCATCAAGGCATAAGTGTATAATGATCTTTTTTCTTACTTATCTCTAATCTTAAAATCATACTTCCTTGAAGAATTTTGTTGAATACATTTAATTTATTTCTGTATTGAACTCGATATTTTGTATTTACCTCTCAAAAATTTATCTCCTTAATAATTTATTTAAACAATTTTTTTTATTGAACTGCTAATGAAGATCTGCTTCCTGTTAACATCCAAGTTTATTTATACAGTATTCAAGAATCATTTTTCATCCTCTTTAGACTTCATCAGTCAGATACGTTAAGAAATTAACTTTTTTTTCTTCCAAAGCATAATATATCGTGGATCTAGTTGATGGATCATGAAAATTACTGATGGTACTCAGATCTTCGTAGTGATAATGCATGAGTAAATATCCTATCTTAGTGAAGTATTGTGGATGTCATCTAATAAGGTGGTTTATATTACTGCTACACAATAAAGACTAAAGTAAAACAGAAATTCCAACCTATTTTAGTTGCTACTTTCATTTAGTGTTTGGGCTTCTCTATCACAATCACCCAACTAACCATACCGGCTAGAATGTTTATTCCATTGAGGTTTTACCGCGGCTGAAAGGTTTGTTAGCTAGTAGTTAAAAGCAAAGAATTCACGGTTGTAGTATAAATTGCTACATTGTGATGGGCATCTGAGAGAGAAGTGGTACTGATGGCTGGATGGGTTGTTACAGTAGTAAAGTGTTTCCTTCATACGACCGGCAGTACCACACTGATGCTGTTTTCCTAATGGAAAGGAGGTTAGGAAAGGTCGGCATCAAAAAATAGCATACTCGTCCCTACCTCATGGTTTTCCGGTACCAGTGGTATCATTTTCCTCTGTCTATCTTTAGAACAACTAAATCTCAAAAAGTCATTTATAAAAGACCTCACGTAGACGTAGCATGAGCTGTACGGTCACACAAATCTTTCTCTCCTTCAGGTACCTCACAAACAAATGGCCTTCCACGATGTGGGAAATCGGAAAGTGTCAACTCCGCACATGCTTCTAGTAGTAAACAAGACCCAATCAAACACAACCTATCCTCTTCATTTGTCTTCACCTCCTGACACCAACGTTAAGCCTCTTAAAGCCTCCTTAGTCCCTCATTATTAGGTCATTGCTAACGATTGAAGCCAGTGAAGCACCATTCCTAGTCTCCTAAGACACCACTATCGATTTCATATTCGTGTTTCAAAAGTCCGAACTCTACGCCAAATCCGACACCAAGCACCGCTCATCATAACTGTGGAATCTACGGTCATGGATGCATGTCGTTTCTCTGAGACACGTGTACAGGATCCGAGTGTGGTTATTAAATTAACCTCAGCCGGTCACATTGGTGAGTCTTCTAAATCCACTTTAATATCATCCGGAGGTCCAGTGGCCAGCTATCTTCGACTCGCTGGTTTATACATAATATTGAGTTGTAAAGCAGGAAATGCGCTTCTCAACTGAATACCAGTGAAGAGTCATCTATGTGCTGCTGGACTGAATAGATCTGTAAGAACTAAGAAAGATCGCAAGACTAAACCATGCCTATTCGTAATCTCCGCCTACGCAGTCGCCGGCTAGTTCGGATGATACAAAGGATGAATTTTATGCAACTCTGTCAGCTTTGCTACAGAAAGTAAAACGTTCACATGTAGTTTTGATATCAAGTGAACCTAATGCTCAGTTAGGCAGGCAAAGCCAATCAGAAAGGTATCTTGAGGGCACCTACGGAATCCCGTGCCAACGAACTGACAACATCGGTCGTCTGTTGCAATTTAGTGCTTTCAATCACTTTTTTCTACCCAGTTATAAATTCAAGCATAAGGAGAGACGCTACCTTATTTGGTGTTTGTCGACATCAAATCAACTGTGAACACCGATACATCATGCTGTTATAAGTGCGGGATTGCCGCTCTTTCTGGAGTACCAGTTTGGACCCAGATCATGTGTTGGTATGGACATGTATATGTCTGTGCCTTATCGGTCACGGGGAAGATGCGACATCGAAGCTTGTCTGTAATTGACTGGAAGATAAGAACGTGAATGTGACAACAATGCTTATCCTAAGGAAACTTGGTGTGATAATCAGTCTACTGTGGAAACAGTGATAAAGACAGTTGCTAATCTACATCCGAAGGTTAAGAAACGTCAACTGACTTCCACAACGTCATCTGAACTGATACTAGTAGTCTCATTCCAGCTTCGATATTTGACTGTGAACATTTCATCACTAGTTTAACTAGCTTCCTAAACACCCAATGAAGGAAGATAAACAAATGTTTATGCAAAATACTACCTGAACTTATAGGTCATTAGATTACTAATGAGACTGATCCCAACCTCACAGGCTGTCATGTTTTTAACACAAAAAATATCAAGAAAAATGTATTTTTTTGACTTCTAAATTAAGCCATTTCTTTCGATTAAACTTAAGTAACATTGACAGCAAATCAGAAAGAATTTAGCTGAATAACCCTTAAGTTATTTTATATACTCACCGTCGAATAAATAGCGCATGGAATAGATAAACGATTTGATGTGAAAACTTGTAACTTTTGTTAGTCAACTCATAACATTATCAGAACAATAATCTCTATGACAATTAAGGGAAAGCTGCATGAAAGAAATGGAATGTAAATGAACAACTCATAGGTTAGGTGGTCGTTGCAAAGCCTTGTATTGTTGAACTCATGATAGATGAAGACGTTGTGAGTTCAGCATTCGGGGTTAGATCAGGACAGGTAGTTAATAACCATAAACAACTAAGGAGATGAACTTGAGCTAATATAGTTCTTAAACAGTAAGGAACAGTGGTGATTGGTGGTTATTTTTGTGTCCTTTGAAGTGAACTGAGCGTATGTCAGAGGTCACATTTGCTGATCTTGATTGTATGGTTTACAGTAGGAACTCTGTTGACTTCATAGTTGAGCAGGTGGAAAACTACTCAACTATTAGAAATCTCAACGTGGACTGTGTAGTTTATAGATCATTTCCAAAGCTTCGGAAGCTATTCCTTCCCTAGACTTACCCAGGCTTTTTTAGCTTCCCGAGTTTGCACACATCTCTTTGCTAATATTCCGGCTACCTCTCTAGTTGCAGTTGATATCAGATCGCAGCTTATTTCAGCTCCTTGTGAAGTCAATCCTCATTACTTTCAATATACTATCCAGATTTATAGAACTGTTAACTGTAATCTTTTCTGAATTATGTGTCTGTAAGAATTACTTATATTAATGGTCTAAGTGTTGAGAGTACAACAACTTCACATTGTAACCCTTGAGTGCTGTTTGATGTTCATAGAGTGTTGCATAAAACTTGCTTACAAGAGGTTAAGAAAAGGTGGTGTTCACAATTTTTGTTCCGTCTATTCTTTGAATACTATTCGATTTGCCCCCCTACCTACCGCATCTTTGGATGACTTAACAAGTTTTTGAACTGTACCTACTTTGAAGAGTGTTCACAGAGTTTTTATGTCGATTAGTATATTCTCTATGGAAGACAGTATACTCGTTTCATTTACTACTGAAGAGTTGTCATTTGTTAGCTGCCTGAATAGATATTTCGAGTGGAGATTTTTACGCATGATTAAGGTCGGAATAGAAATCTAAACAGATATTCTCCTGTTCCATTCTTTAATTCCATAAAGGAATTTCTTATCTTTCGAATAGTGTTATCATGTAATTTGTCCTATGTGTAGTCCCCTGGTGACTACTACAGTTCAGGACGTCTTTAGCGTCAGCTGCCTTAATATGAGCTTGATTTTTCAAGCCTTAACCAACCACTGTGGTTCTTATAATATTTATGAAGTTAAGTAAGTTTATAGCAGGAAATAATTCTCCAAAATCAATAACGAAGGGTTCAATGAGGTTCAACATTCATACTGACCTTTCTAGTTTTGACGGATTTGGCTAAGCTGAAGGCATGTGGTCAAGCATTCATACCATTTGCCAGGTTGTTGTGTTAAGCTGCGTTGTTCATAATTGACATACTAACTAGTTGGCCAAAAAGAATGGGCATCAAATACACTATTTTTAGCTGGCTAACCTATTATCTTGTTCCTTTGTCTCTCACTCGCCGGTGGTTTTTTTCAAGTTCAAAACATGGAAAATTTGTAAAAGTTAACTTTTTCCTCTTCGATGAAGTTAATTCTTGTGAAAACAATATTTCTCGCATCGTAAGTGCTCCCATTTTTATGCTTCATTATAACAACAAACTACTTATCCGAATAACATTGGTAACTCTGATTTCATGAGTAATAAGTGAGTCAACTTCATCCATCCACTCCACATGTTACTTTCTTCTCATTTTCATGCCAAAATTAGTGAAAGAGAATAAAGTAACTAGTTCAAGGGAATCATTTCTTTGTTAATCTATCGGAGTCAAATTTTAAGGCTTACGCGGGGGGATATCCTAGGCTTTAATTTTTAATTATTTCGAAGTCATCAAGGTGTATCTTCAGACGTAAGGAGACTGGTTTGAACGTTTGGCATTCAAAACTTTTTCATTTAGTCCTGCAGTCATAAAGTTGACCAATAATCTATCTAGATCATGATTAGCCACCAGTAAACAAATAGAAAACTAACAGGTTGGCAGAAGAGGTGAGGTGGGGCAGCGAAGATGACACTTAAAATGAACGAAGAGAAGACCGTGGTGATGAAGAAGACACACAAACAACATCAACAACAAAAACAACAAACGCTAATCACCATCAAGAGGAGAGAATTAGAGGAAGGTCTTACCATCACCTACCGACCTGCCTAACTACCCAACCACCTACCTGATTACCTACCTAGAAAGAATCATTTCAACTACAAGCAGCAGCGACACAGATAACGATGTCATAGCCAGGATTGGAAAGACAGAAAGACAGGTCATCCAACATTAATCTGAAATCAGTGTGGAGATCTACTCCACTCCACTCCACTCTACTCCACTCAGCATAAAGCGTGAACAACATCCGGATTTTCAACACTAATGTCAGTCAAGTAAGTCAGTGCTTCTATGTGATGGTTGAGAGACTTGGCAGTGCGTTATGAAAAGTATTTCCAATAAACTGCACACATACATCATCAACAGCTGCCATCTACGCTCACTTGATACTGAAGACCAGATCAGAAGGCCAGAATAATAAGAATAAGCAACAAGGAACTCTGGCTGGCTGGCTGGCTGGCTGGCTGGCTGGCTGGCTGGCTGGCTGGCTGGCTGGCTGGCTGGCTGGCTGGCTGGCTGGCTGGCAAGGAACCTACCAACCAACAACCTATCGCCCAACAAATATGTGGAGAGAGGGGAGATGGATTGGATTGGATTGGACGTAGAGTGAGAAGACGGTTTGGGGACATTACGCTCCAGGTCAGGTCAGGCCAGGCCAGGCCAGGCTATGCCCTCGAGTGGAACCCTCATGGGAAATGAGTTGGGCGTCCGAGGTGAGGTTGACATGGGAGAGATGGTGTGAGGAATCGATGAAAGCTTGTGGGCAGTGTTGAAGCCAGGTTGATAAGACTGCAAAGGAAAGAGTGAAATGGAGACGTGCTTCTGAAGCCGTATGTTCCACTAGGAACCCAAGGGACAAACGATAACAATAGACAAATCATATTGCTATCCAGTCCTTGTTGCTGAGAGCTGATCGAAATCTGTCGAGTGAGAACAACAGCTTTAGCAAAATAGCACGGATCCATCTTACATCGCGGTTTTTCACCGGCTGCTCACAACCTAAAATAGTTTTTACATCAATTTTTATTGGTATTTGCATACTTGAGTTAGTTCGGTAGAAGACTGTCAGCTTGAAATAAAGATAACAGCTATATCACGAAACTGAATAAACAAGAATTGAGTGAATAAGTGAGAATTAATGATAAGTTTGTCAATGTATAGAAAGACTAGACGAATATTCTAGAGCGGAAGTTGAACAAAGCTTATACGGACAGAAAGAAGGATTTATGACCATAGATCTAAGCATTTTCCAAGGAATTTACACATGAAAGGTGGAAAAGCCTTCAACAGCCCTCTTGTTCGTCACTCTTTTGATAGTGAACATGAAGCTGACATTTAGGGTTCATTCAAAATAATTAATAAACAGACCAATTCGAATTTGTTACGTTTCGCTAGAGTGTTAGTCGCTGAACGATTAAAACTGAACTTATGTGTTCAATTATCAGTTTGTGTCTACCGTGCTGAAAATTTTTGTTGTTAACTATAAACGTGTTTTTACATATATTAATCGATTCATACACCCTGGTATTTTTTTGTTATCTCATATTTCACAACTAAGATCACATTAATTCTTAGCTAACGTATTCCATGTAATCTTTCTCAATACATTAAATATGTTTGTCTCCCTCACTTGTCCAACTCCCACTTTAGAATATTCATCTAATCCTTGGATATATTAGCATTTGGACTATCTGAGATAGCAGCCGTGGTTTGACAGACTAGTATTGATACTGGGTGATGATTGAAGGTGAAATGAAAATTTGAACTGTGGTCGGATTCGAACAAGCGACCACTATAGCTATCGCAGATAGTCATAATGATAATCAATACGATGCTCCCCCTCTTAGATTTGTGTTGGGATGATGAATCCTGATTAGGCGACCAGTGTGAATACGATCAAGTGGTAGTAATGTGTCACGAATTCACATAGTAGTCCGGCAAAACCCAAGGTGATTGAAATGAAATAAAAGTCTGATCAGCAGTTGGACTTCGTAACTCAGTTGGTACAACATCGAGCCGGGAACTAGGTGGTCACTGGTTCGAATCCGAACGTGCTCCAAATTTTCACTTCACCTTCAATCATCACTCAGTAAAAATACTAGTCTGGCAAACTATGGCTGCTATCTCATATAGTCAAAATGATACTCAATACGATGCTCCCCCTCTTTAATTCAGCTAGATTTGGATTGGGATGAGAAGTCCTGATTAAACGACTACCGAGTTTTTAGCTCGATGTTATACTAAATGAGTTACGAGGTCCAACTGCTGATCAGATTTTTATTTCATTTCAATCACCATGGGTTTTGCCCAAATACCATGTGAATTCGTGACACGTTACTTACCACTTGATTGTATTTACCCTGGCTGGATGATCTGAAATTCACCACAATCCGGATTTTCACTCCACATTCAATCATCACCTAGTACCTTCCACATATATTTTAACAAACTATTAATTCTTGCGTATTCAATCTGCTGATCATGTTTGCTGAGTGGTGTGACACAAATTCATTGTATGCACAGCAAACATCATTTCTTTCATTGTTGCATATATGTCTTGTGGATTAGTACCAACCGGAAGCCAGGCCCAGGGCATATTGCAAACCTGACTGGTGAGTTTCGATCAACGCTAAGAACAAGGAACTAGATAACTACATAGATTAACCACTGGTTAATGCTTTGTGATTTTGTCTATGGATGGTTTCTCGAGGGACGATATACACGACTCAGGCAGCAGATATCAGTTGTTGTTCATTCATACTTGCAATTTCTTTTTAATACAATGGGTCTGAGCTATATGATTTCTGGTCTAGTGGATAACGCTGCAACGTTTCAAGCGGTGCGTATTGGTTCCAAGTCTCAGTGGGGATAACATCACTTCCTGGGATCAAGGTACATCCAGGTGACGAGCCCCAAATGGGACAAAAGGCTCGTTCTGGATTCCATTGCTAGCCATCAAATAATGTACGAGATTATTTCTTTACCTTGTTTTACCTTCAAATAGTTAGGTGGAAACCATTTTAATTTATTTCATACTAGATGGAGAATAGTTTATGATATTCCTCATTATCCGTGGGCTAGAAGTCTTGACATTCTAAAGAGTCTAAATGACTCTGAAGAAAATCCTGGATAGTTATTATATTCAACTGTGAAATTCAGTTTTCTTCCTTTTACTTTCGTCCACGCTGTCAAAAAAAACTGCTTCAACGGAGTAACTATCCTGTTAAAGTTAATTTCCTACTTTATTTTGTGCCGAATTCATGCATAAACGTGCTTGTTAATCGCGAACTTGAAGTAGTTGATGTCAGTGGTGATACCAACATTTACGCAAAACCTTATAGTCAGATGAATTTCAGTGTCCAGGATGATTGCACTCAATGTCACTGAAATTTATACATTTAACTTCACGAAACCTCTTTCTGGTTTTTGATTCGATAATGCAGCGACAATAGTGAGATCGAGGTAATTCACCTCATACAGTCATATTACTTACGATTAGTTAGTAGTACGAATGTGTTCATAAATTAAATTAGGGTGTAAATGACACCAGCATCCGTTGGGAAAATGGTTTACACCATACTGACTACAAACTGAAATAAAGTGTAAAACTAAATGAGAAAAATTGTAACCAGTTACATTAAAACAGGTTTCGTTTGACAAAGGATGCGAAATTATGTACCAGATATTGATTGGAGAGCTATGGAACAGTAAAACAACGGGTTAAATAAAACACCTGATGTCTAGATGAATTCGTCAGATAGTTAAGAATAAGTGAAGGAGCATTGAAAGTGTCCAAGATGAGTTAGAGTAATCTAAAAAGGCTTAGAAAAAGTGTAAGTAATTATGGACAAGAAGAGCACTAGGTAGTGAAACAGACTAAAGTTGTTAGAAGGAAAGTTCTACGACAAGATTACAAGTTATGTAACAAAAGTTTATCTTCAGGGTTATGTATATCCGAATCTTGCTGTAAAATCAATTAATTTAGCTTATCGGAAACACATTCTTTGAAATCCTGTTTTGTGCACCGATGCATGTGGCTGTTTCTATAAGCCAAGTTATTGGAGAATAAATTAGTTAATTCACTTCGAAATACCTGTGATTTCCTTAATGGTTTATTACTTAGCTTTCATCACATCAAATAATCTTCTCCTTTTATACACATCCACTTATTTCGAAATCAAATTAAAGCAAGAAACCCTACAACTTACTGAGTCATACTACAATCACTTGAAGATAATGTGCCTTCTTTTGATTATAGCACTGGTTACTTGTTAATGGGTAAGCAACTTGAAGTTACCGAATCATGAGTGCTAATCAAATTCTAATGATCAATTTTGTGATATGGTCAACAAGCTATTCAATTCCCTATCGTAGTTAGTACCTTCTAAAAGAATTAATTTAAAGCTTAATCTGACACATTTATAGGATTGAATTAGTATTGACTAGTAAAGTGGATCCACAATCTTTGATGATATCTTATCTTCTATTATTAAAGAACCGAATTTACATAAACAACTCCTGGATTCGAAGTTACTTATTATTGAGTTATTCAGGTGAAATAACAGAAATGCGTCAATTATACAGACTAAAAGGTCAAAAAATGAATGAACTTTATTAAAATTTATTTTGTTCTCAATGAACATATGATTTTTATGTATTGCATTGTAGACTGATGTTTAATATAATATGAAATTGCCTAACTACTTCTTTTTCACCTTAATCTTATTTGATAAAAACATTTTACACTTAATTTATACTGACACATAGAAAAGCACAGAATATTATTTCAATGCAAGTATAATATTCGACTACAGTTTTTTTTTTTTTAATAAATCAAAATCAAAAAATTTATATCCATTCAAGCAATAAAGAAAACAAAAATTGAACATTGAACATTGAACATTGAACATTCTCTTCTATTCAGTTTTGTTTGTTATTTATCCTTCTCTTTATCCTATTGAATTTAGATTGTTAATTTTTAAGTACGATAGCATACAGCACCAATATTAACACTTAGTGAACAAGTGCCTTGTTTATCGAAATTACGAACTTTAAAGTCAATAATTGGTAAAACTTCTAAATCTTTTGTTTCAATCAATAATTTTGTTGCTGCACCCTTTGATAGATACTATAATAAAAAAGAAAGGAAAGAAAACTAAAGAAAATGGTGTGAATAGTGTCCAGAATTGAATACAACTTATTTATGATTCTCTTTAGAATTCAATGTGAATGTATAAAGTTGGGTTGATAGTTTGACAGCTTGCTTAACTGGTAGGTGGTTAACATGAACTGTAAGGTATAAATTTCATAACTTTCACAGTAACATTCGCAAACAAATTAACTAAATCAATACATTTGAATTTAGGGGTTTGTGTGGATTTAGAAAATTTTTTTCAGGTTGGTATTCATCACTAACTGACACCAGTTTCAGGAACATTGGAAACCTAGGAGCACTGGACAGTTGTTTTGTGCTAGTATGTGACTCTCCAGTAGTGCGCACTCACTACCCCACCTCGCCAGGAATCGAACCTAGCGACTTTCAGTTCCCGGGGTCAGGACGTTATCATTGACTCACTGGGTCGGAAATCCAGTGATCCATATTTCCAAATTCTGTCAGTTCATGACAGTGCGACAGTCACCCAATATCGTTGTTGAGTATTTGTCCTCATGGCCACCAGGTTTGCTCCATTGATCACGACTTCTCATTTTAACTTCAGGAATCTCCTCTTGAAGTTAGTCACCACCAATGAGCACTAGTTCTATTCAATTTGGGGTTTTGTGGGGATTAAGAGATTTTTCAAGTTGATATTCATCATAAATTCACAATCAGCTTGATGAACATTGGAAACATGGGAGCACTGAACAGCTGTTTCGTCCTAGTATAGGACTTTTCAGCAGTATGGACCCACGACCCCACCAGGGTTCGAAATAGCTGTTCAGTGCTCCTAGGTTTCCAATGTTCCTCCAACTGATGTCAGTACATAACGAATTCCAACCTGACAAATCGATCCAGATGTACAGTTTCAGCATCTATTCACACAAAGAGCTGGTTTAGTTGCGTCATCTAGTGCAGAGCTGGGAAGATTTAAATCAACTCTAATAGACTGTTACTATTAAGAGGAAACGACAAGACAGAGACATAGGAAGGAATGCTTATTGTTTACAAGTGGTACAGTAGTCGTAACGTATGGTATACCTTGCACTAAGGTCATCATTTGCAAAGTGTGCTTCATCTCCTCTCATGCTTCTCTGTCGATCTGCTCTTCAAACGTTTCTGTTGTCTCTTGCGTTTCTCTTCGCAGAATCCTTACCCATTATTGGTAATTCCCTATGATTTCTGCCACCCACTCAACATATACTACTTATATCCATTCTTATCAGCAACGCCCACTACACTATCAGTATAAAAACAATAAAAATAAGTCAAGAGGTATATTGACTAGTGAGGCCCTTAAAATAATCAGAAAGGATGAAAACCTCATCATCATAAGCCCGGATAAAGCAGCTGGAGTTGTAATTATGAAGAGAGTTGATTATGTACAGAAACTAAATTTAATATTGTGATTATTATTATTATTATTATTATTATTATTATTATTATTATTAATATTTGTCCCTTGGGTTCCTAATGGAACATACAGCTTCAGTAGCATGTCTCCATTCCACTCTCTTCTCCGAAATCTTTCTCACCTGGCTCCACCACCGCCCACAAACTCTCATTTCTTCCTCACACCACCTCCTCAATGTCACACTCAACTACGACAACCAACTCGTCGTGTCCCATCTGCATTACACTCAACGGCCTGACCTCGCGCATCATGTCCCCAGTCAGCCTTCTCAGTCTATGCTTCATCCAATCTATCTACACTTCATTCTGCAAACTGGTTGCGTGATAGCTTCTTGGTTGGCTCTTTACCAGACACAGCTCATTGTTGTTCATTCTTATTATTCTCTCCATCTGAGCTTCAGTAACGAGTGAGCATATGCGGCAGTTGTTCACCAATGTCTGTATCTTGTTGGAAATCCATTTCGTAACTCGCCAAGTCTCTCAACCATCACATGGAAGCACTGACTTGACAATAGTGTTGAAAATCCGGATCCTGTTCACACTATATGCTGAGTGCAGTGCAGAACATCTCCACACTGGTTTCAGCCAAATGAACACCTGTCCGAACGCTTTTCCGATTCTGACTTTGACATCCACATCTGTGTCTGTGGTGTCTGTAGTTGAAATGATGCTGTCTTGACTGAGTAGATGAAACAGACTACTTCCCTTACGTTTCTCCCGTTCATGGTGATTGTTACCTCTTGTTGTTGATACTGTTGTTGGTTGGTTATCTTCATCACCTCTGTCTTCTCCACATTCACTTGAAGTGTCATCTTCTCTGCCTCTTCCGCCAACTTGTTAGTTTTCTCCTGTACATCTTCAAGTTTGTGTGACATTAGACATAAATCATCAGCGAAATCTAAATCTTCTGAGTTCTTTCCCCCGGTCCAGCCAGTGTATCCCCCTCTTCTCACAGCTCCTCACTGTTTGTTGCATGATCCAGTCCAGTTGACCAAAATCAGGAATATCATGGGTGATAGTAGGTGGCAACCTTGTTTCACTCCTATCTGCACTTCACTTCAAAGGCATCACTGAGCTGAGCTTTCCATTGTGAATTAATTGGCTGGCATGTGACCTCTTCATATAGTTGTTGAATGAGGCTGATAAAGGTTTGTGGTATTCCGTATTATTGAAGCAGTTGCCAGATTACTTCTCGGTCGACGCTGTGGAAGGCCTTTTCAAAGTCGATGAAGCTGAGGTAGAGTTGAGTTGAGTTGACTGCCATTCTATACTCTGTTCTATGATGATGCGTAGTGTAGCGTTGCAATTTGGTCCGCACATGATTTATACTTCTTGAATCCAGCCTGTTCCGGTCGTAGTTTTGAATCCAGTGCATCCTTTAGTCTCTTCAGAATGATGCGGCATAATATTTTGCTTGGGGTGGACAGGGGTGTGATTCCGCGCCAGTTCTTGCAAACACTAAGGTCGCCCAAATTTAATATTGCAAGACGAAAGCAAATTTCAGAAACTATAGTCAACGAAATACCTAAACGAAAAGCATAAAAGGACCTTATCATCTAACGAAAAAAACTGAAAGATGATTGACACATTTCACTAACCTTATCTAAAATATTCAAGCCTATATGCAGCACGATCCCACGGATACATGGTTTAATAAAAATACACAAACTTGAGGTGCCTCTTCACTCTATCCCAGACGTGACCAACTTGCCTTACAAAGTTATCGCTAAATGGATTTTATGATTACTTCAACCTTTACATGAAAGACACCTTCCATTTTGTAGACAAAATAAAAAGCTTAAATGTTTTAAACAGATGCATGGGACCAGTAAATATCACATCTTTGTTTACTAACGTCCCTCTAACAGAAAAGGTGAATTATATTTGTGAACAGTTATTGGAAAGAAAATTAGATACTGGCACTTTGGTTATGAAGTTGAAAGAACTGCTGCTAAAATGAATGTCTAGTTTATCTTCAACAGTAATCTGTACAGACAAGTTGATGGTATGGCTATAGGATCTCCGTTGGGTTCAATATTTGCCAATTGCCAATATGGAGTTGTACTGTCGATACATAGATGATACGTTTTTAGTCTTTGATAGGTCTACATGTATTAATTCTATTCTGAACCAGTTCAACAGTGTTCATGCATCAATTCATTTTGCATACGAAAATGAAATCAATGATTCAATGCATTTTCTTGATGGGTTAATGACAAAAAACAAAGATGGCTGTATACTGAGAAGTATATATGGAGAAAACTAACGTCTAAGGCACAGTATACGCACTTTCTCAGCTTCGAACCAACGAAGTACAAGTGTGATGTAATCAGTTGCCCAACTTTTAGAGTAAGATTGATTTGTTCCAAGGAGTGTATGGAAAAAGAACTATTGTGTATCCATGATATTGTAAGTGAAAACGGATATCAACTACATTGGTCCTAAACAAGAAGAAGAAGCCTTTGTTTCTGTGCTTACAATTTAAGGAAGGTGTTGCAGGTGAAATTCTACCACAATGCCTAACTAAAGCAGTCAATAGGACGTTTTATGCAGGTCGCCCTTGTATATCATTCAGTAATTGGCTAGTGCTCAATGAGACTAAAGGATAGCCTACCTAATCTTAGCTCTTTATCTTACATATAACATTCTAACTGTTCCTGTGGAACTATTTAAATAAGGCGTACGATTAAGCAGATGCTTTTCCGAATACAAAAGCATTTAGCAGCTTGGTTCGGAAAGGGCGAAGTGAAAGTGATGAAAATTTCGATCCTAGAGCATCCAGTCGACATAGTCCATCACACAGATGTTAATAAAGCTTTCATTGTCATTCATCATGTTCCAAAAATGACACCACATGCAGCTCGCCAAAGCCTACTCAACATAGCGAAGGCTGTCGCAATAAGATTGAATAAGCTTGAACTCTTCATTTAGAAAGAATATGTCCAAGCGTAGCTTCTCCCTTGGACTTCAGCAAACTAAAGCCCACTCCTACCATCTTATTTGTTATCTTTTGCTCACCATCACATCATTCTTCTGTATATGTATCATCCCAATATTGACTAATTTAAAAAGATAAATGGACTTCTCTACAATCCCTAAATCTCACTCCATTTTAAAAATGCACCTGCCCCTAACATGGCTTGTTTTTACGCTGTACAAATGCATTTTATAATTGTAGAACGTGAAGAGAATTTACTGTAAAGAATATTTTTCCTTCAGTTTATTGCTTTCTATAAATATTATAAGAATCTTTAGTTGTTTGAAACCTTACAAAACTATTATCTCATGATAGTGCTTACCATTCGGCCATCGAATCAAGTTAATTATCACAAATGGTTCATCAACTGATGTCAGCTCGCAAAAAACATCCAAATGTTTCACACTACTGTTAAATAGAAGTAGTTAAGAGCCACTCACGTAGATTAGTTAAAAGTGATGAAAACACCGGATGGTCTGTTTGACCGTTAAGGTACGCTGATAATGAGTTCAGGCTTCGTATGAATGATCTCATTGGTCAATCATACAAATTAGTGCTTGTAACTGTTACTAATAAAGTTGTTGTCTCTAGTTCACGACAATCTTGCGCAAAAGATCAAACTTTATAATCTTGAAACAAAAGTTATATGTTCAAGGGCAAATCTCAAAGATCGGAGAACGCCATACAATTATTATCTTCATTTTGAGCTATGAATCACCTCCATTGTTTCAAACGTTCCTATTCTCTATATCGCCTAGCTATACATTGATTGTTCACTGGAGGGGGACCAAGTGCATGTTGTCAAGTCCTGAGTGCTGACCGGACTCTGTCGATGATTTTGCAATGTAGCTACCAACCTGGGAGGCTAACAATCACGGTTTACTTGGTTAGATGTTACTTAGCTTCAGGCGGTCAGCGGGGAGTCCTGCTCAACCTAGGCTTCATGCATGTTAGTATTTGTCAGCAAGACTTATTTGCGATTTCGAGAGAACCAATGTCCCCTCTGAGACTGAAAACTATGTCACCCAGTCAGCAACGTTACGTCGTTGCTTGCAACAACATTTCGAATGATTGTTCTACGGATATTGTACTATCATCAAAACTTTTGTCAAATTATCAAAAACTATTACTTTAGCTAAATAAAAAAAAGCCCTACGATCAACTCACTTGACATCCATCATATTCAACTATGATACTTGTATCCACACGATCCAAATTATTTCGATAATTACGTTTATCCATATGATATTTTCCAGGACCTAATCTTTCACCAGATGTCAAGTCAAGCATACGTTCATTATGAGCTAACAAAGCTGTCGCCTTATCGAAATTAGATTGACCTATACGTGGATTCCATGAACCGTAAATTTCTGTTCCATCACAAAGAAATTCAAGCTCTTGTGATGCATATCTATGCTGTATACGTAACATATTAACTTGTGAATGACTTCCATAATTGTGTAACTGAAAACAGCATTCATGAATAAAGCAATCACATTAGTTTGAACATAGATTATAGAATACACATAAACATCCAGCTACCTCTAAAAAGATAAACTATTAACCAAATAGGATGTTGTTAATTTAGTCGAAAAGAGGATAATGTGAATCTCAGATCGACCGTACCATGCATCCATTTGTGAAACGTGCAAGTGAACACAATCCAGCCTGGCTGACTGGCAAAGGGAGAACGGAAATGTATCTTCAGTTCGAAAACAGAATACCTCATGAACTCGGGCAACTTGGCTCCTTTTGAAAGGTCATTCAAACTATTCTACAGGGTTCGATCAAACCATTCGAAGGGAGTAAGATTAAGGCATTTCTCTATAACTGAACCACTAGCCATCCAAAAGTTCGAACAAGCGTTATGCGTCCAATCTTTATTTCTTTTTTCCGCGGTCATCACAAAGCCTTGACTGTCATAGATTCATCCCGTATTAGATAATTACACATGTATTTCCATAATCCCTTGTTTATTTTCCTACTCTGCCATACATTCATCTTGTATTGCATAATTACATTTAATTTCATAATCTTTTGTCTATTTTCCTACTCTAAACCCAAATGTGTATTAATTAACTTCCTTTAGTCATTAAATATATTTTGCCCCCTAACCAAATATAACCCTTAAACGTTTTGCCCACAGTAATATATACTCACGAATGTACAACTTAGTAAGTGACTTCATCGAAAAGAAAATTTCCTTTCTTCGCTCCAACCACGGTTTATCTTTTCCTATGGTCAAATGGGTGTATTCTGCTGTCTCAGATAAGTGTTACTGGTCGTATTCCTTTATTTAATTTAAAATTCCTTCTACGTATGACCTAAATGACAACACTGTTGGACAGTGGTTCAAGAGCTTTTGAATGACGTCTCCTATATTTCGAAAGTAACTGTTTATTAAGGGAAATTCATTTTTGCTCACTGGAATTGCGTAACTCATCGTGTGTGTGAATTGAGTATATGAGACTGGGCAAGTATACTGGAGACCAATCCCATTCAACATCAGCGTAAATGCTGAATGAGCCGAATCATGTGCTGAAGTCAATTACAACCAGACAAAGTTATAGCAAATCGGTCACACAGTTAACACAGGAATATAATTTATATTAGTAACAAAAACCATTATTTCACATCAGTAAGAATTCCTTTCCTTTTTCTAACCCAATATAGACAGAAAGAATCAACATAGTACCTCGTACACAAGTGCATCGGTTCAAATTACCACACTTCAAAGTAGTATAAGAAGACCAGTGGGTAGAATAAAAGTAATATCAAAATGGACAAAGTTGTGTGAGAGTCAAAAATTCAAGACTTAGAAAGTATCGAAGAGAGAATACATCTGTGCCACTGTGGCCGATTTTCAGTGATGTCATCAAGAGTCCTATACTTATCGTCTCAGGAACTACAGCCAAGTAGTCTAAACCCCCCACATGACTCAGATCAATAGTCAGAGACTTCATTGACTGGTGACATGTCTTGGTTTGGTCATCCTGAATCCTCTTCTAACCTAATCCAAATTCTCCTAGAATGGCACGTCGAAGTAGACGGTGACTAGGCTTGCGCAATACTTTTTCAACCTATCTCAGACAATGAAGGTCCATGACTTAACCAGGTGACTAGCCTATCTTGCCTAGCATCCTTCACCTGACTTCAACATACCACTCATCGTAATTCCACCAAAAGCAAACAATTCTACGAAGACATTTGTGATCGAAACCCATGGCTCAACACACCTCAAAGATGACGGGATCAAGGCACGACAAAACTCTTCTCCCATTCACAACACTCCATGGACATTTGTGTAACTTAAAAATGCTTTACTTTTTAGTGATTTCAGTGTTGATGAAGTCACCACAACAGGCGACGCACTATTATCGACCAAATATCGAAGTTTTGAATGTGTATAATTTTGTTCAGATTAAGTTGTGCCTAGCGTGATACTGAAATGTGTCTCAATCATAACCCGAGACCAGAGAACAACTCATTCTGAAAATCCACATACTGAACTATAAAAAAAAAAATACCCTTCACTATTTCACCGTGATTTTCATCTGCATTCTAAACTCTGAATTTTTATTTTTTTTCAAAATTATGTTTGGCAGTCAATTCTCTATGACTGAGAAAGTTTGAAACAAAAATAATCAGTAATATATCAAACTATGACACAACACGGAGTAGCCATTAAGAAATTTGGGTTGTTTAGATCTTAACCTTCATCTGCGTTACATTAAGGAATGGCCACTGTGTAAAAAAAAACTCAACTCTAAAAGGTGATGATAAGTTGTATTTCTCTGCTGAACTCAAAGTTGTTACTTACCACATAAACACGGGAATGTTTCAACTACTTTTGACATTAATTTGTTCAGTAAAACATATAGTCCCATGAAAAATTAACAAAAGACACTAGTGAAGAAAAGAAATCTAATTCATTTTCTATGCACTAAAAATGGAAGGATTTCGCAGATGATGCAGTAATTCAGAAACTGAAAGTACTTTGAAGAGTATTCACTGGGAACGACTATCCTTCAAGGTTCATTGAGGAAAACATGAAACCTAAACAGTATCAATAAAGAACTTCTACGGTTAAAAAGAATGATTCAAGAGAGATACAAAGGAAGAAACACTCAAGAATCCATTGTATAAAGAACACCTTCCTTTACACTCAATTTCAGATTATTTTATTAAGTCAATAACTCATTCGACAGTGTGTAAGGGATAAATTACTACTTCCGACCACCTCCATGTGTTGTTATCAATTCACCTGTACTTGTGGAATGACCTACGGATCCCGCTGAGCACGAAACGTGTATTATCCAAAGGAGTCTCCTAACACTGTTCTATTTAGCTGTGTAAAGAATAGTGCAAAGTGATCAACAGCTTGATTCTTGAATATCTGATTAAGTTTGGTCACTCTGCTCCATAGAAATCTTTCAAAGTTATTTGTAAAGTGAAGTGAAACATTATGAAGGAAGTGTATATTTGTCACCTGAAAGCAGAAAAAGGTTTGGTGATTCATCAGTCCAAATCTGATCGCTGCTTTCAAGATAGGTATGTTCAATTGCTAACTTTTCCTTGGTCATAATCTCCTAAAGACATTTTATTCATTTCTCTGTTTATTATTTGTTTATTTATTGTAATCTTGTAGGCAATTTTTGATGACCTTCAGTTGACCTTCTGGCCGTTATTACCTTGTGGTCTTATTGACCGTTTTTGATGACTTTATACTGACCCATTTGCTACTAATAGATATTTATTTTGTAGTAACTATGATCAAAATTGTACAACTTTCGAAAATGATTCGTCGAAATGAAAATTTTCTTTCTTGAGGTGTCTTTTGCGAATGATTCCAATAACTTCATTTATTGTTATTGTCACGTACTCTTCTTCCATAAACTGTTGAAACATACTGATACCGAAATATGCTACTGAATAACTTGAGTAGTTAGAAACCAATCACACTGGTTTGTAGATGTCAGTTAGTGATCTAGGCATAGGGCGATCGTTTCGCTTGTTTGGGGACGAACTAATCAGGGGTTTACCAAGACATTGATCAGCAGAGTTGGTTTCTAACTACTTAAATGATCAGTAGCATATTTTGATAGTTCATGACATTTCTATGTCAGAGATCACACTTTGTGATTCTGCCTCAGAGGGGGTTTCCAATTCAAATCCTGCGGATCCCACAGTTTTGTAGTTAAAAAACTCCTCAGCTGTGAAAATTGCCAACGTGGGCAGTGGAATTTGTACAGCATATGCAAACTGTTCATCCTTTCTATATCCCAAAGGTAGTATTCATCCTGGACTGATATCACTTGGAGAACCAATGGGACAGAACCTGGGTGCGATAGACAACTGTTTCCTCCTAACATGGGACTCCTCAGGAGTGTGCACCCACAACCTCACCAGGGATGGAACTCAGGATATTCAAGTTTCACGGCGAACACATTAACCATTTGATTAATGAAACTGTCACATCATAAAGACAATGTTTATACTGTTTCACAAAATGAATGATACAACTTACATCTAATGGCATTGTGGAATTCATCACTCTTAAGTGACTTTGCCACTCACTGTCACTTGGTAATGGTTTCAAGTATGTGACCAGTATACCCTAAGATAAGAACAAACTTAATGACAATAGAGAATATGCAAAAATAAAATATTACACAAAATTCACTTGTCTGTAGACAATTTGAATAAATTTTACTTCGAATAGAAGAAAAAACTAACCACTTTCATGAACAAATTAGATTTGGGGAAACACATTCCTGATAATATCGTGAACTGACAAAAGTCAGCATATCTTAGCAAAACGATCATTGGTTAAATATTAGGTGAATTTTTAAGTTTACAGTAGTTACCTCGAGGTTTCAATTACACCTTCCTTATGAGTAGCAACTAACAAAAACATCAGGTCAAGCAGGGCTTACTTAAGATCATCTCTAGTAGCAATAATATGAAAAGTAGATCAATGCAGGGTTGGATATGCTGGTAATGAAGGCAACTGGCAAGAAAGGGAGGGTTATATGACTTGTAGGAAATTAGATTTGCTGAAAATGTTTAGCAAAAATGATTATTTATGGAGGTATTTTTCTGCTTCTTGAGTATAAGTCAGAGTTCATGATCCATTGTAAACTTCTAAGTAATTAATGACCTACAAATACACTTGTCGACTTTATAATTACAGTCCAGAATAAGAGTACAAGAGAAAATCTGTGCTGTTACCTATATTAACTAACTTGACTGGTGATTTCATTAGGTCATTGTTATATTGGCAGATAGCTAAATCGATAACTTACCATTCTGAAGACTAAGTGACAATCAATCAAATATTCATAACTACTGTCTGCTAATCAGCTGACCCCGTTTAGTGTGATCTCATCAGAATGCTTACTTTCTTTTCAGCAGTACAACAACTTCATGGGGAAACAAAGAAAATTACTTGATGTACATCCTAAAGAAGAACGGCTACCCACCAAACTATTAGACAACACCTATCCCGTACATCATCAACTACAAAGTAATCGACAGAAATCAAGAAACGCATCATCCTACCATACATAAAGAATATATCATAAGTCACGACAAGATTACTCAGACCACTTCGAATTCGCTTGGCTCATTAACAAACAAATTCCCTCCTGACACTATTATGCACACCAAAGCATGCAACAACCAAAGAAGACAAACCCAATTTCATTTACAAAATCAACTGCAATAACTAACTGTAGTCAATACTACACTGGACAAAGTGGTCGCCCTCTTCGCCTTCGTCATTTACATGAACACCAATTGCCTATTAAACGTGACACACGACATCTCATCAATCATTTCAATGCAAGTGGATAACAACTATCCACATGAATTCAATATTGACAATGTAGAAATTTTTGACAGAGAGAGTAAACACAAAGAATATGTGAGAATTCCTAGGAGCTTGGCATTCACGTCAGTCAGTCAGTCAGTCAGTCAGTCAATCAGTTAGTCAGCAATCAACAGATATATAGACATAAACCCAATCTATCAACCAATAAGAGAAATGATAAACAACAGAAAGGCATAGAGGTGAAGCAGAGGGATAGCCAACAGGAGAATCTATGCAGTCAGTCAATGACACAATAATCGAAGGAAACAACAGTCAGTCATAGACCACTTCGTCACGGTAAGCTACTAAATCACTGATGGAGAGATATTGACAGGTCACTTCATACTGAAGTTAGTGCTGATGATGTCGCTGTCTAGCAAGACGATGGAGGCTTTACGATTAAACAACGCAGATCAGAGAACACAATACAACCGGGACTTTTACACTGCCTTCGTAATTTGTAAATACATTTTGGACTGACTTAACTGGTTGATCTTTCCATTGTTTATTACTGCAAACATCATCTTAGTTGATTTCTTTATTACATGTATCACGTAGTGGGACAGTTTTGTGGTTCACTGGATTGCGTTTCGGATTTTATTTATTGTCCATAGTCTTGTCAAAATAACTCCACAACTTTAAGACATGGTTTCCACAGTTCTAATTCTCTCCTTCATTGTGATGAGTGAAGTAGAATTTTCTATATATCTGAATAAGAGAGAATCTAAAGACCACACTAACGACCTCTGTTTTTTTAAAAAGCTATTATCCTAGCTGTTATACTTGAAACGCCTTGTTTATCTCGTCCGCTGCTAGGATGACCCTTTAAATGCCACCCTAACAACTACTGAAATAACCAATCAGATTTCGTAATTTCGCCTGAGAAGCCAGCTTTTCATAAAACGGAGAGACGTAATTGGTCGTCTCGGAAGTTGCTGTGATAGTCCTTAAAATTGGGTGACTCTAAAGATGACCCTAGTAACTGATGTGAAAGCCAATTACATTCCTCTAGTTTATGGTAAAAGTACTTCCTTAGGCGAAATACCCAAACCTGATTGGTATATTCAGGAGTTGCTAGGGTGGCCTTTAAAGTCACTCTTTAAAATCCCTCATAAAATAGGTGCTGAGTCATTTCCGTTGCACATTTTGGTGTTGATTCAATAAACAAAGACTCACTTATAAATCTCTAACTCCACCCTCCAATAAGTTAGTCTCAAGGATTGTTACTCTGTTCCATCAATTTGTATGGTTGTGTGGTTGAGCGTTTTGCTAGATTCCTCATCGAAGTAGGATCTAACAATTTTGATAGCTAAGTTTTTGTGCTGGGATGGTCGAATGGTAACTTTAATCGACTACTTTGACCTATGTATTTGACCTGGCAATTGTTGCAAGGGATTCGGTAAATCAAGTTATTTTACTTCACTGCATCAATAAGATCCTTTAACCCCCAAAGCTTGTTTCGAAGTGAGTTTGTAGGTTTAAATGTCATTCTAATCCCAATTAGCCTTATTGACAATCCTACGTAATGTTTCTGAGGTACCTTCTTTGTCTGATAATACTGTAGAGGTTTTGGATTCTCTCTTGACAGTATTGCCACCACCATTATCAACAATACTACTGTTAATACCTGTGTTGATAATATTCCGGTTACGATTCTTAAGGAACTTATCAATTAATTCAGGAGGGTAACTGTTGGTGAGTAAGGTGTTCTTAATGTGTCTGTTTTTTTGTCTCAGATCTGTTTTGCTAGTAAGTTTCTTGGCCCTGTTACTGAGAACTTGACTGAGCCAATTTTAACTGCCAAAGAATGACATGATTTGAAGTTCAAGTAACGATTCGAGTGTGGAGATTTTCTGTTCCAAGTTGACATCTTAATGACATAAAGGTCACTGCCTTAAAACAGAATTTCAACTAGAAATCTATTCATTTTCAATAACGGCGAAAAACACTTATCGATAAAATTCTCTTACCTGGTCCATACTTGAATCTACGCACGTTTCAACAGTTCCATCATCGTAAAATGTACACTTGGCTTTAATTGCATCCTTGTTTGAACCTTCATTTGGATCAATCCAATAGCTACATTAAAAAAATATTTACCAAGAATGCATTATGTCATATAGGTGTTTGGTGACAATATTGTAAGCTTAACTGTTGAGATTCTCGGATACGGTTAATTAGAGACGCATAATCTAGTCACTGAATGAACGATACAATCCCCACAAACCTCAAAAGAAGGAATCACTCATCAATTAGATCAAGATAACCCGTGTAGAACGCACCAAACTCCTGTGCTTAATCAGTCAACAAAAACGAATAGCCCTCTTCAGTCAAATTCAACCAATCAGCAGCGGCTAAGACTCCCCCAGTTGGAGTAAATCAACCTATTAGTGTGAACCGTCCCCCTTCAATATATGCCAGCCAGCCAATCAAAATAAGGTGACCTTCATCGATTCGTTTAAACAAAAAGGATGGGCCAACCACAATGAAGTGACCTCGACGTACTGTAAGCGAACTAAAGAAATCAATCACACAGTTTCACACACCTCTAAGAAAACTACAGGTAGTAAGTTAGTCGATTAGGTTCAGCATGCACTCACGCGCTCACCAAGCGACCAGTCAAATCACACTCAGGCGAAGTAGCACTGATGATGATGCATAGTATGGTATTGAGACGTTTGCCAACTAAAACCCTAGTTCAAAGTACACCCTATTCTGAACATCCACACACTGAGCTACAAATATTCGCTATAACTTCTGAGTAAATTTCTTTTGGTAAAAGTGCCTCAGTGTATTTTCCGGGTCGAAGCTAAAGTTTACGGAATGCGAATGCGTCAATACTGTCGGTAATTTGAATTTGACAATATTTGAATCTCAAGTGGATGATCTCGATTGTATTATGTTCTCTGAGGGTGGTTGGATGGTGGAGCTTTCATTGTCTTTCTAGACATCATCATTAGTACTAACTCTAAATGAAGTGAGCTATCAATATATTTCATTGAGTGATTTAGTAACTTGCTCTGAAGAAGTAGATTGTGACTGGTTGTTTCCTTTGGTTGTTGTGTCATCAACTGAATAGATTATCTTGTTGGTTGTGTTTCCCGAAAGACAGTGAAAGTTCCACGATCAAACCATCCAGTTTAGAGACCAAAACATACTCAAGATACTTCTAGTTTCTCGCTGGTACTGCGAACCGAAACGACTGACATCTGTTGGCATATAGTATCCTGGACTTCACGGTTGCCCCCCCTCCCTCCGGCTAATCAAATTAATTTAAAATGTTGGGTAAAATCATTAATATTGCATATTATAACCAGTTAATTATAATTTAACTTCTTTCCATGCAAACTGCTAACTCTAAACGGACAACAATATTCATGTCCTGTCTATCTTTAAAGAATGTTTTTGCAAAACTATTTACAAAAGCTTAAATGGACCTGGTTGAATGTTTAACTTTATCGATGGTTTCTAAGTTAGGATTGAATATAATATATCTGAAATAACCTGTACGGAAAGAATGTATCAGAATCCAAAGTAACTCTAGTTATTTGTTAGCTTAGCAGTCTGAGATATTTAAATCAACTGGTCCCTTTAACAAATATAAACAGCGTAATGAGAAGACGAAGATTATCCAAACTATGTAATGTATTAGCGTTATACATTTTAACCTATCTGATGACACATTGACTTGTCGAACTGTTTATATGAAGTGAATCGGAACATAGGAATAGGAAGGGCAGAGAAAAAACATCTTAATCACGTTACTCTTGGTATGAAAACTCACATCAGTACTACCAAGGTAGGTTCAACGTGAGTACGAATTGTTTTTGTATACGTAAAGGGGGTTCAAATTTATGGATGGCAAGAGCTTCAATAAATTGAAGCACTCGGCCATGACCACATTTATGTAATACTTTAAAAGCTGTTTTTATGTCTACGTTGTTGTTAGTTTCTAGTATATATTTAGCAATAGATGAAGATGGATGTTTGTCACCTGCACTTAACGGATCTATTGAGGTTATTTGTTTTTAAAGCCTCTTTGGTACATGTTCAACCATCAACTTCATCTCAGTAGATGAAACGGTGCTTGGACTCGCAATCCTCTGACTGAAAATCAACTCCGTGGGACAATGAGCTAAAATTCCACAAGGACAGGAATATTCTTTATAATTATATTTCAAAAAAAGTATAATCAGTCTGCAATCAATAAATCCCCGCAAACCTCAAAAGTGAATTAATCTAGTGCTCATTCATGACTCGCTTCGAGAGGTGTTTCCCTAAGTTTCAATGAGAAGCTGTGATCAGTGGGACCAGCAAAGTGGAACATAAGGACAGTTACTTAATGAAGACATCGGATGGAGATTGCGTTATATCGTGAACAGACAGTAGTAAGAAATGTAGACTACTTGATTCCGACCCAGTGGCTCAATGGTAAGGTGATGGCTAAAGCACTTGAAGGTCCTTGGTTCGACCCCCTGAGGGGGCGAGAGCGGGCATTGCTGAAGTGTCCCATACTAGGAAGAACCAGCTGTCCAATGCTCCCAGATTTCTAATGTTCCTCTAACTAATGTCAGTCCGTGATGAACACAAACCTGAAATCAGTAAATCTCTACAAGCCACAAAAGCAAAGTATTGCTTTGTGTGTACATTTATGCCCTTAAAGCTCTTTCAGAAATATATATTCCGCACTGATGGATCTATAGGGAACCGGTTACTGTTATCTAGTCAGAAATGCTGGCTAAATTCTATCAAACATTTCGCTGTGTCCCCACCCAACTAGGAGACTCAGAATGATGGTGCACTTCCATTGATTCTGTATGACCTGAATAAAGGTTTCGTGATTTTCGGCGCTTGTTAGGAATCCGTCAGTATAATCTGAAGGGATTTGATACTATGTCATAGATTTAAAACCTCGTCAGTCAGTGATATAATCAAAGACATTATCACTAAACAATTCACATTATGAGTAATCATCTGTAGGATTGAATGACATACAATGTTTTTGGATTTTCTTGAGATAATTTTACCTATTTATATCATTAGTGTACAATCTTAAACTGAATAAGACAAAATGTTATTTCTTTACAACAGATTTCCAAGTGCAACAAAGACAAGGAGTTATTTCAATTGATTGTGAAAAGTATCTGTAATAGATCAGTACGAACCAGAAGCGGTGAAATTCTAGGAAGCAATATCATATAAAAACTATACCCGTCAAACGAGAAGTGTCTGTCGTGATTTGGTGGTGGTGTGAACAGCACTCTGGCGTTTGAAGTGATTGGTCGCGGGTTGATTCCTAGTGAGAATAACATCGCTCATTGGGAGCTAAGTACATCCAGTTGACGACTCTTAAATAGGATGAAATGAGGGTCGTCGATTCCACTGCAACCATTATCTATCAATGAGGTATTCCTATGATTTAAGGAGTAGTTGTAGTGATGAATAAACCGCTAGCATCGGTGGCGTACAATTCAACGATATTTGGCAATAGTGTCCGCCTTCATAGCTATAATGGATTCGTTTGGTACCTCACCATGTTAGATTTAGCTACTCGTGTATAGTATCACTAGGTACATAAGTCATACATGTTGGTTCGTTGGTACGACGGCCATTTTGTGTTGTTTATTGGTACACAGACTTGTCAACTGTCAACAACTGCAATAAATTACTCTCAATCTCAAATTCTAAATATGTAGAGTAGTTTGATACTACTCAAAGCCTTTTATTGTTAGCTATTAAACTTACGTATCGTTCTCAGCGAATTTATTCGTCAATCTGACATCTTTACACGTTCGTGCTGGATTCTGTGGAGTTAAACCAGTTGCATAACGTCTTGATCGTACTTTCTTATTTAATGCATCAACACGACCAAATATATTTTTATTGATTTCTTCTAATGTTTCTTCTAAAGTGTACAAAAAGATGAACTATAAAATTGTTTAAATGTACTGTAAAGTAGTGGAGAATATTTGTAGCTCAGATGGATGATCTTGATTGTATTGTGCTCTCTGAGCTGGGCTGTTTAATCGTGAAGCTTTCATAGTCTTTCTAAATGACATCATCAGGCTGACTATCATTTAGTCAGGGCAAGCTACTAAATCACTCACGGAAAGACATTGACAGCTCATTTCATACTGAAGTTAGTGCTCATGATGTCGTCTAGAAAGACAATGAAAACTGTACTGCACAGTTGTTGTTTCATTACCAGTTAATACTTGAAAACGTATAGAGTACATAAAAAGACTGAATTCCAAATGACGCCATAAATAATTATTGCTCATATGTTATACTTTGATTACTTCGTGTGTTATGAATTGGGTTTTATAGTTAAGGAAGGAAATTGTGACTCAATTTAACACCTGACTTGCATTTAACATGAGATATTCATCATGAAGTTCGAATCTCCTGAAAGATACTACTTGTTTCTAAAATTACTCAATTTACTCATTACGACAGATGAAGTTTGATGGTTTGAGCAGTTTCTTTTTACTGAGTTGATACAGCACAAGCCCACCCCTATTGAAGTCAGAGATATAACTATGAAGACAAAACACGACCTGGTGAAACGGTGTAGTGATTCACTCTGTCGAACCTCACATGAGTAACAACCAGAGAGAAGACAATGAAAGTACCAACATTGTTGAAACAGATAAAAAAATAAGAAGAATAACCGTATAGTAAGTTGTTTTTCTACACGAAAGAGGATATCAGCGGAAATGAAACTGATTTTGAGTCATATCCATTAGGTTCAATAGTCTATTTAAGTTACTTTGTAGAACCTTGTTACAGCTAGAAAGTGCAAAGCTTTAAACCAAATGGTAAGAGTTTATTGGTTGGTTGCCAACCTCCATGTTACCTGTTTGAGCGTAGGATTATAATTATGTTTGTCTTACCATGGTAGTTTACTTGGTTATGGTAAGTAGAAGAATCCAGGAGGGACATTTTGTCCTAATTGGGACTCTTCAGCTGGATGTACATTCACCCCAGTGAGTGATGTTCCCACTGAAACTTGAACCCCGTACTCATCGCTTTAAAAGCCAAAGAGTTATCCATTAGGCCACTGAGGCACGGTGGCCATTTCTTGTACAACAGGCAACAATTCTAAGAAGAAATGCACCTCCTGGATTCTTCTGCTAGCCATAACCAAGTGAGTTATCGTAATACTTATTCAGACAATATCGAGGCGTCCGCATACCAGCCCATATGTCAACAGAGGTTGAGTAATCCGATCCATCAAAACAACGGAGAATTATAAGTAGATCAACAAAAAGTTGTATATTTAAGAAGGTTTTCTTCATGAATTTTTTGATCGTTTTTAATTCCTTTTCAACTCTTGAATCACTAAGTTCACTCTAATCTCAACCACTGGTAGAATTTTGTCAACCACTTTTGTAATGTGGTCACTAGGCTAGGATAGTCACCACTGTGATGCATTGAGATAGATGTTAGTTAGATGAAGACAGTTGGCAGGAGGCTATGATACGTAGGTTTTAGGATCGATAGAACTCGACCAGAACTTGGAGCTAGACAATATGAAGTTAGTTTTCCTCCAGTGACTAATCTACAAACTTGGCTTATGGATTTCTAGAAATCCTAATGAGTTGCCATGACTTATAGGAGCAGCCGGTTAGGGTGAGAAGACAAATATTCGCCAATGGCTTTGGACAGTGGTTGGACTATATCGTGAATTACCAGAAGTCGAAATTCTGATCCAGTCACTGAATGATAAAGTGCATGTCACAAGATCCCACCGACCTGGATCCAATCCCTGGTAGTTTCGTGAATATGCACAGTCGAGAAGTCCCATAGTACAGGTTGTAAAGGCTTCTCCTATTGATATCAATTCATAGTGATTTATACCTTGAAGCCTGTTCTTTTGTTTTCTTGCTGAATAAACATTACAAATAATTAAATTTACTAATACCTTTTATCTAATTAATGAAAACAGAAATGGCTAATTAAGACATAAGTACAGTAGAAAAAGAGGGGCATACGCTGCACCGATGAAAGGAGCCTCAAAAATTTGAATTTCGCCGATGATGATTTATGTTCAATGTCGTAAAAACTCGAAGATCTACAGGCGAAAACTAACAAGTTGACAGAAGAGGCAGCGAAAATGGGACTTCAAGTGAATACGGAGAAGACAGAGGTGAAGATAACCAACCAACAACAAGAGGCAACAATCACCATCAACGGGAGAAACCAGTCTAGGCAGCGGCAGAAGTACAGACGAGGATGTCAAAACCAGGATCAGAAAGACAGCGAGACAGGCTTTCATCACTTTGAAATCAGTGTGGAGATCTACTGCACTCAGTACAAAGAACAAGATCCGGATTTTCAACACCAATTCAGCCAATTCAGTGCTGTTATATGGTTCAGAAACTTGGCGCGTTACGAAAGGGACTTCCAACAAACTACAGACATTCATCAACACCTACCTACACTCAATACTGAAGATCAGATGGCCAGAAAGGATAGGCAAGGAGGAACCCTGGGAACGAAACGACGAAGAAGCTACCACACAAATATGCAGTAGGAGAAAGTGGAGATGGATTGGGCATATACTGAGAAGACCGACTGGGGACATCACAACGCCAGGCCATACCCTCGAGTGGAATCCAAAGGAGAAACGACGAGTTGGGTGTTGGAGGGTGGCATGGAGGAAATGGTTTGAGGAATAGATGAAAGCTTATGGGTGATCGTGGAGCCAGGTTGAGAATACTGCAGAGAACAGAGTGGAATGGAGACGTGCTACTCAAGCCCTATGTTCCACTAGAAACCCAATGACAAAATAATAAATAATGATAAATGCAGTACAAAAAAGCAATCATGACACCAAAATGTATATTTATTAACTGAAAGGTTTCAGTATACTCCCCAACAAAGTTGAATGGAAATCCTACATAAAAGATTGATTCCATCTAATTACATTGCCGCTTATTCAGTCCATGTATATCACAGCGAAAAAAAATATTAACCTGTGGATATCTTCTAGTGTGTCAACGATAAATTATGATACCCCAAGCTAACTGATTAATAAGACTTTCTAACTTCCTTTAGTTCAACTTGAATAGAAATTGAAAAATGTCATGGGAGTTAAGGGGTCAAATGATTGATTTATTTTTTATTGGCTTTCTGTGGCAATATAAATCATCCTAGATAGTTTAAACCATTAAGTGATTGATAAACTCATGTAAGTTTTTGACATACAAAGCTTAAACTGTTAAGCGTATAGCATTCCAGGATGTAACTTATGCCTTTTTCCAGGATTTTAATCTATCGATAACTTTTTAAAATAGGAATGTGTATACTTTGAATGCTTAGTGAACACTTGGTCTCTTCAACTAAGAGAGATCCTTCCTATTCTGCTTCAAAAGTCAACCAGTTTTTCCAGATACATTTAAATCAAACATCAAGATGATAAGCTTGTAATCTTAAAAGTACTTTCCATCGATATTCTGCAGTATAAAGGAAGCGATGAGGAATACCAGATTCAAGCTATTGTTACTCGGTTTGGGTCTCTATGAGAACAACATTGCTTACTGAGATGCAGGTACATCCAGTTGATGAGTCCTATATAGGACGAGATGTGCATCCTGGATTCCACTACTAGACATGAAACAGACAACAAAATAATGAGTATTCAGAAAGTATAGAAGCACCTGCATAGGAACCCGTCTTCCAACAGATGTCGAGCAATGCGACCCAGTATAGCGACATGTATCAATGTTGTTTCCAATTGATGACGATAGGACACAAAGCAGATACCTCAATCTTTTGAAATAGTCAAGAACATGAGTTAACAAGGGCATTCTGTTTTTCGGACTCTTTTGCAATCAAATGTTTTGAACCTCTAGTTCATACACCAGAATAATACCATCTTATCGTTTTACTAATTATTCTAAAAACAACAAAGAACTCGAGTTCCTTTATATTCTGTTCGTAAAAAGACATGATGATTCTTTAAGAAAATCGATTTACAGCAAAAATAAACCTAGAATAGACAATTTTCAAAGTTAGGTTCCACCATGCAGGAAAACAGATCTAATTTATTCACTATTCATAAGAAATAGAAGGATTTGTATACACGATGTAGTAATTGAGAAGCTGGAAGTACTTTGAAGAGTATTCACTGAGAACGACTATCCTTCAAGGTTCATTAAGGAGAACATGAAGCCTAAACAGTATCAATAACAAACTTCTACGGTTTAAAAGAATGATTCAAGGGAGATACAAAGGAAGAAACACTCAAGAATCCATTGTATAAAGAACACCTTCCTTTACACTCAATTTCAGATTACTTTATTAAGTCAATAACTCATTAGACAGTGTGTGTAAGGGATAAATTACCACTTTCGACCACCTCCATGTGTTGTTATCAATTCACCTGTACTTGTGGAATGGCCTACTGATCCCGCTGAGCACAAAACGTGTATTATCCAATGAGTCTCCTAACACTTTCTGTTTAGCTGTGTAAAGAATAGTGCAAAGTGATCAACAGCTTGATTCTTGAATATCTGATTAACTCTGGTCAGTTTTGTTTTCTGTATTTCATGAACACACTTATACTTTCATTCTTTCTCGCTGTTACCGCTACCCCCGGAACACCGACTGGTCATTTAGCAGATTTAATCTTGATGTTCAAGTTATTAAAAAAAAAATTTGTTGTACTTGTAAACTGTCTCAAGTTGACAAGTCTTAGAGTGGATTAGAAATTTGCTTTGCTTTTACAATTGACTTTAGAAGCTACTCTAACTACTGCTGGATACGTAATCACTCAATTTTATGAAAAAAATGCCCTCCAGGCAGTCAAAATCGAAACCTGACTGGTTATTTCAGTATTTGCTAGAGTGGCCTATAGTGTCACTTGACATTTGCAACTCTCACCCATTGTTGTTGTAATCTGCTCTAAAGTTCACCCTTCTACTCCCACAGCTACTGAAATAACCAGTTAGACTTTGTTATTTTCCGAAAATCTGCCTTTTCAATAGGCATACAAAAACCTGACTGACTATATTATATCTTTCCAAGGTGGCTTTTAGCGACACTTGTTCCTGTTCTTGGCTGACTACTGAGTCTGAATATTCTCCATTGGGTTACAGACCAATTTTCGCTCTCCATAAGTTTGTTTAACAACTCGTCCAGTTTATAATGAACTGAATATAATCAAGGACATAAGGAATACTTTGAAATACCTGACTATTACACTGTACCAAGTGGTCCAGCAAGTTGACCCGAATTTTATGAATGGTAAAAACAATGAAGCAAGTGCACTATCATGGATGATCCTGAGCCAATATCACCTAGCATTATCAATCATATATCACTATCGTCTCATGAAATCATATCAGTAGAGGTACTTATAAATTCGCACCTCAGACTAGCGGGTATTTCACGAATTGACGTTAATTATAATTTACACACAGCAAAACCTCAGACGAAGATTTGGATTTCGCCAATGATGATGATGATGATGATGATGATGATGATGATTCATGTCTAATGTCTTGTCGCACAAACTCGAAGATCTACAGACGAAAACCAACAAGGTGGCAGAAGAGGGGAGGTGAGGCAGCAAAGGAGAATGGGACTTCCTTCAGTTGAACGTAGAGAAGACAGTGGTGAGGAAGATACCCAACCAACAACAACAACGACAACAACAACAACACAATCACCAATCACCATCAACGGGAGAGATCTAAAGGAAGTTCTCTCTTCCACCTACCTACCTAAGCAGAATCATTTCAACTACAAGCAGCAACGACACAGATAACGATGTCATAGCCAGGATTGGAAAGACGGAAAGACAGGCCATCCTGCATTAATCTGAAATCAGTGTGGAGATCTACTCCACTCCACTCCACTCCACTCCACTCCACTCCACTCCACTCCACTCCACTCCACTCAGCGTAAAGCGTGAACAACATCCGGATTTTCAACACTAATGTCAGTCAAGTAAGTCAGTGCTTCTGTTTGATGGTGAGAGACTTGGCAGCGCCTTATGAAAAGTATTTCCAATAAACTGCACACATACATCATCAACAGCTGCCATCTACGCTCACTCGATACTGAAGATCAGATCAGAAGGCCAGAATAATAAGAATCAGCAACAAGGAAATGGCAACAACAACCTATCTCCCAGCAAATATGTGGAAGAGAAAGGAGATGGATTGGATTGGATTGGACATAGAGTGAGAAGACGGTTTAGGGACATCACACTCCAGGTCAGGTCAAGCCAGGCCAGGCCAGGCCAGGCTATGCCCTCGAGTGGAACCCTCATGGGAAATGAGAAGTTGGGCGTCCGAGGTGAGGGTGATATGGAGTAGATGGTGTGAGGAATAGATGAAAGCTTGTGGACAGTGGTGGAGCCAGGTTGAAAAGGCTGGATAGAAGAGAGTGAAATGGTGACGTGTTACTGAAGCCGTATGTTCCACTAGGAACCCGAGGGACAGAAGATAATAATTATAATTTTTTGTTCAGTATGCACCATTTCATTCCGCATGATGTAATTAAACAGTGTGTATACGTTTCACGAAACAGTACTTACCAGTTGCCGTAACAGCTGATCGTCGGTGTCTCATCAATAATTTTTCTCCACTGTTGGTAATTTTCACTTGACCTTGAGGTCCTTGTTTACCCATTGGACCAGGATCACCTGGATGTCCCTGCTCTCCTCGAGGACCTGTTTACACATGGAAAACAGGAAAAACGAATAAAGCATAGTGAATCACTGAACACCGTTTAAAATTAAGGATTTGTTGTTCATCATTTTAAATTTATTATGATGTATTTCAGAATAAGATTTTATTAAGTCTGTTAAACGTGTTAGGAATTTTCTCGACATGACAGTAAGAGTCATTATGTATCTAACGCTTTTACCGACTGATTATGGAACATTTAAGAATTTCTGTTCATCAAATAGGTACGGAAAGAATCATATCAGGTCTCAAACTGTCATTAAACCATTTATTGACATACTTGTTATTCTCCGTTGTTTTGTTCGATCGAATTGTTCAACCTCTATTGGCATATCGGCTCCTATGCGGATACCTCAATATTGCCTGAATGTTAATTATGATAAATTGGTTGGTTGTGGCTAGCAGAAGAATCCAGGACGCGCGTTTCTTCCTATTTGGGACTCGTCAGCTGGGTGTACCTGTACCCCAGCGATGTTGTTCCCACTGAGACTCGAACCTCGTACCCATCGCTAGCCACAACCAACCAATTTATCATAATTAACATTCAAGCAATATCGAGGTATCCACATAGGAGCCCATATGCCAATAGAGGTTGAACAATTCTATCCAACAAAACAACGGAGAAAAATAAGTATATCAATCAATAGTAATAGCTACTACCCGTTGTACAAGAAGTGGCTGTCTTCCCTCCGTGGCATAATGGATGACGCTTTGGCGTTAGAAGCGATGGGTACGGGGTGCGAGTCCCAGTGGGAACGACATCACTGGGGTGCAGGTGCGCCCAGCTGAAGAGTCCCAAATAGGACGAAACACCTATCCTGGGTTCTTCTGCTAGCCACAACCAACCAATTTGTCACTTAACCATATTGAAAAATTCAGTAAGACAACCTTGCCATTTCACCTTCATAATCAGCTGCAATCAATACATAATTTACCTGTTTTATGATACTGACGTACAAAAGTTGAAATGATTTAGTGAATTCAATGTTGAATAAACTTACCCTGTAAGCCAGGTGGTCCTGCTGGACCTGTTGGACCTGGAGGCCCAGATTCACCCTCATCACCGTTTGGTCCCCGTGAGCCAGGCGGACCCTGGTCTCCATGCTCTCCCATTTCACCTTGTTTTCCAACTGGTCCAGGATCCCCCATGCTACCTTGCTCACCCTTAGGTCCCGGTGGACCAACAGTTCCAGGATTACCTCCCACTCCTTTAGGACCAGCTTCTCCTTTTGGACCAATTGGACCTGGTGATCCCTTGATTAGATTCAGTAGAAAAAAAGATTGAAGCAATCTTTCCCAATTTATGATACAGACACGAAAAGAATATGTTACGCACGAGATAAACACTTACAGTTTTACCGGCATTTCCCTTTGGTCCAGCAACTCCTGGTGGTCCTTGAGGTCCCTAAAATATTTTAGAAAGTAGTTAAACACTCGAAACGTTTGCAATAAAACTTTATATAATTGTTGAAAGACAACTCACCTGCTCTCCTTCAGGCCCCTGTGGACCAATTTGTCCTTCAGGACCCATAACTCCCGGTAGTCCACGTTCCCCAGGTGATCCTATTGGACCAGGAGGCCCTCGGTCTCCTGGGTCTCCAGTAGCCCCGGTTTCACCAGCAGTTCCAGCAGGACCTTGAACACCGGGGACACCAACTGGTCCAGGTGACCCTGGAGGGCCGTCATCTCCGAATATACCTTCTGGGCCGACAGATCCTCGAACACCATCTTTGCCTGGTGGACCTGCAGCCCCAGGTTCACCTGACAGTCCTGGTGCACCCACTGGACCCATTGGGCCTTGTGGACCCTGAAAAACATTAAAAACACGTAAAGTGGTTTCAGGTTTGTTTGTGACATCAAATGAGCGTTTTCAGAAATAAGTTTCTTTTAGGCTGAAACCAGTTAAACACTATAAAAAAGTGTTTCATTAAAGTTAAAATTAGCTCATAGGAAATAATTTGATAAACCTTGTTATTTACCTGCATGCCGGGTTCTCCAACTATTCCAGGGGGTCCAGCAGGACCAGGTTGACCTTGTCGGCCTGGTCGTCCAAGTGATCCTTTCATACCTTTTGGTCCGACAGGTCCGATACTTCCTTGTACACCTTGTTCCCCCCGTGCACCTGGTTTTCCTTGTTCTCCCTTCAATCCCGGTAATCCCGAAGGACCAGTAACACCAGGTATTCCCATTTTACCTGGAGCTCCAGCCAAACCAACAGGTCCAGGAAATCCAACCGGGCCTTCTACACCAATCGTTCCCTTTATACCGGCTCACCACGTGGACCACTTGGACCAGGCGAGCCCTGAAAGATAAAATTAGCAGAAGGTTAGAATAGGCTTTTCATACTTTCTGTCCATAATGCACATATTTTTCAGAGATATACTCTCCTCGTGTTATCGTCTCTAAGGTGTCACAAATGGCTTCCTTGTAATATTTAGGACCTAAGTAAACTCGCATAAGACTAGAACAGGCTGGCTGGCTTTAGGAAGAACAAATCATATGCGGATAAAATTGTAACGCTACACTACGCATCATCATAGAACAGAGCAGAGAATGACAGTCAACTCAACTCTACCTCAAGTTCATCGACTTTGAAAAGGCCTTCGACAGCGTCGACCGACAAGTAACTTGGCAGGAAGCTGTTCCAACACTACGAAATACCACAAACGTTTATCAACCTCATTCAACAGCTAGATGCTATATGACGACGCCACATGCCAAGTGATTCACAGTGGAAAGCTCAGCTCAGTGATGCCTTCGAAGTGAAGACAGGAGTAAGATTAGACTGCCTGCTATCACTTATGACCTTTTTGATTGTGGTCGTCTGGAATGGACTTGATCATGCAACAGACAACTGTTAGGAGTGAAAAGATGTGCATACGCTGGCTACACTGATGAAAACATCCCTGACGAAGATTTGGATTTCGCCAAGATGATGATGATGATGATGATGATGATGATGATGATGATGATGATGATGATTCATGTCTAATGTCTTGTCGCACAAACTCGAAGATCTACAGACGAAAACCAACAAGGTGGCAGAAGAGGGGAGGTGAGGCAGCAAAGGAGAATGGGACTTCCTTCAGTTGAACGTAGAGAAGACAGTGGTGAGGAAGATACCCAACCAACAACAACAACGACAACAACAAAACACCAATCACCAATCACCATCAACGGGAGAGATCTAAAGGAAGTTCTCTCTTCCACCTACCTACCTAAGCAGAATCATTTCAACTACAAGCAGCAACGACACAGATAACGATGTCATAGCCAGGATTGGAAAGACGGAAAGACAGGCCATCCTGCATTAATCTGAAATCAGTGTGGAGATCTACTCCACTCCACTCCACTCCACTCCACTCCACTCCACTCCACTCACTCCACTCCACTCCACTCCACCCCACTCAGCGTAAAGCGTGAACAACATCCGGATTTTCAACACTAATGTCAGTCAAGTAAGTCAGTGCTTCTGTTTGATGGTTGAGAGACTTGGCAGCGCCTTATGAAAAGTATTTCCAATAAACTGCACACACGTTAGTTGGTTGGAGGCAGTCGGCAGGATGCACTGTACCTAGGTTTCGTGCTCTTTGGCACTCGTCATCAAGGCGCATCTGCAACGTCGACGGAACTGATGTCCCATCCGAGATACGAACCTGGCGTCACCCAGTGTTGTAGTCAGCGTCTTTACCACTGAGGTATTCGGGCCACGACTGACTTCCTGTAGGACTGGCTTACATGTAGTGATTGGTCACGGGAGTGCAACCAATCAATGCAAACTGCACACATACATCATCAACAGCTGCCATCTACGCTCACTCGATACTGAAGACCAGATCAGAAAGTCAGGATAATAAGAATAAGCAGCGAGGAACTCTGGCTGGCTGGCTGGCAACAACAACCTATCTCCCAGCAAATATGTGGAAGAGAAAGGAGATGGATTGGATTGGATTGGATTGGACATAGAGTGAGAAGACGGTTTAGGGACATCACACTCCAGGTCAGGTCAAGCCAGGCCAGGCCAGGCCAGGCTATGCCCTCGAGTGGAACCCTCATGGGAAATGAGAAGTTGGGCGTCCGAGGTGAGGGTGATATGGAGTAGATGGTGTGAGGAATAGATGAAAGCTTGTGGACAGTGGTGGAGCCAGGTTGAAAAGGCTGGATAGAAGAGAGTGAAATGGTGACGTGTTACTGAAGCTGAATGTTCCACTAGGAACTCAGAAGACAGGTGATAATAATAAAATAAATCTTCCTAGGTGGAATTTATAATGAATAGTAAGTGTTGGTACCTATTTTCGAACCACTAAACCAGGAGATCTCATATTTTTTCCTCCTTTTTTACTTTAGTTTAATATCAGATTTGCGGAAAGCTGAACTGGAAAGAGTAGAATACTCATTTAAGTTGATTTTTGTGCTCCTATTTCGCCAACCAGTACTACCAACATTCGGTTAAGTGAATGTGTAGATAACAATTATAACCATCAGGATATTTTGAAAAAATAATGTTATTCGTTAGAGGGATGTCTATCTACCATAATGATTCTATGAAACTCAGTATTCAACTAAAACTTCATGTGAATGAAATGGAATTAACTATTAACTATTTATAAGACCATTAAAATTTGTTCATTTCAGAAAGACAGACAACATCTAATAAAATCACTACGTGAACAGAATTCAAAACTCACTTGCACTCCAGTAGGTCCCAGTGGTCCCGGCGGCCCTACTTTACCTTCTATGCCCTTCGGACCTGCAACGCCAGTTTGTCCAACCTCTCCTGGTTCTCCGACCATACCTTGAGGACCTGGCGATCCTACTGCTCCTTGCTGGCCTGGAGAACCTTGTTCCCCCTAAAGGAAATGCAACAAAGCCTGTTTCAAACATATAGTTATGGGCATCTAACTCTTAAGATGCTTACTTACTATAAGGTGAATAGTAGAAAAACATGTAACAAATTATTTTATTTGAACAACTCACCGCTTCACCTCTATCTCCCTTGGCACCTTGCGGACCTGGGCTTCCTTGATCTCCTTGTTCGCCATCTGCTCCTGCTGGTCCACGTAAACCAGGTTTGCCTATTAATCCTTGAACACCCTTTTCACCTTGTTCACCAACTGGACCAGGTGGACCACGAGCACCTTTATCACTTTTTAAAGTTGACAGGAAAGATTTACAAATATTCAATGACAACTGGTGAGAAAGTTCCAATTTATATTTTTATCTGCCAAAATGAGCAGTGAACTTACCCAGGCTCTCCTTGACTTCCTGGTAATCCTTGTGGTCCTACCGGTCCTATAGGACCAGGTGGTCCGTGAGGTCCAGGAGGACCTCTATCGCCTTTATCACCAACGCTCCCAGAGGGGCCTGCACGACCTTCATCTCCCTTCGCCCCAGCATCTCCAGGTGGGCCAGGTGGACCACGGGTTCCTCGTAGTCCAACAGGGCCACTAGGACCTGGAGGACCAGCAGCACCTTTTGCACCTTTTTCACCCTGTAGTTAATTATCAGAAGAAATTATGACACAAAAGTAGTCTTAACTAGTTTCATTTATCTTTTAAAATCATAGCAACTGTGATATTGCTACAAATAGAGATTTTAGCATATTCAGAGGTAACTTAAGCACATTTGTAGTAAACAAAAATCAAGTTAATGAATAACTATTCAGCATTACGGTGAGTTAACTACCTTAAAGTTCAGATATTTTTCCTGTTTTACTAAAATACTTTATGACTCACCTGTTCTCCTTCGATTCCCTCTACACCAGGTTTCCCGGGAACGCCTTGAGTCCACGTGGTCCTGGTGGGCCACGTTCACCTGGAGCTCCTTGTTCTCCCACTTGTCCTGGTACACCAACCATACCTATGGGTCCAATTTCTCCAGGTATTCCTGGCTCACCAGGTTCACCTCGATCGCCTAAAAGTCCTGGTGGCCCTGGTCTACCTGGTAAACCCTTAATTAGGAAAAAGATAACAATATTTACTGTTATATATATATATATATATATATATATATATATATATATATATATATATATATATATATGATTGAAAGGGAAAATGCTAAAGTATTTTCAGAAGCTGTTTTTCATTTTACAGAATATAAAGGTTTTGTCAAAAACTTTCGTATTCAAATTGAAATTCAGATTAGCAAAAGACATTTGGAAACACGTTACAACTGAATGCATATTTCGTTCCAAATTTTGCTCAAACTTATAATTCCCTTGCAAATGTTTGAAGACTGTCATCTGTGTCATAGTGTTGTCTGTTGTCTGTTACATAATATTAACATCCACAACAAATCCCAAGGTTTATCATGTTTCTTAAGTGACTTTTAAAGACCATCTTAACAACAACCGAAATAACCAATTGGATTTCTTGATTTTGTGAAAATCTGGCTTCTCAGACGAAATAAACAAATTCAGTTAGCCATTTCAGTAGTTACTATGACGTCATAAAGTGATTCTTATTGTTTGTGTTCTAGTCTAATGGGCACAGACTAGTCCCTTGGGAGTCACTGTAACAATATGGAAAGGGTAAATTTCAATTAAAACTGACAGCCACGCAGTTTCACCACCTCAGATTAGTCCATTCTACTAATTTGTTAGCCCGTTCATCAGTGTCTAAGTATGACCAAATCATCCAAATTCATTTACCACATCAGTAGTGTTAAGCGTTGTTCGTGGCTCTTACATCACTCTATTAATAAAGCAGCTGTTCATTAACTACATCCAAGTAAATGTAAAAACCACCTTAGCAACTGAAGAACTGACCAATCAGGTTTCGGTATTTCGGTTGAGGGAGCAACTTTCATAAATAGATAAACGTAATTGGTTATCTCAGCCGTTGTTACGATGATCCTTAAAGTAATACTATAAAAACGCTAAGATATCCTTAAATATGGGCGACTGAACAGACCAATCAGGCTCTCTGAAAAAGTACTTTCACATAAGACATAGGAATGTAATTGGCTGTCTCATCAGTTGCTGGAGGGGCGTTAGGTGATACTTAAATTAGGAATGATTTTAAGAGTGACTTTAAAGGCCACCCTAGCAACTGCTAAGATAACCAATTAGGCTTCTATTTTTTATGCAAAACTGCCTTTCTAGCCAGAATGCCGAAAAGTGATTGATTATTTCAGCTGTTGCTGGGGTGACCTTTGAAATCGCCCCAACCGATAAGATAACATTATTCTGTTTGATGAAAAACTGTCTTCCCAGCCAAATTACAAAAGTCCGATTGCTTACTTCAAGTGACTTTAAAGGTAACCCTAAGAACTACTGAAATAACCAATCAGATTCCGGTATTTTGGTTGCAAAGGCAGTTTTCATAAATAAAAGAAGTTTAATTAGTTGTCTCTAAAGATGTTAAGGTGACTTTTTAAGTTGAATTACTCTAAAGTCCAACTTAACAATTACTACGATAACCAGTTAGTCGTTGGAAAGGTAGATTTTCCAAAACTCAAGAACCCAATCTGATTAGTTAGGAGTATTCCCAACGCCTACCCTAGCATTCACTAGGATAATCATTCAGGAACCTGGATTATTGGAGTGAATTTCATGCCAACCTGAGCAACGAACAAATAGCTAATTAGGCTTCTGTAATTCGGCTGGAAAGGAAGATTTTCATAAAAAATAAAAATCAAATCGGTTGTTTCAGTTATTTCTAAGGTGACCTTTAAAGTCGCTCCTAACTTTAGCTAGGAAGGTAGCTTTTTGAAAGGAAATAGAAATGATCGACCATTTAAGTAGTTGTTAGGGTAGCCTTTAAAGCCACTCATTAGGCCACTTCATCTAACAGCTAGTGCATTTCGTACCAATGATCTAATGCACGTGACATCAACCGAGCAATAAGAAATACACTAGGCACCGGTGTTTCAGAAATAAGCTTCAGTCAAATCCGAGTATCTCATGTGTTGGATAAATGAACAGGTCACATGACCCCATTAATAAAACAGAATACGCTGCCCTCAGTGCTTGTTTTTAGTTCCTACAGTGCCAGAAAGATCTTGGATAGCGATAAGATTACAAGCAGTCGTCGTTATAATGTAGGTAGCTACGTTATGATGGGAGATTTGAGGGCAAAGTCGTACTGCTAGCTGAACGGGATGTTATGGTAGCAAACTGTTCCCCTCGTTTTACTAGCAGGATCATGCTAACGCGCCCTTTCCAGTGAGGTGAGACTACAGATAGTTGCCACTCTCCCCCACCTTCAACATCATGCTTCTCTCTTCCCTACTGTATTTCAGTGCTGGGAGCATAGATTTTTCTTGTCCAGGATTGGCTCAACCCGTTCTCAATCCAACAAGCTTAAAAAATATCCTGTGTGACAGAGCTCAAGCTGGAAGTTCCATGGGCCCTGTGATTACGTGAAACTAGTCTCTTTTCATTTGAACGTACCTTGCAGAAACAACTTCATGGTGTGGTCATCCTGAAAGTACCAAACATCAGCCCCTTTACCCGTATACAAATCCAAATCAGGCGCAAATAACCTTTCGTGCCACTACCTCTTACTTTGCTTTCATTTAGTAATACCGATATTAGGTCAATTATAACTTCCTCAACCTCTTGCTCTGTGACCATTGTTAACGATCTAATTCAGTAAGATACCATTTTTAGTTTTCTAATACACCATTTTCAACTACACATTAAAGCTTTGAATGTCCAAACCTTATACCTAACTGGACAATAAACATCTCTTGCCAAAAATATGGAATCGCAGTCACGTGAGTATGCAGTGTTTCTGAGACACTTACATTTGTTCCGGAAGTGGTTATTCCCTTGACCTTATCTGGCCGATTTGATGAATCTGTGAGATTCCCTTACGAGTGGTCGCAGGTTAAGTAGCTAACTCTGACGAACAGACTGGTACAGACATAGCATAAATTTGTACAACAGAATGCACACTTCTAGATCAGATTTTGGTCAGTGACTATGTGTATATGTCTGACTGAATGGATCTGCAGGAACTGGGAAGCATCGTGACACTCACCGACGCCTATTTGTAATCTCCGTCCACCCACTCATCAACTTCAGTCCAGATGATACAAAAGATGAATTCTACCAAGGGTATCAGTTTCGCTAAAGAAATAAAAACGTTCAGACATAGTCATGGTAGTAGGTGGATTCGAACTTCAAATAGGAGAGCTGAGCCAATATTAAATGCATATACAAGGTATCTACGGTTTCTCATCGTTGATTGTCACTTGCAATTTTGTTCCGACAGACACTTGTTTCTAGCCAGCTCGAACGTCAAGCATAAGTGAAGGCAGTGTTTCAGTTGGTGTCTGCCGACATTAAATCAACGGTGAGGATAGGTAGATCATATTGCTACAAGCCATCGTTGATGAGGACCGGTGAAGAATTACCGCTGTTTCTGGAGTACCCGTTAAGACTACTACCTCGACTTACTATGGGCTCTATTGCGTTTATACCTTAATGATCGCAGGAAACAGGTAGCAGTGCAATATATACGCGTTCCTTTAGATGATGAAAACGTCAGGTGTGTACTTACAGAGGAGATAGCTAAGTATTTATCTGAATCTGAAGTTTGGCGTAGTGCACAGTCTGGTGTAGAAACAACTATGGCGAAAATCGGTAAACTACGTTTAGAGATTACCAAAGGTCAATAGATTACTGCAACCTTTTACAAAATAACCAATTCAAAAAGACTCATTTCTTCTTGCTCTGATGAAGATAACGAGCGAAAGGAGCTGAAACTCAGTTTTATGCTGCATACATCATCAGCCGGATAAAATGATAATCTTGTCTGCTTTTGACTGTGGAAGTTGACTATGAAATACAAAGTAGTAGTATATTAGCGAGAAAACAACGGTGAATACAGTGACCAATTATATTTTGCGAGAATTGCATTCAGCGTTGGTCAAAATATCTTACCACCTTATCATGTTGGTTTTCTATGAAAAGATAGTTTTCTTCTCCCAGCTCCAACCTCTTTCAGTTTCTATTGATTCATCTTCTTGCTTTCCACACTGCAAACCAATCTACTCTGTTTCTCTCATCATAGCATTTAACAGCCGATCGTCTGCTTTTTGCGACTTCTGCCAACGGTACTGAACCATACACTACTTAAAAGCTTGTTTAGTAGTAGCATATACTACAAAATGACATTTCACTTAGCTGTCTTGACCTACATTTTCATACTAAGATCAATAGATTTCGACCTGCTGGTAGTTTAGTCCACTTTGTGGGATTAGTTAGACTGAAGGCTGGAAGATGATTTGTTGGATCACACAAAAATATCAAGAAAATTCAACGTTTCCGTTAACAGGGCAAGACAAACATAAATGAAATATGCGGATCTTTGTTTATTTATTTTTCATTGAAGTGAAACTATCTTGTAAATGTCATGACAAAAGGTAAAATACTTACTGGAGGACCTGGAACTCCCACAAATCCAGGTGTACCTCTAGGTCCTTGGGGTCCAGCAGCTCCTGGAGGACCAGTAGGTCCTGCAGGCCCTTCGTCGCCCTTGAATCCAACTGGTCCAGACTGCCCTGGAGCTCCACGTGGCCCAGGTGCTCCACGTGGTCCAACAGGTCCATTCAAACCAACTGGTCCCATATGACCTGGATCACCTTTTTCACCTGGACTTCCAATCGCACCTATTGGTCCAACAGAACCTTTTGGACCTGGACCACCAGGATATCCTGCACTTCCACGTGCACCTTCATTACCCTGGTAAAAAAGATATAACACATACTCGTTAGTCTTAAAAGCAAAAACGTTCCTACTTTCACATACTGTTTATTCACGAAATGTAAATTTTGAGCCAAATTTACTATTTAACTGAATTCTATTATTAGGAAGTAGACATCGCATTGATGAATGCAGACGCAGCTTTTCTCATTTAATGCAACTACAGTGAATACTAAATGCTTACCTTTTGTCCTTCAAGTCCTCGTGGGCCAATTTCACCAGGTAGGCCGGGTTCACCTTTAATTCCTACGGGACCTTCACTACCTCTTGGTCCAGGAAGGCCACGCTCTCCTTTCGAGCCTTTTTCACCTCTGTCTCCACGAACCCCAGTGAGGCCATGTAATCCTTGAGTTCCTTTAGGTCCAGGCAAACCACGAGGCCCGCGATCTCCTTTGTATCCTGGTGCCCCAACTGGCCCAGTGTCTCCTGGTTCTCCCATTAATCCCGGTTCTCCTTTAGGACCAGCATTACCCTTAAAAAGGATTAATTATTTCACAATCAATATACGTTATGCATTTTAAAGGCAAGCGTGTACACCCACTACTCGCTAACAATTTGCTTCATCGAGTTTTTTAAAAGGCTGTGATTCACAATGTCACTTATTTCCGAAGGACGAACAGATATTGTATAATAAGTTAAACTGGTTCCGTTTAAACAAAGCGTTTACAGTTAGATTGTTCATTAAGCATTTTTGTAAAACTTGTATCAAATAATACAGTCCTTACGGTCATCAGCCAGGATAATCCACAAATGTAAACTGTAATAAGCACCAATATATGATGAATACAACTGAAAAATGATTTCCTTGGAGGGGAAATATTCCACTAGTACACATTGTAACTATTGTAAAAGGTTACTAGTTGGCCTTAACGAAAAACTTGTAACTGTGACTCGATTGTTAATCATACTAGTTACATTTCAGCTTCATTCACATCCGCTTTCTGCATGTAAATCTTATCAAAATTAGGATTTCATTTCTCTGTTTGGACTACGAAACATGCCTATTGGGTCATAGAGAAGAGATAATTCAGTGAAGAAAATTTTCTTTTTCGACGATATCATTTTCTAAAGCTGTACAATCGTATTTATATATATCATAAACATAAAACAGTCCATTATAAAACAATAGGATATAATTACATCACTAACCAAGTGCTACGAAAAACCGAATCAAGAATGCAAAGTAGTTGCGTAATAATCTAAGACAGTAGAAATATCGAGGAAGGCGAGTAGTTTGACAAGGTGAAAATTGTTGATCGATAGGAAACGCAAATATTGAGTGTCCCCTTGATAGGTAGGTGTAAAGAAGGTGAAGAATGAGACAAGGGTCATTATGAAGGTGATAATAATAAACTAATTAATTATAATGAAATCGAAAAAAAATGAAAGTGTTAAGACCATGGTAAGATGAGAGATTGAACATACTTCTTTTGCATGCAGAGATCAGGCTTGAATTGATGAATTGCCAGTGCCTCAGCTGTGCACAACTGTCGAAGGCGTACTCCTTTTGAACAATTCCATCTGACACGATAAATGACATTGAAGGAAGATTCTGGTCTAGCTTTATGTCCAGAGTTGACCAAATGTTCAAGAATTGAAATGTTAATTGATTTACATTCTCCCCTCGACAACCATGCAGGATAGTGCTCCGAGATACGTTTTGAAAGTGTGCGCTTTGTGCGGCCTATATAACTAGCTCCACAGGAGCAAGTAAATTTGTAGACACACATTGAGGTGGTTTAAAGTGGTAACTTGTCCTTAACGCAATCCGGAATGAGTTGTTGACTAGAGAAACTGATCTGCAGTTTTGCAGAGAAGAATATCTTCTTCAGTGATCTGGACAACTGATCCTTCAGGATCTCCGTTGCCGTATCACCTTTACCTTCATTATGACCCTTGTCTCATTCTTCACCTTCTTTACACCTATCTATCAAGGGGACACTCAATATTTGCGTTTCTTATCTACCAACAATTTTCACCTTGTCAAACTACTCGCCTTCCTCGATATTTCTACTGTCTTAGATTATTACGCAACTACTTTGCATTCTTGATTCGGTTTTTCGTAGCACTTGGTTAGTGATGTAATTATACCCTATTGTTTTATAATGGACTGTTTTATGTTTATGATATATATAAATACGATTGTACAGCTTTAGGAAATGATATCGTCGAAAAAGAAAATTTTCTTCACTGAATTATCTCTTCTCTATTTGTTACTATGGCAACTTTTTGTAACTCTGTCATATTTTAGGTTATTCGCCGTATGTAGTTTCCTATTTTTCAAAGTCAAAATGTAGACTTCATTCTGAAAGGTAATCCATGTACACGGTCAACTATGAGTACCTGAAAAAATAGTGAATATATTGTCGTGAACAAGTAATATGAATACACAGAACAATCTGAAATAATGGAGAAAATTCCTAGCTCAGATGGATGTTCTTGGTTTTATTGTGTTCTCCAAGCAGGTTGTTTAATCGTGAAGCTTTCATCGTCTTGCTACACGACATCATCGTCATTTACATGAACACCAATTGGCTATTGAACGTGACACACGACATCTCATCACTCATTTCAATGCAAGTGGATAACAACTATCTACATGAATTCAATATTGACAATGTAGAAATTTTTGACAGAGAGAGTAAACACAAAGAATATGTGAGAATTCCTAGGAACTTGGCATTCACGTCAGTCAGTCAGTCAGTCAGTCAATCAGTTAGTCAGCAATCAACAGATGTATAGACATAAACCCAATCTATCAACCAATAAGAGAAATGATAAACAACAGAAAGGCATAGAGGTGAAGCAGAGGGATAGCCAACAGGAGAATCTATGCAGTCAGTCAATGACACAATAATCGAAGGAAACAACAGTCAATCATAGACCACTTCGTCACGGTAAGCTACTAAATCACTGATGGAGAGATATTGACCGGTCACTTCATACTGACGTTAGTGCTGATGATGTCGCTGTCCAGCAAGACGATGGAGGCTTCAAGATTAAACAACCCAGCTCAGAGAACACAATACAACCGAGACAGAGAGCAACCTTTTAAGCAAAACAGGCGACCGAATAAAATGCAGTTTGGCAGCTGATAACTGTTGGTTTATGGTGAATAGAATTTGCATGGAAACGCCTAGATTATTCATTAGGAAACAAAAATCAGTATTATCTGTAGCTCATTGGTGACAATCTCCGACATGGAGTTTTCCAATTTCTAATAAGAAACCTTGACCTATGTAGAGTCAGAAAGGTAGGATGTGAGGACAAATATTCGCCGATGGTATTCGATGGTGGTCGCGCTTCATAGCGCATTGAAAGAGGGACAAAAGTTTTGACCATTGGATTCTGACCTAGTAACTGAAATGGAACGTACTCGCCATGTGACCTTGACGGTTCTAGGTTCGATCACAGGCAGGGTTGTGGATCAGCACTGATGAGGACTATCATACAAGGACAAAATAGCTACCTCACTCTACTAGGTCCCTACTAGTTCTATGACTGATATCAATTCAGGGAATGTAATACCTTGAAATTTCTCAAACGCCACAAATCTAAGGAATGATGAACGTACTCAACTTTATATTAAATCACAATAGAGAATATTTTCATTTTCGGTACATCAACACACAGTGTTCTCATCCTCTGTTTTTCTACTTGATGTCTTGTCTTTTTCTGTGAGAATCTTTGTCAGTCGAAAATTGCTATTTCTTGTATTTCCCGGTGTTCGGATACATATTACTGATAAAGGTTCTTATAAGTAGAGTTCAACACAGTATGAAATATATTATACCTATTGTAAGTAGTACTATGGTAGCCACAAAGATATCATGATTACAGGTCAAGTAAGTATTTTTAGCTGTAAATGGAGAACTGACACTACATTTAATGCATGGATAAATACGTTTTGTTGAAATGGGGAAGTGAAATTATCTACCAGGAGAGTTCGAAGAGAGCGGTATGGAAATGTTTAACATTACTGGTGTTCCTAATCAAGTAATAATAAGATGGAAATAGATTCACTTGCCAAAACGTACAACAGCTTTATCACTTATAAGAATAAGAATCAAGGCATTTAGATATTTGCATTTGACAGACTTACGATTCTTTCAGATGACCGATTATAGTTATCATACAAAGAGTAAATATTCTAAACTAGTTATTTTTCTCATCATAAGCTGTGATCTTCATGTAGATATGAGTTTCTTACAGCATGTATATGTAGATGCCTGAAATGTTCAGTTAGTGAATTCCTACGCTCATCTTAAAACTTACTGTAGAGGAAATAACTGAATGTTTTACTTGGTATGTATCGCAACTGACTGTTTTAAAACATTGTAAACGTTGTTAACTAACTTTGGGAACTAATAGACTGTACTTGATCAGTATGCCTAATGAACATGGATGATAGTAAAAGAAAAAAAATTCCAAAATGGTTTTGTGTATAAACGTTTTCTTATTACAAGTTCGAACTCACCGCAACACTAGCACACTCACAATGATATGATGTAGAGATGCATCGTGGAGCTTTATATTGAGAATAAAGTATTGCTAATTATCTGTCTCTTAGAAAAATAAGTACGGGACTTCAAGTAAATGTGGAGAAGACAGAGGTGATGAACATACCCAACCAACAACAGTATCAACAACAAGAAGCAATAATCACCATGAACGGGAGAAACCTAAAGGAAGTAGTCTGTTTCACCTACCCAGTCAAGACAGCATCGTTTCAACTACAGGCGCCACAGGCACAGATGAGGATGTCAAAACCAGGATCGGAAACACAGCAAGGCAGGCTTTCACCAATCTGAAACCACTGTGAGATCTACTGCACTCCACTCACCACAAACAATAAGATCTGAATTTTCAACACCAATGTCAAGTCACTGCTGCTACATGGTTTAGAAAGTTGGCGCGTCACGAAAAGCATCTCCAACAAACTACAGACATTCATCAACAACTGCCGTCCACGCTCACTTAATACTGAAGATCAGATGACCAGAGTAAAGAGAATAATCAAGGAGGAACTCTGACTGGGAACGAACCAACCAAGAAGCTATCACCCAACAAATATGTAGTAGAAGAAAGTGGAGATGGATTGGGCATATACTGAAAAGACCGACTGGGGACATCATACGCCAGGCCATGCTGTCGAGTGGAATCCAAAGGAGAAACAACGAGATGGGCGTCGGAGATGAGGGTGACATGGAGGAGATGGTGTGAGGAAGGAATGAGAGGTTGTGGGCAGATGTGGAGAGAGGTTCAAAAGACTGGAGAGAACAGAGTGGAATGGCAAGGTGCTAGTGAAGCCTGATGTTCCACTAGGAACCCAAGGGAAAAATAATAATAATAATGAATAGAAAAATAAGTATGACCTGTTTATTTTTCAGTGATAATGTTTTAAAAGAATTCAAACAGTTTGAGTCTAAATAAGAATATTTTCTTTACTTGTGGTCCAGGATTCCCAATCATCCCAGGACTGCCTGGTAAACCCGTTACTCCGGGAGCTCCTCGTGCTCCTGGCTGTCCAGTTAATCCACGTATACCTTGTGGTCCAGGTACACCTGGTGGTCCTACTGGCCCTTGTGGACCAGGAGGACCCGTTTCACCTGCATCTCCTAGTTCACCTTTAAGCCCATTCGGTCCCGAACGTCCTGGTAATCCACGTAAACCAGCTGGTCCAACTGCTCCCATAGGACCCTAATTAATAGAAAACACAAAGAAATTAATAACGGAACATTTCATATACCGATAAATACATATGTAAATGAATATTTATCATTCAGAAATGCTTTATTGCTTAAAAACAAGTAATCCAATCAAAAAACTGCAGTTCGGTTAAACTTGATGAAGAATATGGTGTGTTAAGTAATCCTTCAAGAAGTTATTGAATAACAGATGAGAAGTTAGCTAGGTCCACATATCCAACAGACTTATTCAACTTATTTTTATTGAAGTGATGTTTTTCGCTGATATCATATCATGACTAGAAGATGGATTTGCTGCACTCATACTAATAGGCAGTGTTTACTATCTTACTATACACAATCATCATGTATAGACGTCTTGATGTACAGTTGAACATCCATCTAGTGTTACTGAGTTCCTCTCTTAATAATATTTCTGAAGGAGAACCACAATATCAAAAATAATGCTGTAAAAATTCTAAAAAAGCCAACTTCAGATGTCAACTCTATATAATGCATGTTTTCTGCTAGATACTTATAACAGAAAAACTGAAAGGTTGAGGATGAAAAATTGAAAAGCCAATAAAAATCACTTTTCAGTCAACTTTTAGAATGCATTTGTATTTTTTGGTTATACATCAGAGTGAGAGAATTGAATCCTTTATCGTTTATTCTTATCGCTGATAGTATGTATGTAGCCATCATTCACTGTTTCTGTGTCGTATTCCTTTCAAGTAAATACAATCATACTAGTCACTATGATAGCAGCAACCTGTGTGTGTGTGTGTGTGTGTGTGTGTGTGTGGTCACACATACATAGGGAGGAGTAATCGAGTCATGCAGTTGAGGGTGGAGAACATGTGCCTAAATGGCTTCAAAAACAAATGGAGTGTGAAACAGTGATAAACGCCGATGGAAGACGACCCTCTTCATCTACAGCTAAACATATCATAGAAACAGGTCACAAAGTTACTGTTAAAACAGCTTTCAAAGTTTTATATAGAAACAGTCAGGGATGTATTCTGAGATTTACGGAAACCATAGCCATACATAAATTTAAACCATCTTTATGTGTACAATAACAGTTTGTTCTTACACTACACCTACCGCTTGGTAAACTTTGTTTTCTTACCAAGATTAGGATCAACTATGTCACTTCCTGTTTGTTCTCATCTTTTTTAACTTTAATCCCCTATTGTGTTAAATGTTGTATTTCTAAAAGGATTAAGACAATTAAGTGAAATAACATTGAAAATTAATTAAAGTGAAGGCGATTATAATAACAATAATAGTGATAAAGGAAGGGATACAAAGGATACAAGACTTCAGTTGACTTTTATTAGCCGCAACCTATTCTCCGCCTGCGTTAAAGACAAGCTTCCTCGTTTGGCCGCCTTTATGTGCATCTACCAGTTCACCTGCTCTTGTGGAGCAAGGTACATCTGCCGTAACCAGAGAATGCTTTCTACACGTATACGAGAACATGTTCCTGCTTGGTTTTATAAAGGTGAAAGAAAGTCTGTTAGAAGTTCGATTCTAGAACATTTGATTGACTTCCATCACACAACAAATCCAGGCAATGACTTTGAAATTATTTATCAAAATCGCCCAAACCTCCCACGTTCTCTTCGTTTCCAACTCCTTAAAACAGTGGAGGCTTTAGCTATTCATGAACTAAGACCTGATTTGTGTGTGCAAAAGAAGTATGTGCAGTCACTGTCTTTATCATGTCCATAACATTTTCCCACCCCCACCCATTAGCTCCCCCTCCCACTTTGTTAATTTAACCTTTGTATCCTTCCTTTATCACTATTATTGCTATTATAATCGCCTTCACTTTAATTAGTTTCCGGTGTTATTTCACTTAATTGTCTTAATCCTTTTAGAAAACATTGACTTCATCTTGTCCAACTTGTCTAATGACATTACATAATACTTAATTGATTTACCATTTTCAACAATTTTTTCACCCCCTTCTGAGTTATATACTCTCTATGTACCATTCCATATATTACATAATCTATTTGTTATCATTCGTGTCCTCCCTCGCAGTCCTTGTTTTAATATATATTGACTTGACAAGTAAATGTGTGGTCAGATTGTACGAAATATGTTGCGCAAATACATCGCATTGTTCAGATAAACTTCGTCTTCTAATTACGCTATCGAAATTCATGATGGGACTAACTGTTTCAAACCTCATACTGGACAACATTATTTTCAATAGTCGAATAGTTGCCGAACTACTTCTGTTGAAAGTATTTTCGCCATAAAACTGGATAATTAAGATAACAAACTTCAATCTTTGACGTAGAAGTACAATAATAATTAACGAAATATGTTATTTAAAGTCATAATCAGTTTATTAATGACACTAATGTTCAAAATATGAAGATTTTGAAAAGATATTTCCGAAAATCGTCATTTAATTAAGCTATGAGATACACAGTTCATTACTTGCCTGTAGTCCAGCGGAACCAGGTTCTCCTGAAGGACCTACTTCACCGTCTCGTCCATAAGGACCCGGCGCTCCTCGTTGTCCAACATCTCCTTTGACACCACGTGGTCCAATCTCTCCTTTATGACCTCTGTGACCAGGAAGACCTGGTAGCCCTGGCAGCCCAGGTAGTCCCTTTGGACCCACCAAACCACTTGCTCCAATCTCACCATCAATACCTGGTCTTCCCTATTAGAAAGAAGTGTTTGGTGACAAGTCAGTAACAAAAAGAACATCATTTATAGACGGGTTAAAAGCTGATTTTTTCATTAAAGATGATAACCCTGAAAGTATTCGATGACACACCAGACTCACTTTTATTTCTGGACGCATAAGATAGATAACACGTCTAACCATACATGGTCAAATATGCAAACACCAACTGAAAAACTTTTATGAACTGGGAAGACTTGAAAACACAGCTATTACGCCACACGCTTTATATTCAAGTTGTAAATATCCACTGAAAAGGCAAACGGCCTGCCTTACTGGCATGTTCAAACCATTCTGAGGTCGACAGAAAGGAAAAACCAGGTATCCTCCAAATGTGTCAAAAAAAGTGATTAATAGAACACATAATAGATAATCTCTGGGCCTGGTAGACTAATGTTATCAATACTGGATAATAGATGAAGGTGAAATAAAAATCTGAGTTCGAGTCCTGCCTCCATCCAGGCTTGCTTTTCAACTTGAATCATCGTTCTGTACGCATAAGATAGATGAATTGCTTTAGACGACTACCTTATCCGTTGAAATAACCAACATTAGGTATCTTCATTACAGTTGGACATGTGTTTTTTGAAAATCTGATTTTTTAAAGGCTGACCTAATAATTGAAGAGATAACCAATCACATTTCTTCATTTTGTGAAAACTGCTTTCACGACCGAAGTACTGAAACCTGATTGGTTACTTCAGTAGTTGGCAGGATGGCTTTTGAAGTCACTCAGTTTATTAGTCGTTTCTAGGGCGATATCAAGAGGATTGACCTACGGGAGTGATTTAAGAGCCACCCCAGCAACAACTGGAATAACCAATCAAACATCTATATTTTATGAAGATCTGCCTTTCCAGCTGAAATGAAGAAACCTAATTGATTATTTCGATTGTTGCTAGGGTGGCCTTTAAAGTCACTCTTAAACCACCCCAAAATCAGAAGTGACTCAAAAGGCCACCGTGGCAACTGGTGAGATAGCCTATTTCATTTCTTTATTTTGTGGAAAAGACCTTTTCCAGGCTAACTACCGAAGTGTGATTGATCATTTCAGTAGTTGCTAGGGTGACTCTTTAAAATCGCTTTAAAATCAGCTGTAGACTTTGTGTTCTGCTTTAAATGTTTGGACGGGTGGAGTTACGTGGCTAATGTTTGTGGGTGGACTGAGTAAACGGGACTGCTGGTAAATACGAAATTAATCACGTTCAAAGTCAGTGTTAAGATTCAATTACCACCTCACGTGGTCAAGACAACTTCAACTGTACCAAGGTACAGTGTAAACCTATCTATAGTGTTAGCCAGTCATTGGTGAGGTTATTTCCAGCTGGTACTTTTCGAGTCGTCATGTTTGGTGATTTCGCGTCTATGTTTGAACTTTGTATTGCTTACTCTATCATCCTTTCCGCAGTTTCTTCTACGGTTACCTAGTTTAGGGTTATTGTACTGTTGTTAATTCGATGGTGTAAGTGATTACTACACTTACTAAATCCAAATTGTTACATTTATGTGACCAGAACTTAAGTAGAGGAAGAATCAAAGAAACTCTAGATATTCAAATAGCTTATATGTTGACCTCGATAAGTAACTCACACCCAATCACATTCAATCAGCTATCATGCAAGTGATTAGGTGATTACGGTGAGTGAATATTTTCTTTCAATGCAAACTACTTTAGGGTATTACTTTCTACTCGGTTTAGTTATTCAGCTTCAACCAAAGCTTCAATTTCCAGCAATTTACTCAATTATCCTTTTGACTATTTGAGAGAGCAGTTATGGTTTGGTAGACTTGTATTATTGATACTGGATGATGAATAAAGGTGAAGTAGAAGATCTGGGTCACGGCAGAATTCAACCAGAAACCTACGGTTTACCTGCTCTGTGCTCCGATAACCTGAAGACCACTCGCTCGAATCTTGCCAGGATGAAAGTTTTCATTTCAGCTCTAATCACCATCTAGTGTTCATACTATCAACACATCATCCTACTTGCTGATTGCTTCTTAACACCACTATTAGTAACGATTTCAAACAGTAGGATCTCTTTGCTAAAAAGTAAAAGCATCAAACTTTTCAGAAAACATGCCGTAATTTACTAATTTTCAGAAAAATGTGTAAAAGTTGTAGCTACTCGATGCACTGGCCATAATGCCATTCATAGATGGAACAATTTATTTGTCATAAATTAAGAATAACTAACTTACACGTGGACCAACTGGACCTGGTGGGCCTCTTAAACCTGTTGGACCCATAAAGCCTGGTTCTCCAATAATTCCTTGATCACCTTTTGAACCTCTTGGACCAGATGGACCTTGTATTCCAGGAAGACCAGTCATACCTTGTTGACCTCGACTTCCTTTCAACATCATCTATGAAACAGAAAACAGCAATGTAGTTTGATTTGTTCTTGAGACAACTAGAGGAATATCAACACTTGTTATAAAAGAGATTTAAATTTGGTACCTTCACAGAGTAGTCGCTTACTCAGCTTTTTTACAGCGTTTTCAACCAATGAAATTTCTCTAGACTATTATTTATGTACTCATTTCCATTATCAGTAGTATATGCATACTTTCACTGGTAAGACTGAATTAGTTTCCTATTTATAGTCCCAATGTTTCACAGTTGAATTATATACATATCTAGAAGTCTACTAGAAATGTATGAATGATACTCTTCCATCATTTCTTCTGTATGCAGATGTTGTAGATTGGTCAATGAACTGCTTTACTGTTGGCTAACTTTCAGACTGATGTTTAGAATTTTGATGGAACTTATATTTCTGTTCCAACTGTAAATATTCTCCCTTCAAGATAGGATCAGTCTGTGGAGTCACAATGATTCTAGCTAGTTTGTTCAGTAATAATGAAAAGCAGTTTAATTTGAGATTTATTGGGATTTTATTTCAAGAGAGTATTTATGATGGACTGACATCAGCTTGAGAACCGTTGAAAACCTAGAGCCTTAAACAGATGTTTCATACTACTATTTTAAACACCCATGATTCCACCAGAGATTGCACTCATGACCTGAAGATCTGACGGGGAACGCGCTAACGGCACAGCAACTGGGTTAAAGTTCAGTGGTTCAAAATTTCCTAACTTGGTAGATACCAAAGTCTCCAGTTGACATTCGCTTCACTTCCGACTGGTTGACCTCGAAAGCCAAGGGCTAAGGAATTACTACAAACGTACAGCAAAAAGAAGTGGATCTGTGAGATCATGCACAACAGATTGAAATGCTTTTTATAGATGTAGCGCTCCACATCATTCACTAGTTATTTTATCCCGCTTTAAAGTATTTCAGATTGGAATCCATCATAGACTGATATCAGTTAGAGGGACATTGGAAACCTGGGAGTACTAGACATCTACTTCGTCCTAATATAGGACTCTTCAGTAGTGCGGACCTAATACCCCACCAGGGATCGTGACCAGTGGAGACAATCAAGTCGAATGTGAAGACAGTTACTCAACGACGACGTTGGATGGAGGTCGTACTGTATTGGAAAGTGACAGAAGTATGAAATATCCACCATTGGATTCTGATTCAATGGTAACGTGCTGGCTGTGGAACCTGAAGGTCCAGGGTACGAGGTCGGAGGCGAGGTCACGTGTGCGCACCCTTGAGGAGTCTTATACTAAGATGAAACAGCTGTCCAGTGCTCCCAAGTTTGCAATGTTCTTTCAACTGATATCAGTTCATAAGGAAATCCAACCGGAAACCAATTAATAAATTTTCAGATTCAAAATTTTAGTTAAAGTATGAAGTACATCTGCAATATAATCCCTTGAATATTCATTATCATTTGAACTATGGTTGAATTTGCAGTATATGTTTATATAACGAGGTACTGTCAAACATCTCAATGAATTATCACACCATATTCAAGAGTTTCTATATCCTTCTTCATTACTGAAACCAATAATATTGAAGATAGTTGAAGCAGGTCAAAGAAATGCATGTATTCAGTAGCCTTTGGTGAAATTCGGTGTCATTTGTTTCGTCAAGAAACATATAGATGGTATTGTTAATAGTTCATTAGTTGGTTTGACTGATTCAAAATACTTAGTTGAAGCTGATATTGTGCTTTGGATATTACGATGTACAAACTATCGATTAACATTTAGAATTACAAGGGGATTTCGGTAGTCAATCATTGATGTACAACTGACAAACTGATTCAGAACTACTGACATTACTATTTCACTGTAAGCCACCTACTCCTAGAAAGTATCTCAGCGACCTTTTTCACATTCTTGCAGTAAACCAAGAATCACATCTCTAGTGTGTGTGCCACTGATACTAATTCAATAGGTGAACCTGGACTTCAACCCATGACTGATCATTAGAAACCAAGTGTCCAAATACATGAACCACAACATATATTATACTGTTGGTTATGGACTAACCATGGATTCCAGAGGTTCCATTTAACAGCTTAGTTTGAAACAAATGATGTGGTGTTGTGATTGCTTATCGAATTTGAAAAGCTAAATTTCAGTTTATCTATTCGAAGCAATAAACATTAACTTACTACAGCCTGTTGTACTGTTGTTCTAAAACTGGCCATACGACTCAATTCATTCTTTCCAAAACTTGGTAATGGCATCATTAGTATATGACTTGGTACACCTGGCAAACCTGGAGCTCCAGGAATCCCACTACGACCATCTCGTCCCTGTAATAGTATAAAGTAGAAAAGTCAGTTTTATTTACAGTTTTGATACTAAAGTAAAAAGCACATGTAAATTTTGATAATCCTAACTATATTTTCTTCCGAAATATTCAGTTTCTCTGTGAATATGAAATACGAAGGAACATCATATTCAACAAAAGAGTAATTATATTTGGTGATGAAAGTAGGAAGCTACAATAAAATCTTGCTGACAGGGTCAAATAGAAGTTACTCACTTTAAAACCTTGATAAAAAGCAGTAAACTTTCGTTTAAGTAGTATGTACGTAGCTAATATGAAAAAAATTCTGAGTAGGATAAAGTTAATAGCTTCACTAAATAGGTATCCATCCCGTGGCTTGCGATAAATGTTTCCGTAGGAGAATTTGATATTTTGGTGAACAGATAAAAAAGGTACTTGTTGTGGATCACTTGAATTTCAGTGATACATGCTTGAATTGTCCTCGATGATGAAAACTATTCTCCATTAAGTAAAATAGAAATTATGACAAGCCAACCTTCTAGTATGGTAATGTAGATTACACTGACATACATGCTGAAAAGTACTTCATTTATTTTCTGTTCTCTTCTTATCTACTTTCAGTTTTACAGGGTTTTTTTCAAAGGAGACAGATCATTTCTACAACTATGGAGATCATTGTGTTTTCTGAAAAGATTTTGCTTTAAAACAGCAGCTGTCAGTGAAATCTTACCCATCATATACAGTGATACTTCAAAGATGGTCATGTCTTATCTGCAAATCCTTTCGCATTTTGTCGATGTTTACACAGTTAATGCCTACAGATCTAACCTATAGACTAAGAATCAATTTTTCAAGAGATATTACGTTTATCATGATAATTTGGTTGGTTGTGGCTAGCAGAAGAATCCAGGGCACGCCCCACTTGCCTTTCTGGTATTGTGGTCCCTGGCATTTCATCTAATCTGGTCCACATAAACAACATCGATATAGGGACTGTAACGCTAGGGGCCATAAGAACGGCTTTCGTTGCAAACACACAATGACGAGTACAAAGGTCATCCTCCAAATACCGCTGCAGATCTCATTCTTGATCGGTAGGTAAATCTCTTGGGTTGATAGCTGATCCACATGCTCATACACCTACACACCGAAAGAGTACGGAAAAGACTACCGATCCCCCAGTAAGCATGGAGAAACTTTCTCTGAGTCGGTCAGATAGATGCAGCTCAGTATAACCCTAAATAATATTCTTTGAAAGAGGAAGGTGATATGGGGATAGAAAGAAAAGCCTAGTCTGAAGAGGAACCAATCAAAATGTACTTTAAGTGATCACATCTACACTAAGAATCAGTCAATCAATAGTCTTTCTACCCGAATACACGTTACTACACGTCCATTGCGTCTTCTCCATTAACTAGTCGGGTCTGGAATCAACTAGGAACTTGTTGAACGTTGGTGGCTGACAGTCGATATCCGTGCATTTTTAGCCGCCAGATTACAGAGCAGTTTATAAACTATAGTATCTATCAAAATAGCGATTTATCTTTTGAAGTTATATTAAAAGTAGGAATAACATTATGCAAGTAGAAGGATTTAAAAATTCCATATGCATGGTGATGGCTAGCAGTAGAATCAGTAAGGAGATGATATTATCCTGTTCGGTGAAGATGCTGACAAAATGTTTTCTGAAAGCCTTGAGTAGAAATCCGAGTATGCTTGATGGATAAGCTTTTCATACCTGTCCAATGTAAGACACTGCTCCCACTCTAAAACGTTGAGCAGTTCACGAACTGAAGGAGTTGCATAAACCCATACGGACTTCTTGCTGTGGAAATTTCAGCTTGAATACAGATGGTTCCTTTTGTGACGTCTGTGACACCGACAGATATACAACTTCTTGATATAGAAGTATAATTCTCCGGAACTTCAAAGCGTCCTTGTCATAAATACAAGATGTAATAGCTAAATTAAACATTAAGACTGAAGATTTTAAAAACCACTTAAAAAGTAATTCATTTTCCGAGTTTTATTTTTGTGTATAAAAAACTCACAGGTTGACCTTTTTCACCCTTTGGACCAACTTCGCCTTTTTCACCTTGAGGACCCTAGATAGTATACACAGTGACAAAAAGAAATCACACTTGATTACAGAAAGGCAGCATGTAATTTCTAACTTTAATAATGTATAATGCGAACCATTAAGAATAGTTTGTTTTGTATAATATTCATCACAAATAAAAATAACTGAAGATAACACTGCAGCAAAATGATTATCCGCTTAACTTCATAAGTAAAAACATATCGAAACTCAGAGAGAAGATAAAGAAAGACAATATATTACTAAGAAGCCTATATATCTTAGACTAAGTTTCAGAGGAGAATATTTCCTCGGATATCTGAACACATCGATCAAGTAGATCAGTCGAAAAGACATTCAAAGCAGCGAAACGTTTTGTCAGTTTCAGAACTAAACTATTACTGACACAGTGAACCAAGGATAGGTTACCTATGATGACCACTTCAACGTACATTTATGAGTTCTACTGCTATTTAGGCGCTAGTTACATAGGCTGTACTCAAAAGGGCTTTGTCCACGAGTGCTCGTGAACATGTACCAACTTGGTTAGGGAAAGGAATGACAAAGAGCATCAACCGTGCAGTCCTGTCACATCTAGTAGATACCGGATATCAGATCTAAGTAGATCATGCCTTTTCTCTGATATATCGTGTCTCTTACAATCTCCCTGAAGATGCACGACTTCATATGTTATCCATACCCAAAGCCATAGGGATCAACGCAAGAAAACCTGACCTATGTGTTCAAATAAAATATCTATATCCACTTTATTCATCTTAATCCACAACAGGGTCGACACGTTCTTTATGAACTTTCTTTGCACAAATTACATATTTTAACTTCCTCTCCTTTTCTTCTATATTGTCATAATATTCATAAACATTCATTTTCTTAGTATTATTGCTTGTATGTCATTAGTTTTATGACCTTCTTTATTCATATCACAACCTGTAGTCATTTTCAACGATGACGTAACATCACATTTGTTGTTCTCCATTTCGTTATAGTATTCACATAGTTTTCATCCCACCTGAATATAAGTCATCACTACATAATTATTGTTTGATCCTTAGTCATCACCATATAGTGTTTAGTTTTCCTCACAGGAAATAATTTTTTCCAAATACCATATATATACGATTGTACAGCTTGAAAATAAATTCGTTGAAAAGAGTCTCTTCGCTGAATATCTTGTTCTTAATGATCCTTAGTCAACACACACACACACACACATTCATACACCAATAAATGCATACAAATGAAACATTATTTATAGATTTTGTCTCCTCATTTCGTAATTGTTCTGTCAATATTGATTTCATTGCACAACTAATATACTTGACTGGTAACAATTCCACCATTGCATTCGGTTCGATCTCGATTCCTCTATAACACTGATCTACGATTTTCGTCAATTTTACGCCCCTTTCCGAGTTAAATACATTCAATGGACCATTCAATGTATTACATAATCCATTTTGTTATCATTCATCAGAAGTACCTTTATCGTTATCATTATTTTCATTTATTTATTATGTGTAGTCTGGTGTTCAAATATTCATCCTTCCAAACTAATAATCTAATTTTTCATCCTTGATGACTCACAACCCCATTGTACTTTTCATCGAAGAACTAAATTTCCTCACCCTATTTTCGTTCGACCTTACTCGCACAACTGAGAAAAGACTCTGTGGCCGATTTGCTTATTCATTCACTCACCAGTATTACATCGATCTTTACTCCATATAACGATGTAATTGGATGACTGTAAAGGTCACCGCCTACTGTGTCAAAACTTGAATATTAACCTGAAAACTTAATGTAAGATTTATACTCTTGAAAGGATCTTCCTAGCAAGATCGAAATGTTGAGGAATAACACAAAATATTTGTTTATTTTGTTATTTGTTCTAATATACTACGCCGAGATTACACAAATAAAAATACACCTTATACAATGAATCATAACACTGACTGTTTCAATATAACAAAAATTGTACATCATGCCTTATTTTGGCTATTGCATCTCATTCAGAGCTAACCAGAAGATTCACCCATTCCGAAACTTCCTGAAGGTGATAGCATATGGCGTGTATCTGATTACAGTTTATCCCTAAAAACTGCTATGTAGTGTCATGCTGTTAGATTAAATCTGTTAACAATTGAAAGTTAGAGAAAATATGAACTATAAATTCAATTTCGAGGTTTGTGGGGATTCATTGACTTCAGGTTGGTACTCATCATGGTTTGATACCAGTTGGTGAACCATGGGACTCTTCACCAGTGGGTATCATTACTCCGCCAGGGATCGAACTCAGAACCTTCAGGTTCCACGGCAGCACTGATGTCTTTTCATAATGAGTAACAACCTGAAATCAATAAATCCTCACAAACCTCAAAATTGAGTTTATTCAAGATATCCAGTTGAAAACCAGTAAAGCTCTTATGAAAATATGTACTGCTTATGTTTTCTTCAGAGGTATACATTTCCCAAGTATTATTGTCTTTTTATTCATAAAATTGCCTGTAATTTGTAGCATTCTTATTGATGCCTCTCTGATGTCATACTACTGAAAACACAAATCTCAAAGAACTGTCAACTATTACTAAGCTAAAGCTAAAGGTTAATGATGGATTGTGGTTAGCAGTAGAATCCAGGATGCACATTTCGTCCTATTTGGCACTCGTCAGCTGGATGTACCTGCTTCTCAGTGAGTGATGTTGTCTCCACCGGGATTCGGACTTCAGAGCGATCATTTCAAACACCATCACGTTATACACTACACCACCGAGCCACGATAGCCACTTCTTATGCGACGAGTATAGTTTTTAGTATAATTGTTTCTATATGATACCGTCGTTGATTGGACCGAATTGCTTGGTCTCTATTAACATATGGGCTCCTGTGTGGATGCCTCGATATTGCCAGCGTTCTAATTATGTTAATGATTAATGTTAATAAAAAAACAATTATACTAAAAACTAAAGGTTATTTGCCATGTATGTATAATGATTACATCTACGAAGTCCTAGGTGAAGGCGATGAAGGCAGATTTATATAATTGTTTGCTTTAGTAAAAACTTTGAGGTGGATACTTACTTAGATGTAATTGTCATCAGTTAAGAAATATTGATTAAAATCTTTCAAGTAAATAAGTCATCAAAGATGCTTAGAATATTCATAGTGTATTACTGAATCATCCATCGATGCAGAACAGAAGTATATTTCTTGGATAGTTTTTGTACTTGTACGCCTCAGAAACATCTCTCTCAATCTTTAGAATGCTTGTATTATCAGATTTTTCGAATACTTAAAATGGTACGTTTCCAACTAGAAACTGTTAAACATATGATAAGCATTTCATAGAATTAATAAATCATTTCAGATAACGTAGTTTTATAGTCGTTTTAAGTGAGATATATTTCCGTCACTGTGGTTGATTGCTTACTAGTTTCTTCTGTAAACGAAGTAACACTATAGGTAGTTATTCATTATCACACGGAATATCCCAAATGAGGCATTTCAATTAAGTATACTTTTACAGCTATTCATTGAAACAAATAGAAGGCGTTAACTGTGTCTTTAGCCATCAAAAGTTGCTCAGCTATCTATCAGCTTCTCCAATCTCTGCATACAACAAATAGCTGCTAATTCTTTGATCACGAGGTCATTAAAAGGGATTACAGCTGTAACAGTATATTAAATAAATTTGACCGCTTCATTCTATGTTTTTCAATAAAGCATGAAATTATATTTCACTAGGTACCATGAACTTGTGAAGCATTATGCAATTAAGGTAGTGGTACTTCTGTATATTCACTAAACATTATAATCGGCAGGATAACATCTGTAATGACCAGTAGGTATTTTTACAAGGTGTCTGTTATGTTTGAATTGACTACTAATACCGTTACAACTGTTAGGCTCTCAAGCAAAAAATTACGCATACCACTTAGCTGATGTCTATATGTCATATACAGCAATCCTAGTCAAGGATTTAGTCAATAATATTTCTCTGTACAACATACATTTGGTTTACCGTCTAACTGACACTATAGAAAGCCATATCATCTACTCTTTCTAGACATATTGAATAAAAGGGAAGATGGGTCTGCTAAAAAAGGAATGTAGACAGATTCTGCTCAATGTTACACAAACAGGGTTGACCTAAGTGTCTATTCAATAAATCTATACAATATGCAGAAAGGAAGAAATCAGACCCTGAAGAGAGACATTAGCGAATAATGCATATCTCTTGAAGTTCATGAGTCGGTGCGAAGACATTTTAAGCTTGCAATTTACATAGTATTTCGTCTTCAGAAATGATCTGAACATGATACAACCTTATTGGTATGTCAGTGAAGGGGGGGGGAGGCGTGTTATGAGATGAAGGGCTAATTCATTTCAACCAAACTTATCATTCTAGATGAAACAAAACTCATATGTCATCATTTCATCTTATTGCTGCATAGATGATTACAATCAAGAGGCGGTCACCGGTTTGGATTCTGCTGCTGCTAAGATTTTCATTTCACCACCGAATATTAGTAATACAAGTCTGCGAAACCACCACTATCTCAGATAATCAAACTGATAAGAGATGTATTGCGAAAGTACATCACATTTTTCAGATGAATCCATCTTCTTGTCCGATTGTGTAAATTAATTAAAGAGACTGACTATTTCTAATGTCACTTATTCTCTTGCATAACGTAAGTGGAAACTCCCATTTGACATCGTCAAATATTGGCTGGAGGTAATACAAGTTGCTATATCTGGTTATTTTCTTGAATAACAAACTTTTACTCCATTTCATTTAGTTAACCTTTTATGTAATAAGGAAACAAGTGATAAAATCATAACGAAGCAAGTGATGGCAAAAAAGGACATTCAGATGGCTAGCACAAACCCCTGCTCCAGCACTATTCATTCGGATACAGTTTAGAGGTGGTGTGTCTAGCGAGATATTGTTTCACAAACTATGCATGTTAATTCAAAGAAGTTTTAATGCTAGCTGGTAAGTTTTCATTTACGCTGTAAGATGACTTGACTAGACTGGTTACTTCCCGCTACGCTTAGCAATTTGACTGGTCCTGTGAAGCTAGTTGGATCAGTCGCTGTTCTATGAATTTAATTTTCCCGCTTACAAACATCTTTCAGTGTCGTGAAGTAAAGGTATGGTAAAGACCATTACCAGCTCTGTATTATTATTATTATTTCAAGAAAACCATATAACGGATGTGAATAATTCATTTTTTATTATTTGCTGTCAATTTACTAAAAGGCAGCCGGCTTTTAATCCTTCAGACTGCAACAGCTGTGGTAATCATAATTAAACAACCTGAGTAATATGTACGGAAAAGCAGGTGCTACTAATACAACTACTTTAACGCGATTTGCGACTCACAAATTCCTTATCATCCTACCCCAGATAATCTAATTTCATACTGCTGATATCCGTTCCACCTTATAATCTGAAATAACTTGTTCACTAATATAGGAGTAAAACTTGGACACTGTGGTCGATTGTAATTCCCTTTTATTCTGTTTCATAGAAATATCACACAGTGAAACAGTAGCATTTACTGGATAACATTTCGGACATAATTTACTGTCCATATTCCTATGAATTTATTCATAAATTTTGCCGGGTAATTATTGAGACGGAAAGTATTCTTGATGTATCTAACTTCTTGTTGTAGATTTTTTGGTCCACTGTTGAACTTTTTCTCCCTATCACTTGGGAATTTAACTAAGCCTACTTTAACTGAAATGGGGTGGGAGAATTTGAGTTCTAAGTAGCCATTCGAATGGCAAGGTTTCCTATAGACCCTGTCTGTAGACTTCCGTCTTGTGTTCGTTAAATCTTGAAATCTAACATTGCTGGCTCACCTTCATTCCTTTCTAAGTCATAGGTAAATTGGATTCCAATCACTACTGAATTTATATGTGCCAATAGGTTCAATAAACAAAGATTCGGTTATCAATCTCTCCCTCCTTCGACACCAAATACATGCAATCGAAATGATTCTGCACCTGTCCTAGATATATGGAAGATTCTACTGCCCTTGTCATCATAGAGAAGGACAGAAAACTAGGAATATATAAACTCTGTCTCGAAGTTGTGTGGTGACCTGATATGAATATGGACAGTAGATTATGTGCGAAACGTTATCCAGTAAATGCTACTGTTTCACTGTGTGATATTTCTAATAAACATACTAAAATGGCATAACTTGGTCACATTCTCATAACCTGTTTTGTTCCCTACCATAAGTAACATCCTACCAAGTTATTATTCTTTGTTCATTGGACTCCTATTGTTTAACTAAACCATCACCTTATAGTGTAAGATTGGCCGTATATAATCGCTTAGCGAATCATTCATGTTGAATTGAATCCCAGTGAAAATTGATTCTGATATTTAAGTTCACCTGAGAATTTATGAAGGGAATTCCTCAACTGGACAATACTATTCACAAACTTTAAAAAAACCTCATTATTGCTGACGCAAAATTACACCATATGAACATAAAACTGTAGGACTTGAAGAAGAAGTTTTCGAAACAAATATTCTTTGTCCACTGAAATGGCTTTTGAAGTATACTGCAATCTTTTAAGGATTTGTATCAGTTTTTGAATCCTTACTGTGGAAACGAATACTATCTAGATAAATTTTTTTTTCATAGATACACCTCCTCAATAAATTGAAAATCCGGTGAAACAATATTATAGCAAAACATTGTGAATCCATTTTATGATGCGGTTTCTTATTGGCTGTTGATGAAAAACCAAAATGTACAATATATATCGTGAGCTAACAGAAGTTGGAAATATGGGCATTGGATACTGACCCAGTGGCTCAATGCTAAGGCGTTGGCCGCGGAACCTGAAGGTCGCGGGTTCGATCCCTGCTGGTGGGGTCGTGGGTGCGCACTGTTGGGAGTCCCATACTAGTCTGACGAAACAGCTGTCCAGTGCTCCCAGGTTTCCTTTGTCCCTCCAACTGATGTCAGTCTATGATGAATAACAACTTGAGATACAATATATCTATTCTATTCTGTTAAAACTGTCGTTCCCAATCCGGTTAAATCTTGCCTTTAAAAACAAGATATTCTTACATTGACTGGTCACTAAAGGGGGAACCGGTTTCATATGGTCTAGTCCTGACTGTTGACTGAATTCTATCAATCATTTTCCAATATGATCCAGAGCAAGGGAGCTCATCATTACAGTGTACTTCATTAGGTCTTAGTTGGTTGGATGCAATAGGTAGGAAGCCTAAGACCTAGGTTTCATGCGTTCTAGCAATCATCAGCACGGTATTTCTGCAATCTGAGAATGGAATCCATGGTACTCAGTACTAAGTGAGACACGTTACTACTGGGCTATTTGGGCAAGAAGATACACTTTTTTCAGCAATAGTACTGCACTCAACACTCAACAATTTTTTATTTCCAGTTTTCATGCAAAGTACCTAGTGAAGTTGGGAAGATGATTCATAGTAGGGCTCTCTACTGAGTGATGAAAATTCATTTCACAATAAAATAATGTTGTACAGATAATAAATAGTAGTAATCAAATAAACTTACAAAATTTCTTGTTTGTTCATATGGATACTATTGAATAATGACAAAGAAAACAACATTAAATAATTGTTCAGTCAGTAATTCATACTGAATAATAAATAAAGATTGCATACTTGAAATATTGACTTCAAACTTATCGGTTAAGTTGACTGCATCTATTCAGCACAAGATGAAACCTATAAGAGTTATTAGAAATGGGTTTTTAATCATATCTCATTATATCAAGTTGTTATTCATCGAAGACTGACATCAGTTGGGGGAACAAAGGAAACCTGGGAGCACTGGACAGCTGTTTCGTCCTAGTATGGAACTCCTGTGCAGTGCGCACCCACGACCCCACCAGCAGGATCGAACCCGTGACCTTCAGGTTCCGCGGCCAGCGCGTTACCATTGAGCCACTGTCCAGCGCTCCCAAGGTTCCTTTGTTCCTCCAACTGATGTCAGTCTTCGATGAATAACAACTTGAAATATTTCCAAATCTCCACAACCCCCTCAAAAAATATCTCATTATAGTTTGAGACTATTTTAGCAGAACACAACTTCAACTCTACGAGAACTTGAACTTGGAGTCCTCAGATCTTACGAAACCAAACTATTCAAGTTTTTAAGGTGTGTAGAATTATGATATTGCTATCCAGTTGTTCAATGCCATCGGTTAATGTTTTTCCTTAAACCTGACTTTATCGATCCCCATAGACTACAGCTTCTTACTGTACCTTGGAACATTTTTTCTGAAGTTAGTCAATAAACAGCTTTAAATTACATGGATGAGCACTGTTGAGGATTTCCAAACTAAAAGAAAACAGTTTTGAATTACTTCCAGATTATAGTTAAGTAATTTAGGCTGTAAACGATGTGAAACTATAAACATGGTATGAGCAACAGTATTTCGCCATCAAAAAAGGGTGTTTATTCTTGTTTAATCGTTGAACAGCGATATCAGAAGCTGTATTCACCAACACTCGGATATACAAACACAGAAACCTCTTTGATCAGCTAAAATAATCCAAAAAATAAGACTGAAACTGAACTTATGTTATTTCTGATAATTTCCCGTTATTGAGTTAACCGAATTAATCAGTCATAGTGGAAACCAAATCACTCATTAGGAGGCAGGTACAAAGTTTGAATGAATTACAACAAATAAATATTAATTACTTTTGGAGTACTACAATTTTGTCCACATAAAGTAAGAGAATTAAACAACAAGGAACTTTGACTGGGAAAGAACCAACCAAGAAGCTGTCGCTTAACAAATATGCAGAAGGAAGTGGAGATGGATTGAGCATACACTGAGAAGGCCGACTGGGGACATTACGCGCCAGGCCAGTTGCTTGAGTGGAACCCGATGGGAAGCGACGAGTTGGGCATCCGAGTTAAGGGTGGCACGGAGGAGATCGTGCGAGGAGGAAATGAGAGCTTGTGGGCAGTTGTGGAGCCAGGTTCAAAAGATTTCAGAGGACAGAGTGGAATGGAGACGTGCTACTGAAGCTCTATGTTCCATTAGGAACCCAAGGGACATATAATAATAAATAATAATAAGGTAACAGAATTACGTACATGTAAACGGCTGAAGATAGACCAAGGTAAACAATTTTTGTGGACAGTGAACTTCAATGAAGTCAAGAGGTATGATTGCATGTCAATATAGTTGCCCAGTCAAATCAGCGCATTCTTCATGTAATGATGACGTCACCTTCCTCTTAGACTGACTTTAGTTTGCATTATTGAGCAGCCTATCAGGATTATCATAATGAGATGTAAGACTTGGAACTTACCAGGATTCGAACAGGTTTGAGGCTTTATAATATAATGACCAGTGTACAGAACTCAAGTATTACCGGAATCTACATATCACAACCATTTTCTCCTAATTTTTTGTTGATGAACCGGTTTTAAATAGTTCTTTCCACAATAATGAAAGTCATTCTAAACAAACTCTTAATATAAGTCTGATATTGAATGTCTACCTTCAGTTTGATAAAAGAGGAAACCTTTCAATCAACTAAATAATGAGTACTTTTAGTCACAAATGAATATCATTTGATATACCGTTAAGAACCAGCCAACTCAGAGCAGTTATTTAATCCTATTGATTTCAGAATCAAAATTTGACCTGATAGAGTTAAATAAATTGAGCTTTGGGTAAATGGATTATAAATGAATTATATTTTTAAGAATCCCAATAAGGTAGAAGAAAATTTTTTTGACTTTTCGCAACTTTGTTGAAGTCGTTTCTTCAGAGAATAAGACTCGTTCAATTCTTTATATACTAAATCCATATAGATGAACTGTCATTTTTAGACTGCTTAGTTAAAAGAAATGGAAAGGGAAATAACAAACCAATACATTCAGATCAATATCTTGATTTCAACTCAGAACATTCACTTAGTACTAAACTTCCATTTTTTCTCGAGGCATACACAGGAGAGTCACAAAGGTAGTCATGAATGAAGATGACAAACAAACGCAAGTAAGTAACATAATAGATGTGTAACTACTCTGAGAATATCACTTTAAAAAAGTAAAAGTCATGAGCATACGAATCGAAGAGAAAAATCTTGGATTAGTACAGCAGTTCGACCATTCTTCAAATACAACCGAAGAGGATTTTAGCAAAACATTGAATTAGAACGTTCTATAAGACAACTAACACTCTTAGGAATGCCTTAGTTCATTTTAAACACATAATTCCTCTTACCTCCATGCAGAATTGTGTCTGCAGATTCAGCTATGTCTATTACGATGTCATTATATCAAAGGGAATCTGCCCAAAATTCTCATTTGTGCTAAAGAACATGCAAGCTGGAAAACTGACCTCAAACTAATCCCATAGAACTATAAGGTTTACAAATAAAACTGGTAGTTGCTGTTCGTTTCATCTTTTATAGCCAAAAAGTTGACATTAATGATGTCAAAAAGATTTTCAAAGTAAAAGAAAAGATGGGTAACTGAAGCAGTTCACACTATGTTGAATCCTATTCAGCTCAACTGGAAGAAAGGCCTAACCATCCAACCAACTTTTATCAACCAAATAAAAGGACAGAAATATATAATTTACTAACTTGTAGAGGTTTGTTATCTGAAGAGGCAACTTCCAAGAAGTTGCGAAATAGTCAGAAATGTATTCTTCTACCTCATTGAGATTTCACAAATATATTTCATTTATACTTATTTTGTACGTTTTCGGGACTCTCCTACAGTCCCTACAGATAGTTTCAAGAATCAAAATTCTTGCATAAAGTGATACCTTTTCTAAAGTAATAAGACGTACTGAGATTATAAGGTGAAATTTTCCTTGATAGGGACTATAAATAATGAAAGTCTAAAGAGGAGAGCGAAAGGTTGAATAGGATACTCCTTAAAGACAAGATTGAATATCGAAGTAGCTAAAGTTTTGCTACATAGATTTATCATGACACAGTGATACACAGATAAAACAGTTGGAGAAGTGTATATATATCGAATGTAGAATTCGATTAACTTTATGAAATATGATTTCTAAAATTAGGTGGTCTGACTGACAAGCGCTATAAAGATAAATGTAAATACCTTTTCCACTAAACTTCGTTAATTACTTCGACAAAGTAGTAAGAGTGTCGGAAACACATTTTTAACACAAGTTATTATTTCAAGTTGTTATTCATCGTAGACTGATATCATTTGGAGGAACAAAGGAAACCTGGGAGCACTGGGCAGCTGTTTCATCCTAGTATGGGACTCCTCAACAGTGCGCACCCATGAACCCGCCCTCCAGGGATCGAACCAGCGACCTTCAGGTTCTGCTGCTAGCACGTTACCATTGAGCCACTGGGTCAGAATCCAACGGTCCATATTTACAACTCCTGTTAGCTCACGATATCCAATTGAACTGGTGCTCATTGGTGACTAGCTTCAAGAAGTATTCCCGAAGTTCCCATGAGAAGTCATGACCGGTGGAGTCAAAGCCTGATGGTCGTGAGGAAAGTTACCGAACCATGACGTTGGGTGTCGGTTGCACCATATCGTGAGCTAACAGAAGTTTGAAATATGGACCATTGGATTCTGACCCAGTGGCTCAACTGTAAGGTGCTGGCCATGGAAGACTAAGGTCGTGGTGCGCACCGCTGAGGAGTCCCACACTAGGACGAAACAGCTGTCCAGTGCTCTCAGGTTTCCTTTGTTCCTCCAACTGATGTCAGTCTATGATGAATAACAACTTGAAATATTTCCAAATCTTCACAACTCCCTCAGAATTCAACCAAGTCATTATATTTTTACCCATTACATGATATGCATACCTGATATCCTAAGGTCGACATTAAAAGCAATTAAATAAATGAATTAATTAAATGAAGGAAAGAAAAAATGTAGACGAAATTTGAAGATAAGCCTTAATTATTAAAACAGCATAAGTTTACTGATACCTTTCATAGATTAGTTTGACCGGTATAATTAAAGTGACTTCACATTCCTCTGAATAATGATTTTTTGATGTGGTATGCTTCAATCATTAAGATTAAACAAAAAGATCATACTAGGAGATATTTATATCACAGTTATACTGTATGCAATGCATCCTGAATACTATTCAAATAGCGGTAGAGAAATTGGCTACATTTGAATACTGGAGAAAGTTGTATATCACAACTATCAAATAATGATGTGTCCAAAAGACTACATGAAGACAAGTCAAGTAGGTGAGTATGAAAGTGGTTTACATCCATTTCATTGCATTTCCAGTTCCATTCCACAATGTGATATGCTAAGTAAATTAAACACTTGGACGTATTTCAGTAAACTGATAACTACAGTTTGATAAGAAGGTGACTGATAATTTTCGAATGGCATGAACAATTGATGAAACCTAGTAAGGTGGTTGGTCATACCGGTTAATCCGGTTAGTAAGACAGAGGGGATATAGCAGATGTATCAGAAATCTTCTGACTAAATTATGATATATCTTCAAAAAACAATCACAATTTCATAGACGGTTAGCGTTAAAGAATTAGAGCAGGACATGAATACTGTAGTAGGATATAATTTCGTATTCGGTTTGTTTATTTGTTATAACCACCTAGTGATACAATTTTATTCACCGGATAGTGTTTTCGGCCAAAGTTATTGCTTACGATGTACATGCATTGATTTGAAAGAAAATCACATACAAAGAAATAGCCTAGGTAAATGTTACACTTAGTTACCGACCCTACTGAACAACAATGCCCTTGAAGTGAAGACAGGAGTAGGACAAGGTTCCCACCCTCTATCACCGATGATCTTCCTGATTGTGGTCGACTGGACTGGATTGGACTGGACTGAACTGGATCATGCAATAGACAACTGTTAGGAGCTGTGAGAAGATGGGCATACGCTGACTGGACCGATGAAAAGACCCCAGAAGAAGATTCCGATTTCGCCAATGATGATGATTCATGTCTCATGTCTTATGGCACAAACTCGAAGATCTACAGACGAAAACCAACAAATTGACAGAAGAGGTGAGATATCGAACGAAGAACGAGACTTCCTTCAGTTGAACGTAGAGAAGACAGTGGTGAGGAAGATACCCAACCAACAACAACAACAAACACCAATCACCACCAACGGGAGAGATCTAAAGGAAGTTCTCTCTTCCACCTACCTATCTACCTACCTAAGCAGAATCATTTCAACTACAAGCAGCAGCGACACACATAACGATGTCATAGCTAGGATTGGAAAGACAGAAAGACAGACCATCCTGCATTAATCTGAAATCAGTGTGGAGATCTACTCCACTCCACTCAGCATAAAGCGTGAACAACATATGGATTTTCAACACTAATGTCAGTCAAGTAAGTCAGTGCTTCTGTTTGATGGTTGAGAGACTTGGCAGCGCCTTATGAAAAGTATTTCCAATAAACTGCACACATATATCATCAACAGCTGCCATCTACGCTCACTCGATACTGAAGATCAGATCAGAAGGCCAGAATAATAAGAGCAAGCAACAAGGAACTCTGGCTGGCTGGCTGGCAAGGAACCTACCAACCAACAACCTATCGCCCAACAAATATGTGGAAGAGAGGGGAGATGGATTGGATTGGACATAGAGTGAGAAGACGGTTTAAGGACATTATGCTCCAGGTCAGGTCAGGTCAGGCCAGGTTATGCCTTCGAGTGGAACCCTCATGAGAAATGAGGAGTTGGGCGTCCGAGGTGAGGGCGGCATGGGGGAGATGGTGTGAGGAATAGATGAAAGCTTGTAGACAGTGGTGGAGCCATGTTGAAAGGGCTGGATAGAAGAGAGTGAAATGGTGACGTGTTACTGAAGCCGTATGTTCCACCAGAAACCTAAGGGACAAATGAAAATAATGAGTTGTAGGTTTTCAAAATAGTATTCATCATGGACTGACATTGGCTGAAGAACCATTGAAAACCTGGAAGTCCAGGAAAAATGCTTCTTTGTAATTTGAGATTCTACATTAATGCTCACTTACAACCCTATCGGGGATCTCACTGCTGAGGAGTCCCATACTAGGACAAAACAGCTGTCCAGTGCTCAAAGGTTTCTAATATTTCTCCAACTTATATCAGTCCGCGATGGGTATTACCTTGAAATCAATCAGTCCCCATAAACCTTCAGGCTGAATTACAATGTAGGTTATTCAGTTACACTAAACACTATCCAGCAATAACTTACACTTAGCGAGTTAATCATCAAACTTTTATGAAAAGAATAAAAGGATGGAAATATATAATTTATTGACTGAAATTAAGATAACTATTTATGCTTCACTTACTGGCTCTTGGAGCTGCATTTCTTCATTATCTTTGCTAATTTCATTACATGAAGAATAAATGTTACACTGATCGTATGCTGCACTGGGCGTTGGAATGATTAACAATTGTTCAACCGCACCCTAAAAGAGAAAATAATGATTTTTACAATTGCAATGTAATCACTAAACACTTTACATATTTACTGCCTTGATGAGATGATAAAATTGTTTAAATGAAATGTTATTCTAGGTGAAGATCTTTAAGAAAGGAAACAAGTTATAATTCATTGAGTGGTCACTGGAAGTTAACCGACTCCAGGTTAACCAAGTTATAGGTGCCGGTCAAATTCTGTCAATCTCTAACAAGTTAAAAAATTTTTTTTATTGAAGTCTAATAAAAATTTCATCATAAGGTAAAACCTAACATCAGTTTGGATGCTTGTACACATAAATTGAGAATCTTACAGTTTGCATAGTGTAGTAATAAGAAGATGGAGGTTATCTGAGAAATGCGGATATACACGATTATAAAGACAAAATACTTGGTTGTATTGTGTTCTCTGAGCTGGGTTGTTTAATCTTGAAGTTTTCATCCTCCTTCTAGACGACATCATCAGCACTATCTTCAGTATGACAAAATACTATTCATTCTCAATGACAAAGGTAAGTTCATGGTGGACCACCCAAGAGAAGACATCAGAAAATCCCAAAGAAAAGTAACGTGTGAATATCCTTAGCGAACAGGAATTTCACCCAAACTGATATGGTCTATCAAAAATACACAAACCGCATATCCCATCATACCCAATACTGTAGATGTGTTGCTCCTTAACACATAAATTGGCAAAATGGCTAGCCCAAATACTGAGTACAGTTAGAAACCAATTGTGTAAGTTTACATCAAAAGATACTTTTGGACTTATTGACTATATAAATGACATTGATATCAAAGATAAATCAATGTTTTCTCTGAATTCAAAGTCTTTATTTACCAACATGCCTTTAACCAAGACTGTTGACATTCCTTGTGATTATATATCCTTCAATATTCCTTCTTTCCTCATCACTCCTAAGTATTTGAAAGAGCAATTACTACTATACACCGATAAGGTTTACTTCACTTTCGAAGGTGGATATTTTTGATAAGTTGATGGTGTTGATATGGGCAATCCTTTTGGACCATTGTTAGCTGATGTCTATATATCATATGTAGAACTTTTGACTGACGATATTATCAGCCAAGTCTCTCTGTAAGGGAGATATGCTGATGATATCTTAATTATCACATCCCACTGCGCATACCAGTTTACATGTATGTCCAATGACACATACATTGGTAGGAGTAACCGACATATACAGTCGAGGGTAGCGGAGCATATCCCTAAATGGTTAGAAAAACAATCACATTCGAATAATCCGATAAATATAAGGGGTAGACAAACGTCATCCTCGATAAGTAAAAATATTATAGAAAAAGGTCACAGGATTGACCCTAAAGCAGTCTTTAGACCATTGTAGAGAAGCCGTCAAGACCGTATACTTAGGTTCATTGAAGCCTTAGCTATAAGAAAGTCAAACCCCTCTTTGTGTATTCAAAATGTTTATTCTTACTACCTTCATAATCTTTATCACATTTTAATACCGAGGGAGGTATGAAAATGTATTATTCCTCCTTATTATCCCTATATTTTCGAAATCTTTTTATTATCTTAATTTATTTATTTAACCTTACTCTGTTTTCATCCTTTATAAAAAATCCCTTGACAAGTAAATGTGTGATCAGACTGTTCTGAATATATTGCGCGAATATAACACATTTCTCAGATAACCTCCATCTTCTTATTAGTAGTAATTCTTGGGGAGTGTAATGATGATCACATCAATAATAGTAGTGATGGGTAGAGTTCAAGTAACAAAACTAGACTTATAGTACCTAAACTGAGATTTAGTACAACTCGTATTCGATTTAAATGAAATAACGATTAAGGGAAATCACAGTTAATTATATCGGTCAAGCTACGTTAGCTTTATAATTTGTTACTTCTGTGTTGCAGAAAATACTTGATTATGAAAATATTCCACCCAAGAAGGCAGGAATCTATCAGCAGGAATCCCTTCCCTATCTAAGCTTCTTGCTTGTTGATACTCATGAACATGGTGTATCTACAACTTCAAGGAAACTGTTGTTTTCTCGGTGATTCATAGCTGTGTCACTCAGTGCTAGACTCAGTAACTCAACCTCTTAGCTGTTTAGGACACGACTGATCTCTTGTGGGAATAGATTATGTACACAAATTGATCATCAGTGGACGATCGATGGAACTATCTATTCCTTAGTGCTTAAAATCGAACAAAGCCCATCATCCAAGCTTTGCAGTGTTGCCACAGAGCGAAGTGAAACGACACCTCAGTGCACTGTATTATGAACTGAGTGACGTAAGCTTGAATTGCTAAGAGAACACCAGTTTTCTTTCATGGTTTCAGGTTGTACTTGCTGGTTGGTACAAAAGCTGTACATTTGTATACAGCTAATTTTTTCCTATGACCAAATAGGGGATTACTTCACAATTATTGATGCTATTGTGTTCTTTTAGCCATATGATTTAATTGTGAAGCTTTCATTGTCATTTCATGAAAAGTTGTGACCAGTGGGGCCAACGAAGTCGAACATGGGGACAATTACTCAACGACGATATTGGATGGAGGTCACACTGTATCGTTAACTGACAGAAGTGGGAAGTATGCGCCTATGGCCAAACTGTAACATACTGGTCGCGGAATCTGAAAGCATTGGGTTCGACCCCTAGAGGGAGGGCTCATGGATGCGCACTGCTGAAGAATCCCATACCAGGACGAACTAGCTGCCCATTACTTTTAGGTTTAAATCGGTTTCGAGATTCTTTCAAGTCTATCAGTCTAAGAATCATCAGTTTTTACAATCTCTCGTAGCTCATGGCGTTATATGAAGTCACTTTAGGTACAATGGTAAATTACCAATCCCATATGTATACTGCATTATGATTGGTTACTTAGACCCAATACTCTTGTATCAAGGGTTGACAAAAACAAGTGGGGAGAAGTTTAATTAGTGCTACGTAGTTACTAAGTCAAAAATGTCTAAGCATTAAGCATTTCACTCTCGTATTGACCACACGTAAAAATGGGAAGTGAAACAGTCAACTTACTGATTTAAAATGAGACTAGAAGCATCTTTCAAGCTATACTTTCAACACGAACAATAATGTTATATGGAGGCGTATTTTTTTTTGAAATGTCTCCTTTTCTGCTAGTGTGAATCCATGACATGCACAACTACACTGTCTGTAACATTTGCCTCTCTTTCTACAAAAAAGCTGTATTGGACTTAAAAATTCTTATTATATGTCTAGCTGATGCGTAATAGTTTTCGCTGGATAAAACGGATTAACAATAAGCTTGCGTAACTAACAAAGAAATTTTAGACACTACACATTTCATTGCTTATTACACTTTTTTGCAAACTTACTGGCTTAAATGAAACTTTATGTGGAAATTTTTAAAATTCCTTTCTGAAATAACATAGTGTTTTATGTTCCTGACTTAACATTTATATCATTTTGATTATGTGAGATAGTCATGGTTTGGCAGACTAGTATTGATACCGGGTAATGATTGAAGGTGTAATGGAAATTTGGACTGCCACCGGATTCGATTCATCGACCAACTGGTTTCCAGCTCAGCGCTCTACCAACTGAGCTACGAGGTCCAACTGTAGCCGCTATGAGTATCATGTAGCTATCTTAACGAGTCACGAATTCACATCATAGTCAGGTAAAACACTTAGTGACTGAATAGAAATAAAAATATGGTCAGTAGTCGAATCTCGTAGGTTAGTTGGTAGAGCATCAGGCCCGGAACCTAGTAGTCGCTAATTCGAATCCGGCCGTGGTCCGAATTTCTATTTGATCTTCAGTCAGAACCCAATATTAGTCATTTATATCTTTTCTATAGGTTTCAAGTTCACTTATTAGTTAATTAACGGACTATCCGCAAAGGAAACATCTTGACTTGCTGTTTATTTTTTAGTTGTAATATGGCTCACCATTTCCCTGAAAAAAGGTTTTTGCCATTTGTACTTTACTGTCAGCGATTAAAAAGTCCCTGTGGTAGTTCATAACTTTAAAGATATATACTGCTCACTGATATTTTTTGGCTGTACATATACGACCGTATAACAGAAAGCATAGAACATTGGAGAGTGATTTTCAGTAAAAAAAAAGGAATCTTATCAATTCATTCTTCTCAAGAAGACAAAGAATATTCATGGCAGATGCAATCTATGATGAACCGGAAAACTTGTGCGAAATCCCAATGAAAAATGGATCCTCATGGAAATTTAAAGATAGGAATCTAAACCCTCAAAATGCCAAGGGGCGCTTGCATGCTGCACCGAAAAAGATCTTACTGGTGAACGTCGAATTCAAGATATCTTTAGAAAGCTAATATCTGGATCCATAAACAGGATATTCTTTGCCGCCAATCATAGAATCATAATCTGTCACAAACTCATTCTTCAGTACATATAAGAAAAGCTTGAGTATTATGCCACATCAGTGTATGTATCAGTTGAATTGCACCGGTGGAGACGAGTATATTTATTGTATCATGCGCCAGCTTATGCAACGCACTCGCGAACACTACCCAACTTGATATAGGAATAAAAAGTGGGCACTATGGTAGATTGTAATTTCATTTAACTCCGTTTATTAGAAATGTCACGCAGTGAAGGGACATTATCATCAACTTGATAACATTTTGGGCATAATTTACTGTTCATATTCATACCAGATCACTCCACAACATCAAGATAGAGTTTATATATTCCTAAATTTCTCTCCTTTTTGCGATGACGAGGGTAGTAGAATATTCCATATATCTGTGACAAATGCAAAATCATTTCTATTACCGCATGTAATTGATGTTGATTCGATAAACAAAGATTCCATTATCAATCTCTCCCTCCCTCAACTCAAGACAGTTTTTAGCACTGTCACTCTATCCCACCCTACAGTGTGACTGTATGTAATTGCGTGCAGAGCTAGAGCCGAGCTTTTCTCTTAATTTCTTATCTTATTACTATCTACTAATGTTGATTTATCTACTTTTTTGTTCTTTGTTATTCTAATCGGCCCTGGTCGACTACACTGACCTATGTATTTAACCTAACAATCGTTGCGAGGGATTTAGTATGCCAAATTATTTTTCCCAAGTGCATCAATAGGATCTTCTAACCTACAAGGCTTGTTTCTTAGTGAGTTTGTTGGTTTAAATGTCGATATAATCCCAGCCAGCCTTATTGAGACTTCTTCGTGATGCTTATGAGGTATCTTCCTTGTTTAGTAACACAACAGAGGCTTTGCATTCTCTCTCAACTCTGTCACCATTAATACTATTAGTAGTAGAATTGTTATTAATAACACCTGTATTACTACTACTACTGCTAATGTTTTTCTTCCGATTTCTTACGAGTCTATTTATAAATGTAGGTGATTAGTTATTGAGACTTAAGGGATTCTCGACGTTTCTAATTTCTTGTTGTAGATTTTCTGGCCTACAAGTAAATCTTTTTGCCGTATTACATAAGCATCTAACGAAGACTACTTTAACTGAGATGGAGTTAGGTGATCTGAAGTCTAAGTAGAGCTTCGAATGGGAAGGTTTCTTATAGACACTAGTCTGTAGACTTCCATCTTGTTTTCGTTCATTCTTGCAATCCAACATTACTAGCTCACCTTCATTACTTTTAAAGTTGTTAAAACCAAATATATGCAATAGAAATGATTCTGCACCTGTCTCAGATATGTGGGAAATTCTAATACCCTTATCTTGTCACAAAGGAGAGAAAATTAGGAATATATAAACTCTGTCTCGAAGTTGTGGGGTTACCTGATATGTATATGGACAATAACTTGTGTTGGAAACTTTATCGAGCAAATGACATCTCTGATAAACAGACTAAAATGGAACTACCCAACCTGGCTGTCAACGAAAGAACGGAAATGCATCTTCAGCTCTGTAAGACAACACCTAGTAAACAGCCTGCTCTCCTGGATTTCAGCAGCATTACAGCGTTCAGGACTTCACTTCTGCTCTTGTCGGAGGGCTTGTGTTCACTGGTAATTCTGTGACTGGGCTACTGGTGGTATTTCTTGACGAGTTGCAGGTGGCGGCGTTGGTCGATTCAAAAGTTTTTTGAAGTGGTCAGCCCATCGTTTCCTTTGTTTCTCCTCTTTGGTAACTTGGTTTCCTTCACTATCTTTCATTGGCTTCATCTGCGTTGATTTGTTGCCAGATAGTAACCTGCTTATTTGATATAGTGTTGTCAGGTCTCTGTCTTTCCTACCAGCACCCTATTCTGCTTCACTTACCAATGTGTCGTAGAAGTGTTTTTCGTCTTTGCGTGCACTCTTCTCCACTTCTTGTTCAGTGTTTTATACTTTGTGTTCAGTTCCTGTTTACTTTGTTCATACTTGCACTGGGTTATCTTCTGTAGGTTTCTTTTGACATCTCTTTCAAAGAATTCCAGTGTTCTTCCACGTAGGTTTCTCCGGGAATGTTGCCTAATATCTCCCATTTTCACCTGATGAGTGACTGGCGCGAATATGTCCTTTGTAGTTTCGTCCTGCAGTTTCATTTCTGGGTTTTGAACTTGATCTGTGGTCTATCACCAGCTTCTTTGATGGCTTTCAACTGGATTTTGAAGGTTCCTTGCACCAGACAGTGAGTGGTGTGAATATACACCTGCTCCCATTCTTCATCTTGTTTGTGTTCAGTGGGCTGTTTCTCCACTTTCTTCACATTGAGATGAAGTTGATCTGATATCTAGTGTAGTGTGTCCTGGTGTCTGGTGAAATCCATGTCGCTTTGTGAATATCCTTGTGTTTGTACACACTGCCTCCATTACCAAGTCATTAAATGTGCGGAATTCTGCAAACAGTTCTCCATTCCTATTCATTTCACCGGGTGCTTCTCCACCTATGACTGGTTCTCTTCCTATATTGTCTGCTCTCAGTTCGGCATTCATGTCACCCCACCCATAGGAATTTTGATGTCGCCAACTAAGATGGGGTCTTATCCAGTGCTGACTGCAATCGTCTGTATAACTATTCCTTTTCTCTTGATTCACATTACGTGTGGGTGGATAGCGTAGCATTTTACGATTGTGACCTTCCTTCCTTTTGAGTTGAACGTTGCCGTCATCATCCTGGAGGAGAATGGTTCCCACTGCATGAGAGCCTTCGATGCTCTTGAGGACATCGTGATAGCCACTCCCTCAGTGTGCTTGTGTTTGTCATCTGGGTGATAACATCGGAGTAGATTATTGATTCTCCAGTTGACAGTTTGGAGAGTTCACTTCCTTTCCATCTGCTTTCGCAGATTCCTAGCCTAGCATTTCGATGTGATACCTTCTCATCTCTTTTGTAATCCGGTCAGCCTTGCTAGGTTCAAACATTGTTCTGACATTCCATTTCCCCATTTTTACTTTCGCTTTCATTGAGGGAGAGAAGACTTATCGGCCAATTGGCTTCCCGAAGGCAGGCTTTAACCAACCGGTATCATTTCACCTCTTCGATTCCAGCGAGGAATAAGTTTAATTTTATGTTTTATATTTTGTTTGTGCATTGAAGCTTCTTAAAGGGTTAGATTGGTTTTACTGGGTAGGGTTGCTAGCCCTATGCCCAACCTTGCCTCTTTTTCCGACCTTGGGAAAGGCTAGTAACTAGTGAACTAGTTACCTAGGCTAGGATGTAAGGCATTCTGACGGCTACAATATGCCAAAAAGATGATGTATTCACAGGAAGTATTGTAGATATAATTCCCACACTAGTCACATTATTTATTGTGTGCCATTGGATTGAGTATAATGGATTTTCTAGTAACCTAGACGCACACTTACAGATAAATCTTTGTGTAGTACTGAATTTAAGTAGAGTATCAATGAATGTTAGCATCACTAAATAACATTTTAGTAGCTGGATAAAGGATTGTAGTGATATTGACATAATTAATCAGATTATTCAAAGTATTCCTACTTCAAAAGAACTCCGTTCATTTAGGGAAGATCCCTGAGGTTAGTTGAGAAGCTCCACTGCTCTAACATGCATAACAACTACCTAAAGGTTATAAAGAATAAGCTCTACAGACTGAGACAAAAAACCTGACCATGAACTGAGTTTCTGTTTTACTTTTCTCCAAAGGTTTCTATACATAAAAATGATTTTTACTTAGTTACACTTAGTCCCGTTGTCAGTAACCAAAGAGGTCAAAATTCAGAAAACTATTTACTGTTTCAGTAGTGAAGTAGTATATGTTACAAGTATGAATGCATCCTGGATAAGACCGTCAGGTGAATCAAGGTGTTAGTTAAAGCATAGAACTTAGACGAATCATATATTCCTTTATCATTTAACTATCTTAGATGGCCGTAGTTTGGCAGACTAGTATTTATACTGGGTAATGATTGAAGGTGAGATGAAAATCTGGACCGCGGCTGGATTTTCATCTCACCTTCAATCATCACCCAGTATATATTCCTTTATCCAACTTTATGGATTACTGAAAGTTCTGAATTTCCTAATCACCATCATAATAAGTTAAAACTTTCAGTTTCTTTAGTAAAGTTCATCCAATTGATTTCATTATATAATCTGCAACCACAAATCAGAAGAAAAATAAAACAGATCAATTGTTCTCCTCAGCAAGAACTTAAAATTAAAATTGAAGGAGAAACAGATACTATTTCAGTCAATTTGCATCAAACTGATACCAGGGGATTTGTTGGAAACTTTATAAATTAGAACTTAAAGTGGCCAATCAATATAAATTCAGCAGACTAATCTTTTAGTTCTGCTCTGAAGTCCTTTATTGGTACTACGAATAAAGCCACTGCTTCCATGATATAACGAATTTGGTATGTTCATTGCTGCATGAAGCTTACTTGTTCCGATTTGATATTCACTGAAATAAGTATTCCTATCATATACTAAGCTGGAAATGGTTTGGGCATGCACTGAGAAGACCATCCGGGGACATCACGTGCCAGGCCATACTTTCGACTGGAACCCAAATGAAAAACAACGAGTTGGGCGTCCAGCTAAGGGTGACATGGAGGAGATGGTGTAAGGATGAAATGAGAGCTTGTGGGCAGTTGTAGAGCCAGGTTCAGAAGATTGCAGAAAACAGAGTGGGATGGAGACGTGCTACTGAAGCCCTATGTTCCACTAGGAACCCAAGGGATAAATAGTGGTAGTAATAATAATGATAATAATATAATCATATACTAAGCTAGATTGTTTTTTAGGATGATAAAAACTAATTTACAAAACCATAAATAAAGAAGCAAATAAGAACGTACAGTGAAACTAGGTTGACCAATCTTATCTTGTAGAATATACAGCATGCCTTTACCAAATTTCAAATCACCAGTAACTGTTCTGTTGAGTAATTTTGACATGATAACTTTACAGTCAACAAGTAAAGTTACTGAATCACCCTTAATACTGAATGCAATTCGATGCCATCTAAAATTATAAAATAAGTTAACATTAAGCAAAGTTAAACGCATACAAATGAACAAAATATTCAGTGAAGTCATTAAGCAATGACTTATAAAGAAAATTTACATGAAAAAGAAACTTATTTTGTTGTTCATATGGAAAGAAAAAATGCAGATGTTTTGTTGATTGATGGAAATCGGCAGGAATTTCTGAAGACATCGGTTTTAGGCTTATCAGCAGTCGTCAGCAAGTCGTATCTGTTGCATTGACGGAACTGATCCATGTTGTCCAGTATTTTAGTCAATGATGTTACCACTATGTTATTCCAATTGTGACTGACTTTCTATAAGCCTGATCACTGCAGAACAAATTGTTTCTTGTTGTCTAGTCGTAAGTAATTACTGAGTTTTGTCAATGAACATCTCATTATGAGATGATATAAAGTTCATCGTGAAGAAGTGAAGCACTTTACTATCAAAATTTAGTGATAAACGGCAAAAACAAACAGTACAGAAGATAATTTCAAAGTAGATAGCTCTTTAAACCAAGACCGTTGGGACCGTTGATATATTTTACTCATAAGACTTTTCTTTGCCACAGTGTAAAGTGTGTGAATCTAATATGTACACATAATGTTAGTGGTGGACTGGATCATGCAGCAAACAGTGAGGAGTGAGAAGATGGACATAAGCTGGTTGGACCGATGAAAAGACCCCACAAGAAGACTTGGATTTCGCCGATGATGATTTTTGTTTCATGCTGCACAAACTCGATGATCTACAAGTGAAAACTAACAAGTTGGCAGAAGAGGCAGAGAAGATGGAATTGCAAGTGAATGTGGAGAAGACAGAGGTGATGAAGATAACCAACCAACAACAGTATCAATAACAAGAGGTAACAATCACCATGAACGGGAGAAACTTGAAGGAAGTAGTCTGTTTCACCTACTCAGTCAAGACAGCATCATTTCAACTACAGGCGCCACAGGCACAGATGAGGATGTCAAAACCAGGATCGGAAACACAGCAAGACAGGCTTTCACGAATCTGAAATCACTGTGAGATCTACTGCACTCCACTCACCACAAACAATAAGATCTGAATTTTCAACACCAATGTCAAGTCACTGCTGCTACATGGTTTAGAAAGTTGGCGCGTCACGTAAAGCATCTCCAACAAACTACAGACATTCATCAACAACTGCCATCTACGCTCACTTGATACTGAAGATCAGATGGTCAGAGTGAAGAGAATAAGCAAGGAGGAACTCTGACTGGGAACGAACCAACCAAGAAGCTATCACCTAACAAATATGTAGTAGAAGAAAGTGGAGATGGATTGGGCATATACTGAGAAGACCGACTGGGGACATCACATGTCAGGCCATGCTGTCGAGTGGAATCCAAAGGAGAAACGACGAGTTGGGCGTCGGAGACGAGGGTGACATGAGGAGATGGTGTGAAGAAGAAATGAGAAGTTGTGGGCAGTGTTGGTGGCAGGTTGAAAGACTGGAGAGAACAGAGTGGAATGGCAAGGTGCTGGTGAAGCCTTATGTTCCACTAGGAACCCAAGGAAAAAAACAAAGTAACATCAAAATCATTTAAAAATGCTTATAATTTTCTAAGCTACATATTTCGGATTTACTTTCATTATTCTTGTATTCATTGTTTACAACGTCAGGAAGATATGTCCAAAAATGTGGAATAGCGCCACAAGTTTGATCTATATAGTCTAGAGATGTCTAAGCAGCAGTTAATCAGATACTGAGCTGTGAGTCATGTATACTTATAAAACAAGGAATGTTTATCATTGGGGAGCATTTACATCATTATATGAACTATATTTTATCACCTTATGAGGCCTACAGTCATCATGGAAGGAGTATGGTGGGGATAAACTAAAGAACCGTGTTTACGACAAGGTCAGATATAAACGAGGAAAGTAATTAGAAGTCAAACGCATTTTTCTGCATCTCTGAGTAAATAGAGTCATCTGTGAGATAGTAGAAAAGATTTGCATCTCAAGGTGAGGATGATAATTGTATGATGTTCTTCAGGCGTTGAGGTCTCTTATTAGATGTTTCATCACCTAGTTAGGAAACTTTGTCAGCATTTACTACATTTCAAAGTGAAGCAATCCTATATTCTATGTGTGTTTAAAAAGGATATTTGTCAACTTCAAGCGTTGTTTTTATATGGGTAGGAGAGGCCTATCCTTCGTTCTTATCACAGTTTGACCTATGTCGTCAACCTAATGTCTGATTAGTGATATGCCTGATTGGTTATCAGTTGTAAGATCCCCTCTTAGTTGCAACTATGCTGACCTCAAGGTTAGGAGAACACTAAAAAACCATCACAGTCAACTGTGTCGGCAAACGATGTAATTACGAGAAAGAAAAGTGTTTATAAAATGTCATGAAATCCTCAGTTGATTCTTCCAAGTGGAAAGAGAAATGGTAGAAGTGTAGGTTAGGTTTGAATGTTGCCTGGTTTTATAATCATGCCCATATGAAGCTCAGGTAAAAGAATATCAGACTGTTGTTACAGTTTCTGACTGTTTGCCTGAGTTGATTAAGGAGACATAGACTGACTTCTAGGTTAGAAGTCCCTTGACAATTGAGGTCAGGTATCACAGACTCGTTCATAGCTTTACTGTCTCTTCGTTCGCTTTATAACTTTTGATGACTAACTGTATCACATCCATCTTCATCTTTTATCTTGTTATTTTATATCATGATGTCGTATGTGTGGCAGATCTCATGCTGTGTTGATATTGACTAACCATTTAGGAATTCCTAAAAGTTTTTTTGCCAGTATTAAAAAATTCCAGTTCTCCTGACTGTAAATGTATTCAAGATGAGGCAGGGTAGTGTTGAAAGAAAGTGTATCAAAAATGTAATTCCACCCATTAACACATATTACTAACTCAGTGTAGATTCTAGTTGGAGAATTTTGGGAGGTTTATTCGAATCCATAATATAAATTCTATGAAAAAATGATATTAAATTACCACTGACTAATTTCAGGTTGTACCATTAAAAGAATCAAAGAGATTCTTAGATTCGGGCATAAATATTAGTGTTTCGATTTCAAGTTGGTATTCATCATAGATTGAAATCAGTTAGAGGAACATTGGAAATCTGCGGACACTGGAAAGCTGTTTCGTCCTAGTAAAGGATTCTTCAACAACGGGTACCCATGAGCTCGCACTCCAGGGATCGAACCCATGACCTTCAGGTTCCGTAGCCAAAAGTTATCATTGTTCAGTATTTGTCCTCACGTCCACCAGGTTTGCCCTACCAACTTGAAATCAATAAATTCTCACAAACCCCCGAATTGAATCAGTCCATTGATCAGTTAATCCAGCGGTAGACAAATGCAAAGACAAGTTTAAGAGTTAAGGCTAAAGTGTTAGAGAATGACGGTGAATAGTGCATGAGCTTACACTTGTATCTTGAATCACATAATGCTGAAGTTCAACGTTCATACAGTTTCTTTGAAATATTTTCTTGGTATTTGAAAAAGGACTCAATCTTAGCTTCTAAGCAACTGGATGGATGTTGTTTTTCACAACTATACTTACTTACCTCTGCATTTCATATACCAGTAAAAATAATCTAAGAAAGTTACTCTCTCATTACTGAACTCACTACGGTGCAGGTGTATCCAGGTGACAAGTCCCAAATAAGATGAAACATCCACCATGGATTCGGCTGATAGCCACCAAGCAGACTACGACATAATGAATATTCGGACAGTATCGATGCATCCTCATAGTATTATATATCCCAGTAGAGGTCGATTAATTCGACCAAGTTTAGGAGAATGGAATTGCGAATATGCAAAACTATGTGCCTAATCACTTTTGCTCTGTGGATACTCCGATTTCAAAGCTAACTGAAATTGACCTTCTTTCTTATGATAGTACAAAGACTTGAAGCGTTTGCTTATAGAAGTGACAGTTGGTTACAATTTTTCAAAGTATATCGCCTATTTCACCTTCATGCTTCATCTTCCAAACAGTAAGAAGCCTTTGACGCTCATAGGATTTTGAGATGATAGAGAATATTTGTAGTTCAGGTGGATAAGAAACAATAAGAATGTAAAATTTTAGGTAATTGAGACAACAAATCGAAGTAAATGTGAAGACAATCACAAGACCTTGGTAGAAACAACCAATCACACACAAAGTCATCAGGGTAAGCTAACAGATAAATTATGGAGAGAACCTTATAGCTCACCTCTTTCTGAAGTTTGTACTGATGATGCTGCCTAGAATGATAACAAAAGCTCGACGATTAAATTATCCAGCTCAGAGAAGGCAACACGACCAAAATTATTGACGTGAGTTAAAAAAATTCTTCACAATTATGAAGTATTATGTGCTAGAGTGGAGTTTCCTAGACAGTAATAAAGCTGATAGGAGAGCGGATTCTGCTTACCAGTTGCAAATGAAGTATTCTATTTGTAGCTACTGTTGAAGATTAACAGAAGCCTAGAAGCATTTACTTAAATGACCAACAGTAGCCAAATACTTCAGCTTAGGAAATCAGAAACTGAATTACAGCTCATAAAATCTAACTATAATCCGCTTCACTGTTGAAAAACGAGAATTGAGTTGCCTTATTACTGGTGTCTCCAAATAGTTGCGAACTCGCATAACCCAGTGTTTCAGTCAGAGACGTGGCATCAGGTTGGTTATTGTCCAGTGATAAATGAATGTATGTAATCCAGTTCCAAAAGGGTTCAGTCACGTCCGGAATAGCTCAGTGGTGATATCGGTGACTACAACACCAAATGACAAGGGTTCGGATTTTGAAGGGAACATCAGTGTCCTGAAGGTTGCAGACATACTTAGCTGACGAGTACCAACAAGTGTGAAAAGTAAATCTAGCAGGGTTTTCTGTAGATTGCTTCCAAACAACTGACATCTACCAAAGTGCACCACAATGATAACCTTCTTGGCTTGTCGGCTACATTGCAAAATGATCGATATAATTCTGTCAACACTCACAACTAGATAACATGAAATCGTTTCTTATTTTTAATGTATTTCAGAAATATTTGACTCATTCGGCAACATTATGAAGACGCCACATGCCAGCCAAGTAATTCACAATGGAAAGCTCAGCTCAGTGATGCCTTTGAAGTGAAGTGCAGACAAAAGTAAAACAAGGCTGTCTACTATTACCCGTGATCCTCCTGCTGATTGTGGTCAAGTGGACTGGATCATGCAGCAAACAGTGAGGAGTGAGAAGATGGACATACGCTGTCTTGACTGTGGAAAAGTACCTAGAAGATTTGGATTTCGCCAATGACTTGTGTCTGATGTCACACAAACTTGAAGATGTAGAGGCGAAAACTAACAAGTTGACAGAAGAGGCAGAGAAGATGGGACTTCAAGTGAATGTGGAGAAGACAGAGGTGATGAAGATAACCAACCAACAACGGTATCAACAACAAGAGGTAACAATCACCATGAACGGGAGAAACTTGAAGGAAGTAGTCTGTTACACCTACTCAGTCATCGTTTCAACTAATAATAATAATAATAATAATAATAATAATAATAATAAGAATAATAATAATAATACTTACCATTCAAAGTGGTAAAGGTAATTAAAGAACAGTATAGATTCCGTTCAACTGAGTTTCCATATATATATATGGAAAGTCAACTGAAGGGAATCTATACTGTTCCTCAGTTGCCTTTACCACTTTGAAAAGCAAGTTTCACTATTATTTGTCCCTCGGGTTCCTAGTGAAACATAGAGCTCCAGTAGCACATCTCCATTCCACTCTCTTCTCCGAATTCTTTCTCACCTGGCTCCACCACCACCAACAAACTCTCATTTCTTCCTCACACCACCTCCTCAATGTCACACTCAACTACGACGACCAAATCGTCGTTTCCCATCTGCATTACACTCAACGACCTGACCTCGCGCATCATGTCCCCAGTCGGCCTTCTCAGTCTATGCTTCATCCAATCTATCTACAATTCATTCTGCAAACTGGTTGTGTGATAGCTTATTGGTTGGCTCTTTACCAGACACAGCTCATTGTTGTTCATTCGTATTATTCTCTCCATCTGAGCTTCAGTAACGAGTGGGCATATGCGGCAGTTGTTCACGAATATCTGTATCTTGTTGGAAATCCATTTTGTAACGCACCAAGTCTCTCAACCATCACATGGAAGCACTGACTTGACAATAGTGTTGAAAATCCGGATCCTGTTCACACTATATGCTGAGTGCAGTGCAGAACACCTCCACACTGGTTTCAGGCAAATGAACACCTGTCCGAACGCTTTTCCGATTCTGACTTTGACATCCTCGTCTGTGTCTGTGACGCCACCTGTAGTTGAAACGATGCTGTCTTGACTGAGTAGGTGAAACAGACTACTTCCTTTGTGTTTCTCCTGTTCATGGTGATTCTTGCCTCTTGTTGTTGATACCGTTGTTGGTTGGTTATCTTCATCACCTCTGTCTTCTCCACATTCACTTGAAGTGTCATCTTCTCTGCCTCTTCTGTCAACTTGTTAGTTTTCGCCTCTACATCTTCAAGTTTGTGTGACATCAGACACAAGTCATTGGCGAAATTCAAATCTTCTAGGTACTTTTCCACAGTCAAGACAGCGTATGTCTATCTTCTCACTCCTCACTGTTTGCTGCATGATCCAGTCCACTTGACCACAATCATCAGGAGGATCACGGGTAATAGTAGACAGCCTTGTTTTACTTTTGTCTGCATTTCACTTCAAAGGCATCATTGAGCTGAGCTTTCCATTGTGAATTACTTGGCTGGCATGTGGCGTCTTCATATAGTTGCCGAATGAGTTAATGAATTCTGTACATTATTGAAAATGATACCGAATATGGAGTGGAGATGATCATGTTTCAATTTATTATTTGATTACCTCGATACATGTTTACCATTGACATTCGCTTAGGTCGAAGAGTCTATTAGTGGAAGAAATAAATTTAGTTTCATGTTTGTAAGAAGACATCAACTATTAGATTGATTCCATATTTCATTATTCAAGGGTTTCACTTCTTTTAATGTGCTATTAGTGAATAACTGAGGGAGATAATTTTTTTGTTATTTCTAACTGTAAACAATAAATACCACTTTTTTTTATCTAATGATTTTATACTGCATACATTAAAACAATTACTGAATGTCAACAAGTAAAATCTGATTACCTTAGAAGATTCAGTCTAACTCCTAAAAATTCTAGAAGAAGAAATGAATTGCCTGACAGTTGATAATGCAGTGCAATAGTGTTTCCCACTGATACAGCCAACATAGTTTCTCCTTTTTCATTTGTTAAATCAAATATCTTTTGATTTTTTTCATGACGTAGACGTACAGTTGTAAGGATAGAAAAGTCCTGAGGAAATGGGACTAAATCAAAAACAAAAAAAATTTAGGTTAAAAATGATTACATGATTTAAGTATTTATACAGTAGATTTACACAGTGTGTGCAGACTCCATTCAAAAGAGCGAGAACACACTACAATACAACAACTTCATGGGGAAACAAAGAAAATTACTTCATGTACATCCTAAAGAAGAACGGCTACCCACCAAACTATCAGACGATACCTATCCCGTACATCATCAACTACAAAGTCATCGACAGAAATCAACAAACGCATCATCCTACCATACATAAAGAATATATCATAAGTCATGACAAGATTACTCAGACCACTTCGAATTCGCTTGGCTCATTCACAAACAAATTCTCTCCTAACATTATTATGCATACCAAAGCATGCAACAACCAAAGAAGACAAACCCAATTTCATTTACAAAATCAACTACAATAACTAACTGTAGTCAACACTACACTGGACAACGTGGTCGCCCTCTTCGCCTTCGTCATTTACATGAACACCAATTGGCTATTGAACGTGACACACGACATCTCATCACTCATTTCAATGCAAGTGGATAACAACTATCCACATGAATTCAATATTGACAATGTAGAAGTTTTTGACAGAGAGAGTGAACACAAAGAATATGTGAGAATTCCTAGGAGCTTGGCATTCACGTCAGTCAACCAGTCAGTCAGTTAATCAGCAATCAACAGATATATAGACATAAACCCAATCTATCAACCAATAAGAGAAATGATAAACAACAGAAAGGCATAGAGGTGAAGCAGAGGGATAGCCAACAGGAGAATCTATGCAGTCAGTCAATGACACAATAATCGAAGGAAACAACAGTCAGTCATAGACCACCATGGTAAGCTACTAAATCACTGATGGAGTTAGTGCTGATGATGTCGCTGTCCAGCAAGACGATGGAGGCTTCACGATTAAACAGTGCATATCAGAGAACACAATACAACCAGAAAAAGAGAAATCCTATTGACAGGTGTTTTTAGAATTAATATTCTCTCAAGGTACAAGTTGTATTAATGAGGCTCCCTAGGTAATAGGGGGAAGTACCGTAAGCACCATACTGGTAAAGATATTCCAAGGTTCTAAATCTTTGGTGGGAACCAAATATTTATTTTCGAGATACCATGTTTCTGTGAATGATTCGTGGGAGACTGTAACAGTACTGATTCAAAACATTCCCCTGTATTTGCACTGTTGTATTTCCTTTGGCAACTAGTTCTTTATGCAAGCAACGCTTATTTTACATTTAAACTGTGCTTATTTAAGCGTTTTGTATGTTCGTAATCAAATAAATACTCGTTCAGTTGTGCGAAACTCGATTATTGAGAAGAAAATTTCTTCTGTACAGCTGATATTGTTCTTTTGAAGAGATGTAAAGGCGGTATCGCCCATAGTTACGGTGATGCGCCACCTTCTTATCCTAGTGAAAGACAGCTGAGACCAAACGTTGGCTGAAATTAAAATTTTTCCATCTTTAAGTATCCAATGCATCCATCTCAATAACTAAAGAGGCTATTGTGAAAATTCATAAGGCATAAAAGTCAGTTGCTGAATATGTGACTGAATACTAGTGCTTCATCAATACATTTTATGACAGTTTGTCTTTTTTAGGCAGACTTTTAAGTTTGCTCACCATATATTTCCTCCATGGCCCTATCTGTTGTCTTATTTACTGTCTAGCAAGCGTCAAGCTTGTAATCTCTCTGAATTATCGAATGAGTCAGCAATCCTGGAACGTGGAATTTAAACATAGTTTCTGAAAATGCCTTACGAAAAATCAGTGATCACCTTTACCTAGTGAAATTTATTTGCTTTAGGTTCACGCATTTGTTTCGTCTCAAATCAATATAAGTCAGTCCGTTTCAGTTCTAAACCGATTGAATGAAGGGCAGAACAGCATATCCTTGACATGTAAAGAAGTGGACGATGGTTATTTGCCTTTCTTGGACACATAAATTAGTCGACGATACGACTGATCCATAAAACGATCTTCCTACAGAAAACCTATACGAATACGCCAATATTTAAACTATCATAACTTTTGTTTATTTCAGCACAAGCAATCGTTAGTTAGATGCTTATTCAATAGAATTCACCGAATATGCACAGATCATACTTTGGAAGAGGAGACAAGAACACTGATTGAAAGACTGTCGAAAGATAACTATCAATCAAAATTTATTAGGCGGCACAAAGTAGCTAGAGTGACGAAAAAGCTCTTTACCTTGTCTCGAAAAAAATTTCATCAGCATCTCGTACCAACGTGGCTCTCATAATACATTCTTTAAGTAGAAGTATTAAAAGTATTTACTATGCAGCTAGGGTAAGATTAATCGAAGCCACAAAATCTGTTTATTCTCACAAACTGCCACAGCATGTTAACGACGATGTTATATCCCACTGTATCTACCAATTCAAATGTACATCGGTAAAACATACATAGAAATGGCTCATAGATCCATATAAATAAGGGCCTCGGAGTATAATTCAGAGTAGCTTTAAAAGCAAATTGAATCACTTGAACGCATAAACGTTTGTAGTAGACGTTGAGACAGGTCACCAGATTGGCCATTCTACGTCCTTTAGACCTATTTACAAAACCTGTCAGGGATGGATTCTTTAATTTATCGAGGTCTTAGCTGTTAGAAAGTTTAGGCCACCTTTGTGTGTACAAAAACAATTTGGCATGGCATCAAATCTTCTCTGGTGAATTCAACTCTGAAACCAAGTTCAAGGTACTCTTATTTTCGCTCTATTGATTTTCATTGTTATTTGGCCTTTAATTCAGACTTCCTACTTGACCTCATTTCATATTTTCATCCCTTCTCTTTATAAATTTTCATATAAATACCCATAAAAAGTACATGTGTGATCTAATTGTTCAAGGAGCATTGCACAAATACATCACATAGTTCACAGAATTTACATCTTCTCATTGTTATGTCAAAGTTTGTAAATGTGATTATTTGATAAAGAAAAAAGGAACTTACGATGGAATGCTTTCTCTGCAGGTATTTTTAATTTATCCCCTCGATGATATGAATAAGCTGTGTCTGTATTATCAGCAGATGTAGGACAGAAACCATATTGACGTGTTACTTCATGTCTATCGGCTTTGTCGATTTCAACAAGCTGTAGTAAATCTACAATATCTGTTGAAATAGAAAAATTCGAAGTGAAAAAACAATCGATTAAACAGTTGAATAAATGATTATAAATTGAGTATGAAAAACTTATATCTTCATAATAAAAGTGAGATAAAGTGGGTGACTTTAAAGGCCACTGTAGCAACAAGCGAAATAACCAATTAGACTTCATTATTTTATGAAAATCTGCCTTTCCAGACGAAATGCAGAAGCCTAATTGTTCATTTCGATTGTTGCTGGGGTGGCCTTTAAAGTTGCCCAAAAAGTAGTTTAGTAGGAATAGAGTAATAATTTTAAGCTTTGCCCCACCGGTCACGATTTCTTATTGGAACTTCGGGAATACCTCTCAAAGCTAGTCACCAATGAACACCAGTTCGATTGAATTTTGAGGGGGTTATGGGGATTTGGAAGTGTTTCAAGTTGTTATTCATCGTAGACTGGCATCAGCTGGAGGAACAAATGAAACTTAGGAGCACTGGACAGCTGTTTAGTCCTAGTATGGGACTCCTCGGCAGTGCGCACCCACGACCCCGCCTAGGATCGAACCCGTGAACTTCAGGTCCCGTAGCCAGCACGTTACCATTGAGCCACTGGGTCAGAACCCAATGGTCCATATTTCCGAATTCTATTAGCTCATGATATAGCGCAACCGCCACCCAATGTCATTGTTGAGTAACTGTCCTCACGACCACCACCGGTAGAGTCAAAGCCTGATGGTTGTGAGGACAGTTACTCAATAATAATTTTAAATCAAAAGTAACACATTACATATGAATATTGGTTGGCAAAGGAATCCAGGAGACACGTTTCTTTCTTTCTAGGACTCGTTAACTGGATGCTGAATTCCAATCCACATCAGGAAATAAAAAATGCCAACATTTAAGCCAACACAAGTAATAATTACCTTTGGCGTACTTGACAATGAACAACTTGAACAATAAAATAGGACCTGTTCATTCCATTGTTCAGATGATAAATTACTTGAGCATTTCTTTAATGAGTTAAGATATTCTCCAGTTCTAGATAAGGCTATGGTAGGTTATGTGTTTTACAAATAAGTTTCACCAATTTCTTAGTTTATCATAATTTTGTTATATTTTAAGTGCATATTCCTTGCAAATGCGTGCAATGTTTTCAGGTTTGTATTCATCATGAACTGTCTTTGTAAGAACTAGTGCGAAAAACAGACGCAGAGACAACAGCGGATATGCTCGCACCACTATTGCAGAAGGTGTGGAAGGAAGGGAAGGTACCTGGCCACTGATTGAAAGAAGGGCTACCTTGTCAAACTCCTGAAGAAGGGAGACCTCCGTGTTTGCAAGAACTGGCACGGAATCATGCTGCTATTCACCCCAAGCAAAATATTAAGCCGCATCATCTTGGAGAGGCTGAAGGATGCACTGGATTCGAAACTACCACCAGAACAGGCTGGCTGGCTGGCTTCAGGAAGTACAAATCATGTGCGGACAAAATTGCTACGCTTCGCACAATCATAAAATAGAGTATAGAATGGCAGTCAACTCAATCAACTGATATCTACCAAAGTGCACCACAATGATAACCTTCTTGGCTTGTCGGCTACACTGCAAAATGATCGATATAATTCGGTCAACACTCACGACTAGATAACATGAAATCGTTTCTTATTTTTAATGTACTTCAGAAATATTTGACTCATTCGGCAACATTATGAAGACGCCACATGCCAGCCAAGTAATTCATAATGGAAAGCTCAGCTCAGTGATGCCCTTGAAGTGAAGTGCAGACAAGAGTAAAACAAGGCTGTCTACTATTACCCGTGATCCTCCTGCTGATTGTGGTCAAGTGGACTGGATCATGCAGCAAACAGTGAGGAGTGAGAAGATGGACATACGCTGTCTTGACTGTGGAAAAGTACCTAGAAGATTTGGATTTCGCCAATGACTTGTGTCTGATGTCACACAAACTTGAAGATGTAGAGGCGAAAACTAACAAGTTGACAGAAGAGGCAGAGAAGATGGGACTTCAAGTGAATGTGGAGAAGACAGAGGTGATGAAGATAACCAACCAACAACGGTATCAACAACAAGAGGTAACAATACCATCAACGGGAGAAGCCTCAAGGAAGTAGTCTGTTTCACCTACTCAGTCAAGACAGCATCGTTTCAACTACAGGCATCACAGACACAGACGAGGATGTCAAAGTCAGAATCGGAAAAGCGTTCGGACAGGTGTTCATTTGGCTGAAACCAGTGTGGAGGTGTTCTGCACTGCACTCAGCATATAGCGTGAACAGGATCCGGATTTTCAGCACTATTGTCGAATCAGTGCTTCCATGTGATGGTTGAGAGACTTGGTGCGTTACAAAATGGATTTCCAACAAGATACAGATATTCGTGAACAACTGCCGCATATGCCCACTCGTTACTGAAGCTCAGATGGAGAGAATAATAAGAATGAACAACAATGAGCTGTGTCTGGTAAAGAGCCAACCAATAAGCTATCACGCAACCAATTTGCAGAATGAATTGTAGATAGATTGGATGAAGCATAGACTGAGAAGGCCGACTGGGGACATGATGCGCGAGGTCAGGCCGTTGAGTGTAATGCAGATGGGAAACGACGATTTGGGCGTCGTAGTTGAGTGTGACATTGAGGAGATGGTGTGAGGAAGAAATGAGAGTTTGTTGGTGGTGGTGGAGCCAGGTGAGAAAGATTTCGGAGAAGGGAGTGGAATGGAGATGTGCTACTGGAGCTCTATGTTTCACTAGGAACTCAGGGGACAAATAATAATAATGCTGACATTATCTACCTATAGCCATAGGTTTGTTATATTCAGCAGAATGCTGATATGATAACTTACATGATTGTGGCTATTAGAGGAATTTAGAACGTGCTTTCCGTTCTATTTGCGGCTCGTCAGCTTTGTGTAATAAACCGGATGAAATGCTCATGCTTGATTCGTCAACTAGCCAGAAGCAAGTTAAGTATACAGGCAATATGTAGGCATCCGCATTGGAACTCATATGCCAACAGAGGCCAAACAATGCGATCCAGTAAAACAGGGTAGAATTACAAGTATATCAACAAGAAGCTACTATGTTTTGAAATATTTAGCAAAAGTCTTTTATTTGTACCCTTACTATTAGCCAACTCAATAAACAAGTGGACATAACATTTCAGTGTGTTCTATTGATGGCTATGAAGTATAATTCCAAGTAGCAAAAGCTATCTTAAATTTTCTGTAAAAAATATAGCATTGTTGGCAAGCAAATACACAAACACTTACGAAGAAATTTATGGACGTCAGTTTCAACAGTCAATCATTCAGCAAATTGTTTTAATCATATGTTGCTTTATTAAAATATACTGGGTTCTACAAGTTGTTTATGACGATTTTCCACTTTCTCTTTTTTCTACTGAACCCTTTTTAAGATGGTTTCATCCAGTTATTAACTACAATGGGTTAATATTTGAAATAACTAACAAAATATGTTAGTGAACAGCATGAGTAGTTCTAGATTTCGTCAACCATATCAGAGTGGTCTAAACACGGAATAGTCACTTCGTGGTTTGGGGATCAAGGTGGTCGACAGCATACCCAGACAAATTAGGCTCATAGGCCCAAATTATTTCAAGTCACTTGAACCTTGGTGGTTGGTTTACAACAGAAACACTGTTATTACCATTGTTGAACAGTTGAAAAACTACCCAGTTGTGAGAAATGTCAACGTAGATTGTGCACTCTGCAGATAATTTTCAAATACATTATCCTAAGAGAATGAAGTTTGTGGTTTTATAGTCACAAATACTCTTTGACTGATTTGTCACTGTAAAGTCACAAGAAGCATTAGGTTTTATTCCTAAGTAGTTACTTATATAAAATGGTTAGGTTTGTAGTTTGGTTAGTAAGCCCGAGCACTTCAAATGATTGTTGTGAGCAGTCAGTTACAAGTCTTGCTTTACTCAGGTTTCGGATTTTCAGCCTTCGTCAGAGAAGAGTATTTCAGAGATCTAAACTTGAGGTTGACAACGTACCTAGCTAATGAATGCAAACGGGAACAAAGCCTTGGTCATATGTGGCCTACGAATAAATGCACTGAACCTCCTAACACCAGTTAAAGCATACTGCAATAGCAAACCTTCTAGATTGGTGGCCGCCACTGTGAAAACTCCACCTTCAGAATTTGTTTAGTACTAATGATGGTTTGCATGGTGGTGATGAATTAGAATTCCTGATCGATTTCAATGGGTAGTCATAAGTGGCATAAACAGTTCTGAGATGATAACTTTTGCTAGAACACTATACGACTCGGATTCCAGTTACTAAAATGACATCGTTTCCCTACAGATCGAAGTATGCACTGCTGGATTGTGGTGGACAGCACAACACTTGGTCAAACAGCGCTTTCTGTTGGTTGTTTTAACTGAACTATCACAGATGAACTTATTCGAAAGTAGGTGATCTAAATGTTAGTCGTGTACACCAAGAAAAATTAACACAATGTGCTCTGTTAGTCCACTTGCACAATAATTCAGTTTCTGTATAGCTAAGTGTTATTACTGAATTTAGGAGTAAAACTATTCAAGCATCTAAACCCCATTTTATCTTCAGACTGTGGTCATATGGAGAACTTCACCGATCATAATTTACCGACTGAGTTATGATGAGAAAGAATAGAATGTAAGAGTAGGAGTAACCATGCCCCTCTTGAAGTGGCATGAATCCTCTTCATAGTTACTTTCGAGGCGCCGATATTAAGAAGCTGTAGACGATGAGGTTTAGCAGTACTCGATTTGTATTGCTGGCCTGGAAAACTGGAGATGGCATGTGTATTGGTGATTACGGTGAGCCTTCCCACGACCCCGTTTGATATCAACCAATGTACCGTCAAGGTTGACTTAGCGTTAATCGCGGTTGACACTACCCATATTTTCAATATAAGTGGCTTGGGTATTCAGACTAAGGATGGTCTAGCTGCCACCAGGATTCCTCCTAGTGCACAGGGAGAAGTGCAACTGGAAAG